AAAGAATGCGCAAAACTTTGAAACACTTTGTTCATTAAAGAAGCGAGAACACACAGGGCTTGGTGAGGCGGCATGAGTAACAGGCGAATCACAGGTGAAAACAATACATCTGTGGTCAGATATGGTCGTGTCCACTAATTCCACAGAGGAAATGCTGACACCCAGGGTAAAAACCAAGTCCAGTGTATGACCACGGTTATGTGTTTGCCCTTTGACATGTTGTTTGAAGTTAAAAGAAGTGGCCATATTTAAAAAGTTAGTTGCATTAACATTGTTGGGGTATCAACATGAATATTAAAATCGCCACAAAGAACAATTCTGTCATAATTAATTAATAAAACCAGAGTAGATAAAAATTCAGGAAGTTCTGATAAAAATCCTCCAGGCGGTTTTGGGGGGCGATAAATTATAACAAATATGATAGGTTGCAGGCCTCCAACTTTAAGAGTGAGAACTTCAAAGGAGTTAAATTCATCACAGCGTACTTGATGACATTTTAAATTTTTCCTATACACGCTCACTAGCCCACCACCACGACCACTGACCCTCGGTTGACTAAAACAATCATATTGAGGCGGACACAGTTCAGATAGCTGGCTATAGTCATTCATTTGCAACCAGGATTCAGTTAAAAACAAGATAAAATCATCTAAGATAAATTACTTACTTGAAAGTGATCTCACATTGAAGAGAGCCATTTTAAATGAGTTTGTTCTGGGTGCTGGAGTTGGTGCAGTTGTCCTAATCCTTAAGAGATTACTAATATTTCTGTGTGGGATGTGCACATTTCGGTTTACTGGTGTATGCGTGATGATGACAGGAATAGAAGTCTGTGGAACTTCGCTGGGAGCAGACGGCTTTACATGCCAGCAGGTGGAGACAGTTATTTGTGGCAGTGAGGCAGAGATTTGTTCAGTGAGCGGTGGTGTGTCCAGGTGTGCTGCATGAATGATGAGTCATTCACGTAAGTCATGTGTGGACCGCACTACATGCTGTATGTGCGCAGCTAACATTTCTGAGCCCCGTTTGTTTGGGTGAAGTCTGTCTGTCTTAAAAAGAGACATTCTTTGCCAGAAAATATTAAATTATCCACATAATATTAATTATCCACATAACACACACGTTGAGCCCTGCAGGCGGACTGGAGCCAGTCGTGGAGGCCAAGGAGTCTACTGAAGCGGCCAGCACCGCGACCAACTGTGGGAATGGGACCAGAGATAAAAACGTTTAAAAAGTTAAAAAGACTGTTAAAATCTGATTTTGTCAGCTCAGACTGCTGAAGAGCTGTGTCATTTGTCCATCCGATATGGACTATCACTCTTGTGATGGAGGACGGGAGCGACGGCATCAGGTCCTGGAGTTTTTTTAAAATGTCAGCCGTGGTGGCACCAGGGAAGCAGTGAGTGGTAGCGTTAAAGAAACGGATGTTTCTGGTTATGGAGTCACCAATTATTAGAGTGGTTGGGGAGAAAAGAGGACGAGGAGATGCCGGTTGTGGGGTTCCAGAGCAGGACTGAGCAGTATCTGCATCAACACTGCGTGCGGACTGAGGATGGAGTGTTGTGTTGGAGCAGCAGTAACAGACCTGAGAGAAGGGCTTGTACTGAAGCCACATCCATAAAGCCAGTCAGCAGGGAATCTTTCTCTTTGAGTTCCTCTGAAAGTCGTCGGATGTCTTCCATAAGGAGGCTTTCTTAAGGAGTGTGCAGTCCTCATTTGTTGCGATCAGTAGCGTTGATCGCGTTTTTACGGTCATCTAGCTTAAAATCCATGTCGGATGACTAAAATCCTTAACCCACGTAATACTTAAGTTAAAAACTTAAGTTAAATAAAAAGGATATAAAAAATGTAACGAAAAAGAGTTCGGTTTAAGACGGAGCTTCTGACAGGTGGCTACAGACGCCAACGCATGCGCAGAGTGCAGATTACGTCAGCAATTACGTCAGCGATCTTGTGACAAAGTAAGTCGCCATGCGCTGATCTTGTCATTGCCCTTCCTCTCTTACCCTCCTCCGTCAAGTTATCGGAACTATGGATAAGAGTAAGATCCTTCGCTATCATCTCTGCCTTCTCTTCGTCAGACACTGCTACTTCCTTCCCCATCTTCAGTACTGGATACTGCCATTCCCTTCTGATTCCTTGCATGTCCTTAATCATGTTCCACACACCTCCAACAGGTGTTGCTCTACCAATTTTACCACAAAGGGCCTGCCAGCTTTGTTTTTTTGCTTTGCGTATAATTTTCCTAACCTTTGCTTGTGTTTCTTTATATTTAATTAAATTATGAAATTATGGGTTCCTCTTAATAATAAATTTGTTGTCCAGCTTTATATTGTCTGGCTACAGTAACACGATTCACTCGCATTGTATTTGTAATCACTGTTCAAGTGAGCACACACCATACTACATCGTAGCCCACATTCTCATCTGATTTTAGTTTCTACACCCCCTGCTTCCAACTTGTGTTTGTGTGTGTTTGCTAAATGAGTGAGTGATATGGGACACGAGCGATGGTAGATACAGCTGTTGGATCACAAGTTAACTTGAGCATGTACCATGGCCACAGCTGACTGCATGCTGTGTTCGGACAGTGTGACTGAGTGTAACTTTAGCCTAAACTTCCAGACTGTTTCTCTTACGCGTGACAAACTGTACTCATAATATGAAACGCTAAAAGGCTCACATTACGCCACTTTCCTACCTCGTTTTGTTAAAAAAACTGTGTAAAAAGCTTTTTACGCCGCCAAAAAGCAAAACGCCGTAAAAAGCGCTGTGGAATTGTGTAAACAACGACGCATTTTTCGTCGGTCTGAAGGCGGCGAAAAAAACATCGCTCTATGTGCTCATGTAACGCCGCTTTTCACCCCCCTTTTATTTTTTTGATAAAGGTGAAATGTGTCAGAAAACGGCATCATGAGATGCTCTGGCCTACAAATCTTGTTCTTGAGATTTAAGAAGTCATGTTTGTTTTGTTACAGACCCCAATTTCTTTCACATGGTGATATATTTAATAGTTTATTCAGTGAAATTTATTTCTAATATAATAATTCCCACACTAATTGTGAGTTATATGGCAATATCATGTTTTTACCACTGATTTGTCATGACAGTGATTAGTATCATGGTTAATAGGTATCACTGAGTGTGTTTCGGGCTATACCCTTTGGTTATCGTGAGCATTTCATGTGGGATGACTCAGTTTGTGTTTTTTCCCTAAGCTTTCATCGAGTTCTCCATCCCAGCTGGCAGCAGAGGCATCTGAGTTTATGATGAGATGGGAACTAATGTGGATGCAGACGTCTCTGAAGAAGTAGCACAGCAACCCAACGCTGGTGTATTTACTATCAGATCTGACAACGGTAAACTTGATTCCCATTTCTATCACCATAGTCCATGGATTATGACTAAGACCCAGTTACACTTTAGCTGTGAAAAACCTACAAATGGTCTCTCCTCCCTCTCTCTCCTGAACTACTGTTAGATTCCAAGGGGACAACCTCTTCCAGCTCTTCTCAGTCCACCAGGCCAGTGCTTGATGTCATAACCAAGTCAGCACTGTAAGTTTCAGCTTGTGGCTCAGATGATCTAGTCATCCTGGATGAGATTTATTGTGAGAGCCTCCTTTGCACAGTTTTTGATTGGTAGCTATTTCTGTAGGTGTATTTTCTGTAAGTTCTTCATGATTATTTATTTTAGTGAATACTGTCTTGATTTCTACTCCTTTCACAGTTGGTTGAATCTGCACTGACCAAGAAACCTGGTAGAAGTGATCATCAAGGCACAGAAAGCTCTGACTCACTCCTCACAGCAACAGATGGTTAAAGGATGATACTGGCCCCACTTTCACTTATTTTGGTGTGAAATGACTTGTAGGTACAGAAAGTTTTAAATCAGTGCAGTAGGGCTGCAGCTAACGATGATTTGAGTATTCAAAGCGTCGATAGATTATTTCAACGATTCAGCGATGCGTCGTTTAACAAGTACTTGCATGGCGGCAGCGGTGTTGTGGTGTTCACACTATGTGACTGATCGTGACAGGGAGTCACAAACACTACAAGAGCTGATGGCTGTGTCACCTGACGCTGGTCTCCAAACCACGTTTTGTCAAGAAAACACTTGAAATGTGAAACGGGAAATGAGCGATCCTGCACAGGAAACAGCTGTGGTTTGTTATAAAGATGGCAATTATAAAGACAAAGAATATGGGTGAAAGGATGGATTAGCACACGCAGGTAGCAGGGATTGTCTGAGCTGCAGGGGAGTTAAAAGATGCAGTTCCCCGACTCAACTCATGACTGAGGTTAAAACTCGCAGCCCAAAAAGGAGAACAACAAACGCATGTGTGCACATTTTCAGCTGAGGACTGTGGCTTTATTTGGCTAGCCTTCAACTCAACAATCAATCATGACTTCAGTTAAATACTAAAGTTGCTGTTACTGTTACCTTGTCTGTGGTCTGCTGGCAGAAGACCGGCTTCTTTCTGGTCAGGTACAGTCGTGTTGTTTTACGGTGGACGGACAGAGTTGTTTTTTTCTTTAACTTGAAATAATCCCAACTGTGGACACTTTCTTTTTTGTCCCTCGCTGTTTTCTTTCTCTTCCGGCTTTCTCTCTCTTACCACTTTGCAAACAGTTCCATCATAATCACGTCGTGTTCACAGCGTAAGCGCAATGTGCGGCAGTAACAGATGTCCCTGCGAAACACTGTTCTGTATATCCAACGAAGGTTAAAATCAAGGGCAACTGGACTTGGTTGAAGATTGATTTCCCTTGATTTTAACCTTCGTTGGATAACTATGACCTGGATGACTGAGAATCTTCATAGACACTGTTCTGTATAGTTACATGGATTAAATGAAGCATCGTTGCGTCGAATTTGGGTCGAAGCATTTAATGAATTGATTTTATTGATTTTATCGATTTAACCAATGAATCGTTTCTGCAGTATAATAGTGAGTGCTAAGAGAGCTGTCGCACTGAAACAGAACTACAAACTAAACCTTAAAGTTAAATGTTTTTATTTTTAATAAATTGTATGGATTACATGAATGTTATGGTGGTTGTTGTTTTTCCCCCTGCACACAAGTTTTACTTGTTTTAAGTAAGCTAAAGTAGAAAATTGTAAAACACTAGATTTTTATTTCAACAAGGTGTTTAGCAAGAATAACACTTACGGTGAGTAAATATTAGTGAATTTTAGCATTTGCAGGAGTCAATGAAAAGGTTTAACAATCATGAAGAGTGAATTAATAAGAGTAAATTATGAATAACAGTGAATGTTCTATCTTTTTTAGTGTAGAAATTTGCATTTCTTAGTCTGGTGTAGTGTTAAATGTTAACTTTACACTCTAATGTTCAGACTTACTGCTGACTTTACTGAGTAGCTAACCTTGTAGTATAATAGACAGTTAATTCACACAATAGCTTCAAGAGAGAGGCTGCTGGCAGACCTGCTGTGGGATGTGGCTGACCAGCTTGAAAACAGGAAGTTTCAACTGTTACATCCAGTGCTTAAATTGAAAAAGTAGATTCCAATACTCCCCATTCACATGTTGGCGTGTGTATTGGTTGGTACACACAAAGAGGAGGCTGGCTTGAAGCTTGAAGGAGAACATTAGCACAGTGGCATCCTGATGCTATACTGCAGAGGCACAACCTGAATGAGTATAAATTAGTGTTAATGTAATGTTATACCATTAAATAAAAAGTATACTGGTGATATATGCAATAATGAATTACTGTGTGGAAATGTGGAAATACAGGCATAAATAAATGTGGAAATCAATAAATATATAAATAAATCAATAAATACATAAATAAATGTAGAAATAAATCAATAAATATATGTAGAAATAAATGCATGTAGAAATACATAAATAAATACAGCAAATAGCTTTTTTTAATGACCAAAATAAATTTAATTTTAATTTCTTTATGCATTTAATTATGTATTTCTGCATTTATTTATTTATTCATTTATAGATAGGTCATTTTTAGTCCGTCATAATCAACAAGGAAGTTTGTTTGCGTTCAGCTGCCCATTCCACACCAGCGTAGTGTGTACCACAGTTGTACTCACACATCAGTGGTAACGTGTTGGGCAGTAATACTGCAATATTATTTTTCCCAGTAAAGAGTAATGTAACGGATTACTATTTCCAAAACAGTTATATTATTACAGTTACTAATCCAAGACACTACGCTACTGAACGCACCATCCCTGACGTGAATGTGCGACTGCTACACAGCAACGTGAAACTGCTGCCAGTGATGATTGGACTCGCTGGGAGACAGGGCAATAAATCACCCAGTAATAAGTAGAGTAGCTAATATTACTTTTTTAATTACTTTTCTAGGTAATAGCTACAGTCTTATTATTAGTAACTTGGCCAACACTGTGTTGACAATAAGGATCGGAAAAAAATGTAGGTTTGAATTATTGCTTGTTATAGGCTATCTAATGTTTACTTTGACATTGTTGTTGATTGATAACTCACATAGCCTATAGGCCTATACACTTTTCTGTATGAATGGTTGCTTTTTAAGTCGTCCTTGGAATAATTTCTTGTGAATGGTTGTTACGGGGTTTATATAAGACCTTTTCAGTTAGCTTGGATGCGCGGGTTGCTCTGCACTCCTCATCAACAGACAGGCAAACAAGTGCTCTGCGAGGTAACCATGGCAAAGGCTTCTGTGTAACTTGTGCGATCCTGTGAAACTGGCGCGGTCCTTCTTATCTCACCCACACGCCCGCCTGCTGCCAGAGTCGAAATGTCAAACTTTTTCCTACAGTTTATCAATAGACAGAGACTGATCTGCTGTTTGATCAGTTTCCTGAAGAATATAACTGTTTCTTTAACAGTTAGGCCACCAGGTCTCAAACAGGCAGCGTCCTTTGCTGCTGTCTCTTATTCATTAAAAATAAACCCTGTAAAGAGGGGAGGACAGCTAGCCTTGCTCTGTTCAAAGGTAACAAAATACACTTACCAGCACTTCTAAAATTTTAAATGTTAAATTGACAAGATGAGAAGGTTAGTTGTTAGATCCAGAAACGTACATTCCCATGAAGGTAAAATTATATCTGTACCCTAAATTGTTTGAGAAATCATTAAACTAAAGTTTACTGCACTTAAAAGAAAACTACACTCACCACATCGTACATTAGAGTCTAGCAGAGCACAGGTTATCTTTAGATGTAGACAGGTTGCTGCTGGATGAGTGTCCTCAAATTGCATAACCAATTTTCACGTTGCGTCTCAACGTTTACCTGACCCCAACCTGGCTGATATACATCCTGTTATGTTTCTTCTCTGCCCATTTCACATTCCCTTGTTATATATAGGTTAAAACATGTGTAGTTAGCTAGTCTGTGCATGGAATTCTGAATTGAAAAATGCTGCACTTGAAATGTAATGTAGACAACATGTAAACTCGGTATGTGGTTCCTTGCCCCATTCCTCTCACCAAACAAACACACATCTAACTGCCCTTTTGAGGACATATGTAGGACAAGAGAACGTCAATCATATTCTTAATAATGGGAGGTTGTGGGTGGAGGCTGTGCGGTAGGTGGTGGGCCAGACTCATCTCCCAGGCGTCCACCAGACGAACATTCAGTCCTTTGAACACGGCTCTGAGCACCTTGTCACGCTGCAGTGAGTACCAGTCGCTGTTGGTCAGCGTCTCATAAAGTGTCAAAGCTTTGAGGTTCGCGGTCCGGATGACGACCAGTGTGCCTGGAGCCCTGACCAACAGCCGCACCACCGCCCTGCGGATGCTCTGCAGCCGCTGTATGTAGAGCTCCATGGGGAAAGTGCTGAAGTGAGACCAGATGCCAATAACTACAACAGTGTTGCTGCCTCCAGTTAACCCATCTAGTTCATTGGCAATGTAACGCAGCTCAGTGGCTGGGACGTTGCCAAAACGGAGAGGAGGACCGTGGCAGCGATACGTCACCAAGATGTTGTTTGCATAGTCCAAGGCCATGAAAGGTCCAACTTGCTTTGGACTGTGCAGGTTAAACTCCTTAAGATCTAAAAGTATCACAGAGGGAACAGATGAAGCTGCAGTGTGAACAAAATCAAACTTCTGACAAGAAATCCCTGTGGATCAGTTACCTGGCAGTGCTGCGTTGAGGTGCTCAAACCACTGTCTGATGGTGGAGTCTCCATACAGGTGGACCATCTTGCCTTTCAGACACTGACTGATGGCAGAGGAGGTGTTGAATTGTTGAACTGTGGTGCCATCTAGTGCTTGCCATGCACCCTGGTAGTAATAGCCAGAGGGTCCAGACTTCACACTGCTGTTCTTCACCTCTGGTTGACCTGAGAGGAAGAAAGGATAAGGATGGGGCTATTTTATATTCTTCCTATTTTCAACATATCCCATGGAAAGAAAAAAACAAGGTCTCCCTAACCTGTCTGTGACATTCAAGTCATTTCATTATGGTTGAAGATTTAGTTCTTCAGAAATGTGTCACAAATACACTGTCATTTCCTAAAACAGCTGGGTATAGTGCATTTGTTGGAATATTCTCAGAAGCGGATTAATACACATTAGGTGCACTAGTGTATTCAATACGCCATTTCAGTCTTTGGCTACACAATACATTCAGTATTGGCTTTTTGCTGGACTTGTTGACAATAAGATGAATACAAAATACTATCAGCCTTATCATTTAAAGCTTTACTCACTAGTCATAGACCTAAGTGGTGTAAAAATGTTGTCTACCACACATGTAGAAATGTAGAAAAGTGGTCTTCAAATCTGGAAAGAACAATGATGATGCAAATCAGAACACAAGAGCACCTGTTTTAATTAACCTAAACATGACTAATGTGCCTCCTGGCTGCTAATAAAAGAGACTCCCCCTTTCCAAAAGTAGAAAAGTGGAAGTTGTTCAGTTGTTGTGTATTGTTATGGTACACTGGTACACGCAAAGAGTAAATGCTCAATCCACACAGTTCTGAAAAAAGTGTGCCAAGTGTCCAACTAAAATCAGTCAGCACCTGCAGCTCCTCCTTATTTGGGAGATAACAACATATGTAAGTAGTAAGGGAAAGTGAACCTCTTATGGGCTGTCCTTATTCCTGAGATAATAGATATAATAATATAAAAGGGCCGTGGTCCTTTTATATCATTTTATCATAGCTGGTGCTATGTTCATGAACTTTTATGTTTGCAGATGTACTCCTTGCTCCCAGTGCTCTTCTCAGATCGGAATCATCTCTCTACAGCAGGACACTTGCCAGAAGAAAGTGGCAAGTTGTTTACAAATGCTTATCTGTTATACTTTCATTATACAGGTGCTGGTCATATAATTAGAATATCATCAAAAAGTTGATTTATTTCAGTAATTCCATTCAAAAAGTGAAACTTGTATAATGTATACATTCATTCCACACAGACTGATATATTTCAAGTGTTCATTCCTTTTAATTTTGATGATTATAACTGACAACTAATGAAAACCCCAAAAATCAGTATCTCAGAAAATTAGAATACTGTGAAAAGGTTCAATATTGAAGACACCTGGTGCCACACTCTAATCAGCTAATTAACTCAAAACACCTGCAAAGGCCTTTAAATGGTCTCTCAGTCTAGTTCTGTAGGCTACACAATCATGGGGAAGACTGCTGACTTGACAGCTGTCCAAAAAACGACCACTGACACCTTGCACAAGGAAGGCAAGACACAAAAGGTCATTGCTAAAGAGGCTGGCTGTTCACAGAGCTCTGTGTCCAAGCACATTAATAGAGAGGCGAAGGCAAGGAAATGATGTGGTAGAAAAAAGTGTACAAGCAATAGGGATAACCGCTCCCTGGAGAGGATTGTGAAACAAAACCCATTCAAAAATGTGGGGAGATTCACAAAGAGTGGACTGCAGCTGGAGTCAGTGCTTCAAGAACCACCACGCACAGACGTATGCAAGACATGGGTTTCAGCTGTCGCATTCCTTGTGTCAAGCCACTCTTGAACAAGACACAGCGTCAGAAGCGTCTCGCCTGGGCTAAAGACAAAAAGGACAGTACTGCTGCTGATTGGTCCAAAGTTATGTTCTCTGATGAAAGTAAATTTTGCATTTCCTTTGGAAATCAAGGTCCCAGAGTCTGGAGGAAGAGAGGAGAGGCACAGAATCCATGTTGCTTGAAGTCCAGTGTAAAGTTTCCACAGTCAGTGATGGTTTGGGGTGCCATGTCATCTGCTGGTGTTGGTCCACTGTGTTTTCTGAGGTCCAAGGTCAACGCAGCCGTCTACCAGGAAGTTTTAGAGCACTTCATGCTTCCTGATGCTGACCAACTTTATGGAGATGCAGATTTCTTTTTCCAACAGGACTTGGCACCTGCACACAGTGCCAAAGCTACCAGTACCTGGTTTAAGGACCATGGTATCCCTGTTCTTAATTGGCCAGCAAACTGGCCTGACCTTAACCCTATAGAAAATCTATGGGATATTGTGAAGAGGAAGATGCGATACGCCAGACCCAACAATGCAGAAGAGCTGAAGGCCACTATCAGAGCAACCTGGGCTCTCATAACACCTGAGCAGTGCCACAGACTGATCGACTCCATGCCACGCCGCATTGCTGCAGTAATTCAGGCAAAATGAGCCCCAACCAAGTATTGAGTGCTGTACATGCTCATACTTTTCATGTTCATACTTTTCAGTTGGCCAATATTTCTAAAAATCCTTTTTTTGTATTGGTCTTCAGTAATATTCTAATTTTCGGAGATACTGAATTTGGGATTTTCATTAGTTTTAATCATCACAATTAAATGAAATAAACATTTGAAATATATCAGTCTGTGTGTAATGAATGAATATAATGTCCAAGTTTCACTTGAATAGAATTACTGAAATAAATCAACTTTTTGATGATATTCTAATTATATGACCAGCACCTGTAGTTTGCTAGTTTGCACAACCCCAGAGAACTCCTCCTGTTTACACCGTGACGTCATTCATCACCACGGCTGGATCTGAGAGGGAGAATCTGTATCATAATCATCAATAAACTGGAGTAACATTCTAAGTTTTTCCAGAAAAGACTCAACATGGTGCTTTGATCATTTTTCCTTATTTTATCTTTGACTATTACCAGTGAGGTGATCCACAGAAATGGTGAACATGATGATCTTTCCCCACATTCCCAGAAATATCTGGGCACCATGTGGGATTTTGGCCCTATGGACATCAAACTCAGCTGGAATCCACAGACTATTGGTGACTACAGAACTTTATATTTATTTGATCTTGTTAAGTTACTTGGTCCACATGATTGGTTTCAATGTTTTTCTTTTGTACTGTTTTTATAGAAAAGTAGCAGATAGTTGCCCTCATTCTTATACTCTCTGGTAGTGTTCATCCTAACCCTGGTCCAGTGCTTAATAATTTGAATACTCCAGATGAATTCAAAACTAGAGCTGGACTAGGTTTTATTCATATTAATGTCAAAAGTCTACTCCCCAAACTCAATTTTATACAACCTTGGGCCCACTCAACAGATACTGATATTCTTATAATCTCAGAAACATGGTTTAGTAAATCTATTTTAGATAAGGATATAGCAATCAAGGGCTACAATGTCTACCGTTGTGACCGACCCAGGAAGGGTGGTGGCATTGCTATTTATATAAAAAATAATTTTCCTTGAAACATTGTGTATTCAGTATCCATTAGTAAGCAGCTAGAGCTTTTAGCCTTGAAGCTGGAGCTCGCATTGGGGCAAACAATGACGGTCATAGGTTGCTATAGACCACCCTCAGCAAGTACTGAGGCTCTTTGCTCTTTAAATCATCATCTATCGAGCATTGAATTTGGAGAGGTACTTTTAGCCGGGGATTTTAACTTGGATTGGCTGTCCTCCATTTCAGATGGTTTTAAATCTGTCTGTGACTCTTTTAATATTACTGTAGTGGTGTGTGTTTTCTAGGCAGGCTTATAGGTTTTTAGCCTTGCTCTTGAACTCACCTCTGGAGCATCAAAATAGCTCCACCCAGATCAAACCCCCTCATTGGCTGAGCTTATTTAAAGCAGCAGTAGTATCACGGCTGCCTTTTTGAGGTGATTGACTGGAAGTAGAGCATTAGAAGCGTTTGGATTTTTGAAGGCGAAAGAACGGTAGCCAGGTTGTAGCTGAAAAAACAACGGTGGTCGTACCAACAGAACAACTACCCGAGGACTGTGGAAATTGAGATTGAACGGAAATAATTGCAAACACAACAGGAGTTCGGTACGGTACGGCTGTACTGTGACTGGACCAGATATGGAGGAAAGAGGTGGAGGTGGAGGAGGACAAGGAAAGGGCAATGGTGGAAAGGGAAAGCAGGTAGGGAGTTGAAATGATAGTCTGATTAAGAAAAGGAAGAGAGGAGAGTGAGGTATTTACACAAGAGGATCGTGGTATTGATGAGTATAAAGTAGTTATCCGGTGTGTAGAGATGGAAGAGGTTAAGATTAATATAAGAGGGGGGACTCTAATGAGTGCTCAAAGACTACAAACAACAAGAGATGGCGGTAAGGAAGATTTGTCAGTTTTGTTACAGTTTGAGGGAGGGTACCTTCCAGGAAAAGTAACAATTGGATATATGAGCTACTTTGTGAGACTGTACGTGCCTAAACCACTTAGATGTTATAACTGCCAGCGGTTTGGACATGTAGCAGTAATGTGCAAAGAGATAAGAAGGGGTGCCAGATGTGGAGGAAATAATTATGGTCAGTGTGGGAAAGGTGTCCCACCTAAATGTTGTAATTGTGGGGGTGCACATAGCATGGCTTATGGAGGGTGTGCAATGATGAAGGAAGCGGTGCAAGTGCAACAAGTGAGAGTGGGACAGAAAGCGTCATACGCAGAAGTGGTTAAAAAGGTTCAGAACCAGACAGCAGGGGGTAGCAGTGAGGCTAATTTAAGACATGAAGCAAGGCAAGTCAAGCAGAGTGGATGTTAGAAAGTTATTGCTGGTGTGATTAATGGTACTGCAGATGTAAAGTCAAAGACAGAAAGAATACAGCTGATGTTGATGGCAGCAGTATGGCACTTGGATGTAACAGGGCTGACATGGGAAACAGTGAGAGATGATCTCAAACATCAGTCTAGCCAGGAATCATGGGTTGGTTAATATATATCATGGTGTTATTATTACATTGGAATGCCCGAAGCCTGGTTGCAAATGGACAAGAGTTTAAATGAGTTATTGATGAAATGGTGCAGAAGCCAGATGTTATCTGTATTCAAGAGACCTGGCTAAGACCAAATCAGGATTTTTGTGATACAGGGGTATGTGGATGTCCGTCGAGATAGACGCACTGGAGGTGGGGGAGGATGTGCTACATTTATTAAACAGGGTGATGACACTGTTATTTACTGTACTGCATCATCTGCTGCACAAGCCCTTGATCTTTTGCAGTCTGCTTTCAATATTGTTCAGAGCCGTTTAAAACAGCTTAAGTTGGTCTTAAATGCAGAAAAGTCCAAAGTAATGGTATTCACAAACTCAAGACAACTTCCAGTTACTGCTATAAGCATCTCAACTTTTGAAGGAAATTAAATTGAGTTAACAGTTATAAATATTTAGGTATAATCGTTGATTGTAAACTGTGTTTAAGAACTCATAATAGCAACTTGGTTTCTAAGCTCAAGATAAAGCTTGGCTTTCTCTACAGATCAAAATGATGCTTATCCATTCGTGCTAGAAAATACCTGGGGACAGTCACTTTTTTCCCCCATACTAGAGTATGGTGATCTGATATATATGAATGCTTCTGCCCAATGCCTACAGAAATTGGATGTTGTGTATCATTGTGCATTGCGTTTTTTCACTGGCTGTAATCTTAGGACACATCATTGTACCCTTTACTATAAAGCTAAATGGCCCTCTCTTTATGCAAGAAGGTACACTCATTGGCTGTGTTTCATCTATAAGGCACTTGGACTAGCTCCTACCTATTTGAGAATCTTTTTACAAGTATTCAAGGCCATTATGGATTACGTTCAAAGGTCGTCCTACACTTGTTGGTCCCCCGTGTCCGAACAGAATTAGGTAAAAAAGCCTACATATTTCTGAAGCACCTTCTGCTCGGAACCTTCTTCAGAACTCGTTGAAATTGACTGCCTTTATTCCTTCTAGACATTTTGTTTCAACTCTTAAGGATATGGAGCAGGTGAACATTGGTCATTGTTGCTGTTTATAAAGTTGTATTCTGCCTTATTCAACACGGGGGCTTGTCTTATACGTATGTGTACTTGATGTCTTTTATATGTTGGAAACTGTTCTTTTATGCTGCGTCTTGGCCAGGTCTCTCTTGCAAAAGATATTTCAATCTCAATGAGACTCACCTGGTTAAATAAAGGTTAAATAAAAAATTTAATTATCTGTAACACAATCTGTTTTGAATTATTATTGTTATTATAGGCAGTGGTGGCAGTAGTAAAAATCATGCTTTACCTTTCTTTTTTGGCCACACTGTGACATTGGCAGGTCCTGAAGCCTGAAGAGAAACCTTCATGTTGACTCCACTGAAGAAGATAACATGGATTTACATTTGCCAGGTTGCCGGAATCACAACTCCAAAGGCATGTTAATGTTCCCCTTTGTCTTCTGGATATGTAAATAGGCCACTGTTTGACAGTTTTGTTGGTGGTTTGAATAACCATATAAATGTTATAACGTGAAGTCAGTGTTATGTTTAAAGCTTGTGCACTGCCCCTGAGAAAAATAAGTGTGCATCTTTAAGTTTCAAGTTTTAAGTTAAGAAAATACCTCATCCAAAATAAAATGTATGCATGTACAATAAAACAACCTAAGCACAGCAAATACTATCCATCTATCTTACTGAAAATCAGCTATCATGCCGGTCCTGCGTCTCTGCTTCCTCACCTTTGAAAGAGCTTCTCTTCCTTGGCTTTGAGGTTTTGTTTGAATCCTCCCTTGGAGTGGCTGATCCTGGCATCACAGCTCAGCTTCTTTGGCTTGTAGCAGAACCAAGGCTCGCCTGTACGGAGGTCAGTGTAATTGCACAGCGGCTGCTGAGTTGGACGTAGGCAGACGTTACAGGTAGTGGTTTCAGAAAGAGAGCCTGAACGGAAGAGGCTCTGGAAATAAACCCTGTCTGGCTGTTCACTGGTCAGCCTGCGCAGCACTGTGACAGCCTCACTAGGGTGAACCAGCGTCACCTGATGGGACAGAGAACCAGAATTTTCACTAAGTCCAGTCATGTTCAGTCATTAACGACAAATCAAATGAATACTACTTAAAGTTGCACACTTTGTCTCAGGTGTAAACCAGTTTGAGCTTCAGACTCTATGGAGAACTGACCATTCACTTGACTAAACCTCTCAAACAGAGATCACAGTTCAGCAACTGTAACTAGGCAGGGTAAGTCTTTCAAGCTTTGGATTTCTCCACATGTTGAAGTGGTGTGCATGGGGTAAGAGTGTTTAGAGAAGAGTTCTTTATTGTTTTAATTTAACCTGCAAATGTTTACAGTGGCTAACAACCTTACCTACATCATACAGTATTTTATGGGGTTACAGGTCACATTAAAAATGTCCCAGTCATGACCAGCACATCTACTGTGCAGTATTTCTCGATTGTTCAGGAGCCTCCTGGGGGCTACTATGAGGAAGTATGCTAATATTAGCAGCCTCACCTCAACCTGTGCGCTTCCTTCCCAGAGTAAAGAGAACACAGCAGAGTAGGAGCCATTGAGATGATCCACCACTTGTCCAGCCACACCTGCACCAAGCTTCAGGTTGTGCAGCCGGGCGAGTAAGACGTCTCCCCCAGACTTCTTGAGACGGCCCAGGAAGTCATACATTTTAATCATAACCTCCAGCTGATCCCCTACGTGCCACTCTCCTCCTTCCCTCCCTGGTGGGAGAATGGTGAAACTGCTGTGGGCAGGATCACTGGTCTGCTCCAGGGAAAGAGGATCTGGCAGAGCAGGAGTTTCAGGCCAAGCAATGGAGTCTAGTAGGAGGCGTTCCTCCAGAGCGTCCTTAGAGGACGGTGGCTGGAAGGTGCAGAAGCCATGTTGAATGTCACGGTCAGGGGAAACTCTTGGGTAGGATTTCACTTTATGCTGAAACTGGCGGGGGGGGGAGAGAAATGCATCAAAAATACTCAAATCAAATTAAACAAATAAGCCAACTGTGCAAACGATTTTCTTAAAACGGACCCAAAGGGATAAAACGTCTCAAGATACTGAAACAGCTTTGCACAAGGTAAAAATTCAGATTCGGAGAGTTGTTTAAAGGTATTTTTGGAGCACTTTTTTGACTTTGTTTTGACAGGACAGTGGATAGAGTGAGGAAAAAGGGAAAGCAGCAAAGGGCTGCAGGTTGGATTTGAATATTGGGATATTTTCATTGGCGCAGTGGCTGTTTCATGCCTAGTGGTTTGCCAGGTACTGATGACAGAGGAAGATTTTCATAGCTGAAAGATGCAAATAAACACAAGGCAGACACACACACACTTTAGAGTCAAAAATAATGTCAACGTGTTTTTTAAATGCCCTTTTCATCTCAGCCAGCTGGAGGGGCGTGTCAATATCTGTGTTTGATTGACAGCCGCTGGCAGAGGGCCAGTAGAGGAGAGAAAACGTAAACAAACTTGAGCTGTGGCTACATGTAAATGGGCAGACAGCATGTTGATGGAGGTTTTGAAGAGTAACGACCCAAGTGTCATCAGCAGGTACATTAACATACTGTTTAATGTGCTGCTGCTGAGAAGCTAATTAGCTAACTTGCTCACAAACTGATGTCAGCAGTGCACTCTTCCCTGATGAATGTTTGTTTAGTCGCGTATATAACAAGCTACTGTACAGGACAGGTTCATGTTTGTAAGTTGGATAAGATGGAGTCTTTAGCAGGAAAGCTGATGTGGGTTACTGCTTCATGCAAATTTTGATTGGCTGTATCAAAATAAGATCCTCTTCATCTAAGTCCACAGAAACCTAACGCTATTCAAATTAATTCAAAACTAGGGGGCGCCATTAAGAAACCAAAAAATATAAAAGGGAGCTTTTGACAGTATTAATTCCCTGATTTGGTTATGCTCCAGTTTTGGCTGCTCCTCGGTGGGATAAGCTTTTAAACTTGATGTTAGTTAAGTGGGCGCAGGGGCAATGTTGCTGCAATTTGAAGATTTGGGGATAGATAGGCCATTTTGTTTCTTTTCGAGGAAATTCAATAAACATCAGTTGAATTTTCAACAAGAAACTTTAATTTTTTGTTTTTGCAGCATTTCTATGTGTATGTTAGCTCTGTGCCTGTGGTGGTATATACAGATCATGACACTTTGACCTTTCTCAGTTCCTTCTAGTGTCCTAACCAGAGGCTAGATTGCTGCGCTCTGCTCTTCCTACAACCTGGACGTTCGTCACATCAATGGGCGTGACATTGTAGTGGCAGATGCATTGTGTCGGTCTACTTGTAAGTAATTATTATGTGTGCATCTGTTCTCTGCTTTGTCCCCATCTTCATAGGTCTTTCTCTTTCTCCTTAAATCAGCTTTGAGGACCCAGAGCTGGGGATGGGGGGAGGAATTAGGGGGGCTATTTGTTTATGGTTATATAGAGTTGCACTTAGATGTTTGGGTTGTGCCTTATTTTTACCCCCTTTTGGTGTCTGATTTCTTTTCTCAAAGGAGAACACCAGGCACTTTAACACCAGGCAGAACAGTAGTGTTTAACTGCCCTTATTACATTCTATTCAAAGTATCTGTCAATACTTTATGAACAGGCTTTTGCATTTTATCATATTTGAATAAATAGAGGCCTGAACAGACAAGTAAACTGACTGGTCACAGCTACAGGACGTCCCAGTCATGGACATAAATGTCTAAATTTCACCATAATCCGTTACTTTACTTTAATTTTGTGTGATCACTTTCATTTTAGGATAAAGGAAAATGTGTGCTAACTTATATACATGAGAAGAACATTAGCCTACATAGTAGAGAAATTATCCTTTTTGGAGTGCCTCATTAACCTGGAGTCTGAGGTTCAAATACTCTATTTACTTTTGCTTGAGTAATGTTTGCTTACAAAAGGTTGACATGCTACTGCACACTTCATTAAATGTTGAACTCCTTGTTCTGCATGAAAGTTATGATTATTGACACTCAGCAAAAAACACATTAGAGACAAATCACTATGTAGAGCATTTTTCTTGCATGAACACAACCCACTAAAATAAAACTGCTGTCCAACTGAAATTAATATCATGCTAGTGGTCAGCCACATAGTATACTATTATCTGCAATGATAATGATAATAAAACTAACATTAGCCCTAATATCAAACCTTAACCACAGTGGTGTACAATGGTTTTATTTGTGAAACAGTTGAATTACACGCCAACATGTGAATGGGGCACACTGCCCCAGGTACTCGCCCCCAAGTTTTTTCCACTTCAGGCTCTGGTTGGAACACATTGATGGTTTTGGTATTGTCATGAGGTGAAAAGCCAGCCGTGTCCTTGCACTGCTGTCAGCAAAGCACAGTGCAGGATTGTGTGGTAAAATATGGTGAACTACAATTTCAATGAGGAACATCCTTCAAACAGTCTCACTAAAACCAAGTTCTCACCTCCAGGAAGTCCATCTTACGTAGCATAAAGATTATGACAAACACAGCCAGCAAGAGGAAGATGGTGCAGTACTTTGTGATACGCATGCTGACCACCTCTATTATGCAAGCTCTGACCTTCATGATCAGTGTTCAGTCTTCATCTCTGGCTGCAGCATGGCACTGTGACCACTTCATCTGGTACTGGATTTAAAAAAACAAAGGGGACACCTTGTTATTTTAAAAAGTATTACTTGTGAAAACTTGAACTCAAATGGGAAATACCTGGTTTTAAATCATTAGAACTAAACTAAACACAGTTACCCAGGTAATTAACGGATCAACCAACAACCAAGGCCACATCCAAAGACAGCAGCCTTGCAGTTCAACACGATGATTCATTTCCAGGTGAACCTATGATGTACACTATTTAATTACATTTGGACAATGAAGTATTTTGCAAACTGACACCACTGTCTGCAAAGTCACCCTTACAACAAGTTGCACAAATATCTGTTTTCACCAGTGTCCTGCTAAGTACAGTTTTCCACAGTTATTCAGATGAATTCCTGCCAAGACTGCAAATGCAGATGATGTAAGAGAAATATAATCTCATCTAAAATACAAATACAGGCACATTTAGCATATTCATTGTAAATTCCTTTATGCACTGTTGCTACAGCAATGTGCCAGGAACAAACAAACATAAAGCTCAGTTTTTGTCCAGCTTTAGTTTACAAAAACTGATACTGCAGTATTATGCAAGAGTAAATAGGAGGGAACAGCAGCAGCTCTGAATAGGATTTTTGGGGTTGATCAATACTGATCACGATGGTGGGGTCTGTTTGAAGCCTTTTATTTGCTGTGTTGCGTCATTTATATATATAACTGTTCTAAATAAACATTGTATATTAAGAATTAAAAATTAAAGGTAGTTTTCAGTGGCCCCTAGCGGTGCGGTTTAATAAATACAGTGCACTGAGCACAATATGTTAGGCCAATTATTATGAGCATATATTTTGGTATTCGAGTTCAGTTTAATTTGAATATGTTTGTTATAACCTAACTCTTGGTTGCATTCCCTTCTTATAGGCCAATTATAGAGACTGGTGATGTAGCTCCCACCTTTTGTTATTTGGCGCAGGTAATGTGATGATTTTTCAGTATTGAAGGACCTTTCATGTCATGAGAGGTTTTTTTCGTTTCCTTGCTTTATGAAGGTAATTTAGAACAATGTTTGGAACATTTTTGAAATTGTTAAATAAATGAATCTGATGTTTGAAGTGACATGTTCTTGAAAGTGAGTTGGAGCGAAATTAGGAAAATAGGATGAATGTCTCCCCATTAAGTAAAAGGCTGTGCGTATTTACGCACGAGGTACACAACAGCATAACGTCACTGATTATTTGAATCTCCCGACCCTCCGACAGGATCCGTCTGGATGAACTGACAGCAGCCTCTCTGATCATGAAAGCAACGTGTTAAAGAAAACCTATAGCCTAGAGAAATCTATTTACGCATCAGGGGAGCTACCGTCCTGTTAAGTCTCCACCGTCGGAATCGAGCAAAGGGAAATAAGGTTACTCTGTTTCTCGTGGGTTTGTTTTTTCTGGTGTCGAAATGTTTCTCAGTGTTGGTGAATTCTTAAAAAAACAACAACACTTAATTTCAATGCGTTGTAACGGCGTTAATTACACTGCAACGGGTATAAGGAACACACAAATTATAATTATACTCAGATCTACTCGTGCCCTAATGATGGGTCAACGATATTATAAGCATACGCTCTGTCCTTCTACAAGTGGCAGCTGCGGCTGTGTTAGCCTGTGTTATGTGTTTAACTTCTTCCTATAATGGTCCTGTTATAGTTTGTTCTTGTTGCTGCAAACATCGGCTCTTTTAAGGGAACTCGCAGGGGGAAAAATCCTGCCGGCTGAAAAAAATGGTGGATGCAAACATCAGCAGGTAGGCTACACAATCTGTTTAGCCAAATAATGCATCCACCTCTTTGTTCGTTCAATTCATGTTTCCACATTCAAAAAAAATAAAAAAATCCTCTATTTATGGTTTATAGGCCTATCTGTATAAAATACTTGTAACACATTAATAAAAAAAAACACCAGATTGTTCGCCCTCAGAAATATTAAGAGAAGGAAATTTCATGAATTTGTTGTCATCCTTATCAAAGAAATGCTACTTCTACAGTTTGATGACTCCAAGCGTTATTTATTTCGACTTGGATTCATTTTTATGAAAACCCGCATTTGATTCTCTTGATCAGTGTACTTTTACAGAATAAAGGAATATAAATAATTAAGGAATGGACACATATTCGGACTTTATGATCGGTTCAAATGGAGTGATTCGCTTCTTTCTTCTGTCTCGGTTCATCTCAATGAATTCTACTTTGATGCTTAAGGTTCCCATAAAATGAACTAAACGACTGAATTGTGGAGAAGCTAATCAATCTACCGAAGTGTGTGTTTTAGTGTTGTAGCATTAAACTAGAACTCAAGCGGGGTACTAGTACTACTTCAGTGTTTCCATATTATACTCAGCTACCTTTTGGAGGCAAATAAAGTTTTACTTGGTAATTTGCCGATCCAGATTAATACAAAATATAATCAGCAAATAAATGAGATGCATTATTACTGATAAATTATGTAAAGTACATTTCCCTCTGAAATGTAGTGCAGCAGAAGAATAAAGTAGCATTAAATGGAAATAGTAAAATACAAATAGGCCTACCTTAAAAAATATACACATTAAAATGTTTAGTGGCAACATTCAGTTTTTATGGTGTCTATAAAATGAAACTTTAAATTTACTCAAATGAATCATGTGTCTTACCTGAGCAGAGACTCATTTCAAGGGAACACAGAGATGAACAGAGAACTCTTTTGTGATCCTGCAGTTAAATCTTTTTGGGAACTTTGTTCTCTTGGCAGGACTTCCAGGAAATTAATCTGTGGATGCAGGGCTCTACAGTACGAACTTGCATATGGCCATAAATCCGCGGATTTATCGGAACAGTGTGCCAGTAAAGACTACAACTCTAATATTCTAATCAAACAGCCTGAATAGGGTGGGGCATTAAAAAAAGGTTGACGTGTTACAGCAAACTTTCTGATGCATGAATGCATGAATTGTTGATTGATAATTGACGAGTAAGTAGCATTAATAGATTAGAGATTAACCACCATGTAGGGCATCTTTCTAGCGCAAGGATTAAATATAAACAATCCACAAAAATGAAGATCCTGTAACTGGAATTAATATTATACTAGTGGTAAGCTATATAGTATACTATTATATTAAATTCTAACAAATATAGTAACATCGTTTATTTAATATATTAATATTATACTAGTGGTAAGCTATATAGTATACTATTATATTAAATTCTAACAAATATAGTAACATCGTTTATTTAATATATTAATATTATACTAGTGGTAAGCTATATAGTATACTACTATATTAAATTATAACAAATATAGTAACATCATTTATTTAATATATTAATATTATACTAGTGGTAAGCTATATAGTATACTATTATATTAAATTATAACAAATATAGTAACATCATTTATTTAATATATTAATATTATACTAGTGGTAAGCTATATAGTATACTATTATATTAAATTATAACAAATATAGTAACATCATTTATTTAATATATTAATATTATACTAGTGGTAAGCTATATAGTATACTATTATATTAAATTATAACAAATATAGTAACATCATTTATTTAATATATTAATATTATACTAGTGGTAAGCTATATAGTATACTATTATATTAAATTATAACAAATATAGTAACATCATTTGATTAATATATTAATATTATACTAACTTACTTGTTTACATATGTTTGAATAAAGTTATTGTTATAAATATTGTTCAGTAATCATGTTGTGGTGTGGGTGGGTGGTGCTGGTATTTTGGATCTGTCCCTGGTTCAAAAACATCTAGTCCACAAGTTTTCTGATGACTTGTCAGTGTTTAAAAATATGTGTCCTTGTTTTAAAAGCTGTTTTGAATCTGTCAAATTAAAAAAAGCTTTGAGAATGTTTGAGAGTGTCCAGGTACCAGAGTCCTCCACTGTTATCATTATTGCACACAGAAACACACAGTATAAATATGTAATACACTGTTTGTTAATAAACTCTGTTACTTGTTAAAAAAAATCATAATTAACTAGGAAGAAATAAATAAAAGAAAACCTGTCAACAGGATTTTTGTTACAATTAAACAGAAAGTTAATAAAACAATGGTTAAAAGAATGGAAAACTAGCTTTCCTTTTTAACAGAAGGAGAAGCCAATTCCGTAAACATAAAGTAGAAAGAAGTTACTTTAACAAATTTAAATACAAATTTAAATACAAACAAACCCTCTACTGTGCAGACTGTGTTTGTTTTAACATTGCTCACCGGTCTTAAACATACACACTCCCTAGGGGCAGTAGCAGGATGAGCACAGGACAGACAGAACAGTGGAACAAAAATAACAAAACACACAACTCTCTAGCCGTAACAGCTTCATAATATCGACAACAGTACCCTAAACCCCACTCACCGTCCACCTCCACCATTGGCTCTAAGTCCTCTGCCAGGTTTGACCACATGTGTCACATATACAGCGCCCAACTCCTCCCACTCCACAATGGCGAAAAACCCCAGCAAGCTCTGACTGACATGTACTGGGTCCAGGCTTCAAGGAAAATGGCACTCATGACTCTTCCCAGGACAAACCGGGGCCCGGTGTGCTGTTAGCCTTCTCCATCCCTCTTCTCCGACATCATCACCAAAAACACTAATAATGCACGTGCCCTGTTTTCAACTGTCGACGGGCTAACCAACCCTCCTGTGTCTGTAGCCTCTGAACTTCTATCCACCAGGGCCTGCAATGAATTTGCTTCCTTCTTCACAGACAAAATTCAAACAATTAGACAAGCAATCAGTGCCTCCATGTCAGTTACAGGATATGTCCTGTCCCTGTGTCCACTTAAAAACAATTCATATAGCATGAGACAATTTGATTCTATTAACCATAAAAACAAAGCTTAGTGCTTTCTTGGCACTAAATAACTGTTTTGATGTCTTCCAGTCAGGATTTAAACCCGACCACAGCACTGAGACAACTCTTGTTAAGGTCTTCAATGACATCCATTTCAACACTGACAGTGGCAGAATTTCGGTCTTAGTATTATTGGATCTCAGTGCTGCATTCAACACGGTCGACCACAACATATTACTAGACAGACTTGAAAACTGGGTTGGACTTTCTGGCACAGTACTAAACTGGTTTGAATCCTACTTAAAGGACAGGGACTATTATGACTGTTTTCCATAATTATGCAGATGACACACAGATTTACATAACCATATCACCAGGGGACTATGATCCCATACAAGCGCTGAGTAACTGTATAGAACAAGTAAATGATTGGATGTGCCAGAATTTCTTCAATTAAACAAAATTTAAACAAAACTGCAGTTATTGTGTTTGGAGCCAAGGAAGAATGATTGAAAGTCAGTACTCAGCTTCAATTGATAAGGTTAGGAACCACAAACCAAGGAAGAAATCTTGGTGTAGTCAAGGACTCAGACCTGAATTTGAGGAGCCACATTAAGACAAATACAATGTCAGCCTATTATCACCTGAAGAATATATCAAGGATTAAAGGACTTATGTCTCAGCAAGACTTATCCATGCATTTATCTTCAGTCAACTTGACTACTGTAACGGTGTCTTTACCCGGCTCTCTAAAAAACCATCAGAGAGCTCATTCAGAACGCTGCTGCTCCAGTGCTCTCTAAGACCAAAAAAGTGGATCACATCACTGCAGTTCTGAAGTCTTTACACTGGCTTCCTGTCTGTCAAAGAACTGATTTCAAAATCCTGCTGTTAGTTTATAAATGTTTTAGGACCAATGTACATTTCTGGTCTTCTGCTCAGTTATGAACCATCCAGACCTCTCAGGTCGTCTGGGACGGGTCTGTTCTCTGTCCCCAGAGTCAAATCTAAACATGGAGAAGAAGCGTTCAGTTTTTATGCTCCATATATCTGGAACAACTGCAGGTCTGCTGAAACTGTCAGCTCATTTAAATAAAGACTTAAGATTTTTCTTTTTACCACTGCCTTTAATTACATCAAATGTGAAGCTGTAGATATAGTAATAATAAATAATATAGTACACTGCACTGTGACTTTTACTGTCCTGTTTTACCCTGTTTCTATTTCCCATTTAACTCTTTAAAATGTATTTTATCCTGTTTTATTTTCTATTTCACCCTTTTAAAATTTATATTTTAATGTGTTTTTTTCAATTTCCCTTTGTTGCTTTTTTATGTTTTATGTAATTGCCTTGTTGTTGAAATGTGCTATACAAATAAACTTGCCTTGCCTAAAGAGCTTTACAATAAAGAAATTACACAAAGCAAGCGCTTCACGTGACAGAAAATAGACATAGAAGGAATGTAAAAACAGGAATAGAATCCATCGGCTCATATAAATAAAAAAATATATAATATATTGTAAACAGAATCCATAACATAAGGAAATAAAATCAAACCCATTGAATAATAAAAGAAATTACATGCACTGAGTATGTCACATGTAAATAGACAGAATTAACATAAAAACAGGGATAGAATGCAATAATTGATGCCATAAAAAAAAAAAAAAATAAAAAGAATACATAGTTTGCATTCAGTTTAGTTTAAAACAGAATGCATAAAAATCAAGTAAAGTAGTAGTATCTTAAAAGAAGTGCTGCAATGCATAAGAGTCAAATGAGTGCAAAAGGCCTATTTCAGGAAAGTCATATCTAACCTTCTGACCTCTGCAATAGGAAGTCTTCCTGTGCCTACATTGGTATTTTTGTTTATTGTGATGTCATTGCTTGGTGTATCAAATGCCTCACATCCCTAAAGCTGTACAATAAATCCTAATCGATAAAAGCATTGAAATTGTCTCCTAAATAAAATAAATTATGGCATGATGATTGTGCGTGTTATACAAAGGAAGGTAATATGTTTCTATTGAAATTGTATTGCATAGCTTTCTTTCCCACTCCTCTCCTCAGCCCCATTTTTTCAGTATTACCTCAGAATTTTCAATTAATACAAATGTCTCCAGTGTCCACTTTATCACATCCTAGTTCCCCTATCTACTATGGCGATATAATTGTATATTTGTGATACAAAGAGCGTAGATCTGTTAGAAGAAGATTACCATCATACGGGGGGCACCTACTTTGGCACAATGGAGTGGTTAAGAAGAATTGGCCTCAACAAGACACGAGAAAATGGGAGTAGGGCGAGGGAGTAAGTTTGGTCCCAGCACTAACCAGCTCTTGATCAGTGAGCTCCAACAGGGGGGAGGAAGGAGAAAGTGTTTCTGGAGATAAGGGTGACCTAGATGCGGATTGGGGGGTTAAAGATGGTGAATCCTCACTGTTGGTTTTCAGTGACGGAGGTGGAGACTCTTCCTCTTGGCTCTGATGTCTCCCACAATCAGAGCTTGCTTCCGGCGGGAGCTGTGGTGGCTCTCCTTCAAGGTTTCTGGCGTGTTGTGTTATGTCTTCTTCTTGTTTTGATTCCTCTTGTCTCTTGTCCTTGGCAGAAGGAACAGATGAGTGATGCAGAAAGTAAAACAGGTTGGAGCTGAACAATTTTCTCCTGACTTGTTAAGGCGAAGTCCATCTGCCTCAAAAAGATGTCTGCGGTCCCAGAGAAAGTTAAAATTTTCAATGAAATGCACTGAATGGACAGAACATGCTGTTGAGAGCCACGTGTTCAATGCCATCAATCTGCTGAATCTCTCAACTCCTCTTCGGATTGACGGTATAGGGCCACTGATAAAAACCTCAGCATTCAAAGAGCTGACTGTGTTCAACCGATTATTAAAGTCCTCTTTCAACACTTCAGACTGTTGCTTCACAACATCATTGGTCCCGATGTGCAGTATGATGTTTTTCACAGTAGAATGTTCAGCCACGATATGCAGGATTCTTTCTGCCAAGTCAGACACCGTATCCTTCGGAAAGCAGATTATTTTGGTGTTCTTACTGCACATGCTTCTTACATCGTTTACAGCAGAGTCACCCACAATCAGAGTTTGAGGCCCAGTCGTTAGCTTTCCCTGCAGCCTTTTACTTTCTGATTTACTCTCAGTCCTTACACAGGTAGTCAGACGGAGATCCAGTGGTGAAAATCTGTTCTGCTGTTGCACACAGGGGGGAGGTTTGTTGCTAACTCTCCCTTTCGGAACTGTCCACAGCTGCTTCCTACTAAGAACAGGGGTTGAAGAGGCGCTCTGCCTGGATGATAATTCAGGCCAATCTCTGGGCGCTGGGTTCTGCCTGTTACTCGTCCTCCCATTTCCCCAGGAAATGATTTACTCTTAGGCTTTGCACTAAGAGCGTTCCAGGGAGGACTCACACTTTTAGATTTATTACCCAGTACCCAGGCCTCCTGCTTCTTGGTAGTCTTGTTGATGCTAACTAGCCATGTGTTAGCATGCTCTTGTCTGTTTTGGGTAAAGTAGTGTCATTCCCACATAGTCCATTCACTTCCACATTCACTTCTAACCTGTGGATCTTGGTTTCCAGCACTGCAATTTTCTGTAGAAAGTCTTCCATGGAGAAGGGGGGCATCTTGTTGCTAATTAGCATTAGCTATAACTCCAGTCACTGCAGTACAGGCTAGTGCTATTGATAGGCTGCACTTGTGTAGCACTTAAAGCATAAAAGTGTTTAAAGTATGGCAATAGCCTACTTTATCTGAATAGATGACAGTCCCAGTGATTTAAAAGTATCCAAGAACCGCTGCTCATAATTACTAGCAGGAAAAAATAAAGAAATTCAGCAAAAGAATGCAAGCAGAGGCAAGAGCAAGCAGCAAAGCGTCTGCACAGTAAGAAAACATATGTACAGGTAAAGTTTATTATTACAGTAATTTGAGATCGCCAAAACTTTTTAAACACCCACATCACTGCTGTTAGAAATGACAGGGTTAGATGTGTAGTCTGGGATGACTTGAAGCTAAACACCAAAGATGACACGCTGTTTGAATAGCAGGCAGCAGATTAGACTTTGCTCAGTCTGCTCTACACTGTATTTGTAAACGTGGAACAGTATAAAGGATCTCTGCAGCGTGGTGGCAGAAAATGATCTGTCTTATATTCATGCTGATAAATATATATCTACCATTGTGTACTTATAGTCACCTTCTCTGGTGTTATACTGTCCACTTGGATATGCTGGGGTTAGTGTGTAGGTATGAACATCTGTGAAATTGTTATGTTTCATGCCTCTCTTTTCCCATTGGAAGTAGAGCTTTCAAGGCCACTGTGTGAGGGAGCAGTCTCCCTGCTTCATATGTCATGGTTGTCCTCTGCTTCGTGTAATTTATTTGGGTTAGTAATAGTCAGATGTAGACATGTCTAGTCAGACGTGATCTCATGATAGACTGAACTAACGTGAATAAATGAAATAATGTCTTGCAGCCTTGTGCTGCATAATGACTAATAAACAACCTTGTATATTACCATTAGCTAGTCATACGTCAGAGAAAATAATTGCATTCATTGTATGGAATAATTCACTCCTAAAGAGGAAAGTCATTATTATTAATTCCTTTTCCTGTAACAGGGCCATTAAATCTTTAAGTAAGAAGCATGCACTTCACTTCATGGTGATTATATGATTATTCCAGGCAGCAGCCTTTAATCCAAGAAGAGGTCTCAAACACAAAAGTAGTTAGGTGTAAACTTTTACACATGTAACTATCATAAAAGTCCCTATTTTTCTCCCACAGGTTAATCTACGAGACATTATAGATAGTAATTATTACTGGCAACTCATTCCCACACCCAAAGTTGGAGTATGAATATGTTATGACTAAGAGTGGTGATGTTTTTCAAGATGAATCTAGCTGCCAGTGTGTCTGATAGTAGTAGACGTCTGACCCAGCTGCAGCTTTGTTTTATGTACTTCCTTGTTTTTCTCCTTTAATAAATCAACCAAAAGACAATGGTTTGTTGTAATCCATTCACTTGTTCAATTCTGCACCGGGAAATAATTTTATACTGTACTATTTCCATGACAGCTGAGTTATTACTCAACAGATCTGGGCTATTTCCCTTGAGCCAAAGGGCCTTCTTCAAAGACTTCTCAGTAGTTGACTGCCAAGGCTGGATGCCAGAGATCATACACTGTCTTTCAAATCAGCATTGAAAAGTTAAATGCTGATTCGAAAGACAGTTGACACTTGCTTTTTCAGATTGTGCACTTGCAATGTTTTGTGCCTTTGATGATATACATTGCGGTAAGAAATCAGTAAATCAACTGATGCAGCAACTTCAACTGGTAAAGAACTGTTGTATGTGTGATTTTACAAACTCATTTGTTGTCCTGGAAGGAGAGGTGGATGTAGTGTTGTTCTCATGTGGACGACGTCTCGGGCATTGTGCACTCTGCTCCACGTTGAGCTCGGCTCACCTCAAGGGTACAGGCATCAGGCCTCTATTTTTAGATGTGTGTGTGAACTGTGCCACTGTGAGTGAAATAGAGTTTTGTAACTCCCTTCTGGTACATAGCAGGCAACATATATTAATACAGAATAAATTGGTAATAAAAATAGCAAACAGAAATAAACTATAATCAATGCAGCAGTGCCGATGATGAATTTGAATAAGGCTACATTAACACATGGACACCAACAGTGACTGAAATAGGAAAATAACAGAGTAATACAAAACTTTAAGTGTTAAAAATAGCACAATTATGTTGTTGAATTTATTGATGAAGTGATTGGAAGTACCTTATGCCAGATGAGAATGTATATTTATGTCATGCACCAGGACTTTGCCCACCCTTGATTTCCACCAGTCACATTAAGGCTAGTCTATATTTGAGACCTGGCCTTTATTTTAACACTGGCTTATTTGAGAAATTGATAATTATTATTCCATTCTGCTAATTGCTGCTGATACTGTCACTGATTACTGTAAAGTGATTTCATGTTCATTGCATTGTGCTAATTGCTAAATTTTCATTGCATCCATTGTTATATCATTCAAGCTGGTTCCTGCTTATTGCTGACATTATCAAGTCAGTTAGTCATGTTCATTGCTGACCTCATTCAAGCAAGATCCGTGACATTTGATTAGTGCCAGAAAAAAATAGATGTAATCAGATTACAGGTACATTTTGTAAAATCGGAGATTACTCATAGGGATTACTTTAATAATAAGTTTTCCATGAAACAGAAAATGCAGTTCTATTTGCTTCTGTATATGTTTTTTTATATACAGTTTATGTACGTGTTTCTGTAAAAATACAAAGCTAGCGAGGGACGTGACGCAGACATTGATCAGCGTTTACAGACGCTAATCTGTCCGCCAGGTTGCTCCGAGCTCCCAGTACGGGGAGAGCTAATCTGAGCAGTGGCTGCACAGCCAACTGAGCTAGTTAGTTGTTAACTAACTTCAGCAACAAGTAAAGCTGTGTACCCATCAGGAAACTCTGAATCACAGAATTGAGGCAGATCTGCTGGGGGACATGAGAGAAAAGTAGAATATATTTTCTCCATATATCTAATATTTCTCCATCAAATATGATCCAGTTTCACCAAAATCAGTGAAGAAAATGTGTTTTTGTACAGTAATCAGTGGGGCCCAGTCCCAGAAACACTATACTTCAGCAACATTATATTGAGAAATCTTTTCATTAAGTACAGAATGAGAACATTTTAAAATTCTCTTTCCAAATGACAAACTCTTAAATATCATCAAGAATACCAAAACACATTTTTTTGTCATTGATGGGCCAGAAACTGCCATGGTGTTGGCATAGTGCAAAGCATATCATATAAAAACATTTAAGCATGGATTTTGATTTCATGGGAATGGAAGATTTTGTATATTTCTCTAAAAATACACTGAGCAGACAACGCATCAAGTAATCCGAAAGTAATCATGTTACATTACTTTTATTGGTACTTGGATTACATTATTTATTACATTTTAACAATTCGTAATTGTTCCGGATTACATTTTTAAAGAATCCTCCCAACCCTGAGTACAGTATAAAATACACATTTATTAATTTTTTACACAACCAGTTTTATCAATAGCCATAAATTTGTTAACAGTATTATGTTACATGTAATTTAATTATGTTGCATTAATATTCTGATAACCATTTAATGTTGACTTGTAAATATATGTTACATCATGAAACTTAAAGGCAAACCTAGCACTCTGAGCATGAGTACTACACTCTGCAACTGGATATATGGCTTCCTCACAAACAAACTACATACAGTTTGGACTGACGGTCACTTTTCCATCACTCTAGTACTCAGCCCCCATCTGTACACTGACCCCTGACTGCAACACCCGACATTGAGAGAACTCTGTTGTGAAGTTAGCGGACAACACCACCATTATCGGCAGGAATTTAAACCAATGACGAGACTTCATATTGGGAGGAAATAAACAATCTTGTAGAGTTTTGCACAGAGAACAGCTTACTGCTTAACATCAGCAAAACCAAGGAGCAGATGATTTAGGAAAAAGGAGGTGAAGACAAACGCCCCTGTCGACATCAGTGGAACTGAGGTGGACATGGTTCACGGTTTCAGATTCCTGGGAATCAGCCCCCTGATGACTGTATTTCCTATAGAAATGTAAGAAGAGCATAGCAAAATTCTTGTGGCTTCTTGTTAACTTTTACAGAGGAACAACTGAAAGCATCCTGACTGGAAACATCACAAATTGACATGGAATCTGCACAGCCCAGGACAGCTCTGCAGAGGGTGATAAAAACCACCAGAACCAATGATTTCTGGGCAGTTTGCAGAGCATCAGTGAATTCAGTGAGGTGCCCGACTACTAAAAGATAGTATAGACTATAGAATGTAAGAAACGCCCATCCTGTGGGATAACAATAGTATCTGGTGCATACACCATCCCAGCAATCATTTTGAGACAGATTTTCATGGTCCTAGATCACGTAAAATATTTACCAGTGATTGATGACCACCAAATACCATTTAAATACATAGTCAAGTGTCATTTTACAACTTAATGAATTGCTAAGGATCACCTAAAAATCTCTGTTAAACAGCTGCATGGTACATAGGGGATTGTGGGATAGCACATAGGGCTGCAAATGGTACATCATACTCCAGAATCTGCAGGATCTAGACCCTGAATTGAGGCACAGCCTGTTTTTCAAGTTTCTGGAGATTTTACCTTTTTACCAGCCAAAGTTAGGGGAGGAACATAAATGTTGAGTTTTAAAGAGTTATAAACTTTAACTGAACTATTATTTTTAATACATTTATTCAATTAGAATTGTGTAAACATAATTAATGGTTGTTGTATCATAATCCACAATTTCTTCATCAAGTCTTAAATTATACATTTTGATTCACAATCATCTGGTCATCCGTTTGTATTAATTTATTCTTGTGTTTTTCTTTGTTAAATCTGCAGTCAGGAAAGGTTTAGAGGTGCCGGTAGATTCTGTTTCCTTCTAACAGAGCCATGCTAGCAGTTTCCCCTGTCTTTATGCTAAGCTAAGCTAACTGGTTAAAACTTCTTATTGAATGGACAAATATGAGAGTGGCATCAATCTTCTCATCTGGCGCATTGCCAAGTGTCAAACTATTTAAAGTAGTCTGTTGGTACTTTTCTCCCAAAGTAAATAGTTCAAGTTCATTAAACTATCAAACTATTCAAACTATGGTGAACATTGACCACATTTTACCTTGGAGTCAAAGTAGCAGAGCACAGGTTCTGTCTTAAAGGTAGATCGTTAGCTGCTGGATGAAATCCCAGCATAGATAGGATAACTATCTACAGGGCTTCTGTATGTGTGTTTATGGCAACAGTATATTTTCTAATGTAAGAGACATTTTTTAACACAAAAAGAGAAAAATGTTACAGTTTAATGTTTTTGTTTATCTTGGTGATCTTGTTTTAGCTGTATGTGCTGTATGTCTATTTTTGTGTAAGTACATTGAGAGAGGAACAAAAACAGTCAAATTCCTTGTATGTGTACAAATACCTGGCCAATAAATCTGAATGTGATTTTTAGTCTGCTTCATTTGATTCTGCTACAGTTAGTGAGCAACATCTAACCGCCCTTTTGAGGGCATATGTAGGACAAGAGAACATTAATCATATTCTTAATAATGGGAGAAGGTGGGTGGACGTCGTGCGGCAGGTGGTGGGCGAGGCACATCTCCCAGGCATCCACCAGATGAACATTCAGACCTTTGAACACAGCTCTGAGCACTTTGTCACCGTTCACCGCATACCAGTCGCTGTAGCCTAGTGCTATAGTAGAAGTCAAAGCTCTGGGGTTCCCGGTCCGGATGACGACCAGTGTGCCTGGAGCCCTGTCCAGTAGCCGCACCACCGCCCTGCGGATGCTCTGCAGCCGCCGGATGTAGACCTCGATGGGGAAAGGGGTGAAATGAGCCCAGATGCTGAGAGCTACGACAGTGTCGATGCCTCCAGTTAAGCCATCTAGTTCATTGGCAACGTAACGCAGCTCGGCGGTTGGAACAATGGTATAACTGAGAGGAGGACCGTGGCAGCGATATGTCACCAAGATGTTGTTCGCATAGTCCAAGGCCATGAAAGGTCCAACTTGCATCGGGCCGCGCAGGTTAAACTCCTTAAGATCTAAAAGTATTAAAGAGAACAGATGAAGCTGCAGTGTGAACAAAATCAAACTGTTGGCAGAAATCCCTGTGGATCACTTACCTGGCAGTGCTGCTTTGAAGTACTGAAACCACTGCCTGATGGTGGAGTCTCCGTACAGGTGGACCTTCTTGCCTTTCAGACACTGACTGATGTCAGAGGAGGTGCTGAATTGTTGAACACTGGTACCAATTATTGCTTGCCATGCACCCTGGTAGTAATAGCCAGAAGGTCCAGACTTCACAATGCTGCTCTTCACCTCCGGTTGACCTGCAAAGAAGTTAAAGGATAAGGATGGGCGTATTTTATACTGTCAAAATATCCCATAAAACAAAAAAAAGAAAAGAAACAATGTCTCTCCCCAACCTGTTTGTGGAACTCCAGTCAATTTGTTACTACTGAAGACATAAATCCTTGGAAATATGTCACAACTTTATTTTATTTATTTTTATATATATATTTTTTTTTAAAGGTTCAGTTCATTATTCAACGTATGCATTTGTTGGACTATTTTCAGCAGTGTATAAATACGTATTTGGTGCACTACTGTTCAGCAGGACAGTGGGTTTGGAACTGTATTGACACAAACTACAGTGCCCACATTCATTGCGATAAAAGAATGTCACTTGCAACAGTGTGGTCTGTTGTGTGGCCCCGTTTTGTCCAGACCTTAAAGTCTGGACAAAACGGGGCTCAAGTTGTCCAAGCAATGGAAGTCAGAGACCGTTGTGCCCACATCTTTACAGAGACCTGCCCCATCAACATCCCAGATCAAGCACTCGTCATGCAGACCTTGTTTGGCAAGATGAGAGGAAGTGGACTCTTCTGTGATTCTTGGCGCTTAAACGCAATTGAGATGGTCAGACTTTTATATGAAGATGAAAACCATATTACCATCTTGTTGCTGTGGTTTACATTCACCCCAGATGCAAATTCCAAATAATGCACTGCGGAATGTTGGGTGGGTGTATACGCCCATGTTGCCTCTTTAGCCCAGTGTTTATTTTATTTAGTTAAAATATTACCATGTTTTAATACACATTTAATCATCTGTTAAGTTCTGTGTGTGTAGCATGAAGGGTGAAAAATAAACAACCTTGTACTTTGAAAATTAGCCATTCACAGTCTTGTGAAATGTTTTGAGGCTCAAATTCACTATCTAGAGATGTAAATGGTCTAATTATTTTGTAGTTTACTGGGATTACAATCTTATTGGACTTCATATACCTCACAAGAAGTATGAATGTACAAAACTGGTCTTCAAAACTGGAAGAAACTATGTTGATGCCAACGAGAACAAACAGGCATCTGTTTTAACTTCTAAAAGTGGCTAATGTACCTGCTAGCTGCTAATAAAATCAACTAAAGCTAATATGGGGGATGGTAAGTGATTAGTTGTTTACAAATGTCATCTTTTCTACCCGTTTCATTGTTTGAAGCATATTTTGTTTTGAACAAGAGTAATTGTATTATTATTATTATTCAGTAATGGTGGCAGTAAAAAATGCTTTACCTTTCTTTTTTGGCATCACAGTGACACTGGCAGCTCCCGAAGCCCGAACAGAGACTTTCATGTTGACACCACTGAAGAAGAGCACATATTATAGAATATTTCTTACACATACACACCACAACATAAATACAAGAAACGAGGACATGAATGAGAAATAAAAACCTTTTAATTAAAGTTAAAACAAAAACACAAAAATGGGAAACAACTGCTTGAAAATTTCCTTCAACATTACATTTATTCATTTAGCTGACGCTTTTATCCAAAGCGACTTACAATTGCTATACATGTCAGATGTCGCACGCAACTAGGGGTTAAGTGTCTTGCTCAGGGACACAACGGTGGATGTCTTACAGTGGGAATCGCACATTATATAAAGTTAGATAAAGTTGCACTACTTAATATTTTCATATAAACAATGGGTCAGATGACTGTGTATACTGCGCAAGGCGTTGCTTGCAGTGACAAACCCAATATTGTGGTTTCCTTCAGCTCTACAGATTGTAGTAACATCTTACAGCTTGTTTTATAGCCTGCCATTCTGGTTGAGTCGAGACATAGAAGGCAGTGTTTTCATCAAAGATGTAAACTGTACTGGATGTAAACTGTAGATTAAAGCCTGCCATTCGCTGTGTATTACACACAGTATACCCCTTTTCAAAATTCCTTTAGCTACTTGAAACAGCAACAACCTCAGTGTTATGATCTGGCTGTGCATACCTCCTAGTTCCTAGTGTTTCTTGCATATTTGCCTCCCAGTGTTACTGTCTGCTGTCTGTCTCCTGTTCGCGTGTGTGTGTGCGCGTGCGCGTGCGCCATATGACAAATCTATGCATTTTCTTGGTACTTTTGACCATTTGATAAACATGTCTATCATCCTTGAATAAAACCGTTAAAAAAATAGACACATTGAAAGGGAGAAGGGGAGTGAGTTTGAGGGAATGGGGAATTCATTTGAAACTTACATCATAGTAGGGCTGGTTATCGTTTAAGGTTACTGGTTTTGATACACGTCTCATACATTTTTAAAGTGATTCCGACACCAACAGAGCACTTCATTCAATACCTTGCATAAAATGCCACCTGTTGAAGCCAAAATGTTAAATAGTTAGTGACCACTGTGAGTTGTGGAAAAGGAATATAAGTTAGTTTTTGATATGTTTGAGAATCATTTTGTTTACTTTGGATCACTAAATCTTGAAGAACTGAGTTGGAAGATCTCCACAAGTAATTCTCTTTAGTGTTGAGTTGCACACCTCCAATGCGACAATAAGAAGCAGAAAATGAGTAAGGAGTCAGCTTAAACAAGTCACTAAACTACACTAAAGACTGAAGAAGCAAGCAAAGGAAAAGAAAGCCTGCGCATCCAGCCGATCACACAGATTATCGTTTTGTGCTTGCTTAAATCTTTTTGGGGGGCACCAAAAATTCCTCTATGCAGGAAAAACCCTGGGCACACTTCTCTGCAGGCACCAATCTGTAAGATCACCTGGAGCTTCCTGGCGCACCTTAAGTTTTCACAATCAACCTCTGCAGACTTAAACTCCAGCCCTTCACCTCAGAATTCACCTGATCACCGGCCAGTTTAGTGGCAATTCGCACGCTATGGCCTCTGCGTCTAGTCTCTCAGTCTAGTGTCTTTTTCCACTTGTCTTGTGCCTCGACAGTTTTTTTGTCTCAGCACATGGAAGCGCAGTCTTCTTTTTTGGAACTTGTATGGCTTCTCTCCGCCACTGCCCTACAGGATTTTAACGTTCACCGTCCTGTTTATTGTTCAAGAAATCTTCTATGTAAAATCTAACCCCTGCTACCGTGTCTGCTCTTGGATCTTTTGTGCTCAGTTTACCACTCAGGCAAGCAACCTACATTCTGAAAATAGTTACCCTAACCTGGTCGCTAACAGCTCAAACATAAACAAGCCAGTGGCTGTAACCTTTTCTTTTGCTGGGATATAGATTTAAACAACAAGTTGTGCAAATGAAACAAGCTCCTCCAGACACTATTTTGCAGGGGCATCGTCGCTGCATTCAGGGCTTAGCACCAAAGACGATTGTAATTGGTTTAAAAGATTTACAAACAAGCCAGAGCATTTTTCCCCTACTGTAGAATGATAATGGGTACAGCCAGACCTTTCTCCAGAGTTGACACAGCGCTGTGGAGATATGTCTAGCTATGTGAGATTACATCAAAGAAAGCTGTGATTAACCAAATTATTCACTACATCTCACTAAAAAGCAGACAAAGCTATCAACTATAGCTGGTTAACATAGCGGAGCCAGATATTTCCCTGGAGACAGAAGCTAAAACGCCTTACTTTTGCCATTAACACAACTCCAAATGAATGCTAATGTTGCTCCATGTCTACTGGATGGGTAAATAGGCCACTGTTTGCTAACACTTTAGCATTATCAACTTTATAAGGAGATAATATGTAGCATGTTTATACTTTGTTACACTGTCCCAAAGTAGAAAATATAAATGTAAGTGTGCAAGACTTATCTAAGATAAAATGTATAAATTTACAATAAAAACAAATGAATTACAGTAAATTCCTATCCAGTGTTCTTATTGTCTACTCATATTATTCTGATGGATTCATTTGATTTGGATTATCTTAGAGAGTAAATCTTCAGTCAGTGTTTATTGCCTGTAGTTGAACTTTGGGAAACTTCCCATCAAAGAAATACATGTTTATTAGAAGTCACACACACTTGTTTCTCTGCTTCCTCACCTTTGAAAGAGTTTCTCTTCCCCTGCCTTGAGGTTTTCTTTAAAAACTCCCCTGGAGTGGCTGATCCTGGTATCACAGCTCAGATTCTTTGGCTTGTAGCAGAACCAAGGCTCTCCTGTACGGAGGTCAGTGTAATTGCACAGCGGCTGCTGGGTTGGACGTAGGCAGACGTTACAGGTAGTGGTTTCAGAAAGAGAGCCAGAACGGAAGAGGCTGTGGAAATAAACCCTGTCTGGCTGTTCACTGTTCAGCCTGCGCAGCACTGTGACAGCCTCACTAGGGTGAACCAGCGTCACCTGATGGGACAGAGAACCAGAATTTTCACTGTCCAGTCCTGGTCAGTCATGTCAATAAAGACAAATCAAGTACTAGTGTTTTAAGCTGCACACCTTGTCTCAGGTGTAGTTACCTGGAACTCCAGTTCTATGAATACATGAATAGCCCTCGGGCTTCGCTATTGGTTTACCCTAACAAGGTTCTGCCTCAGCACCTGAGACAGAAGTTTTGCACTGGCTGATGGGGGTAGCACCCTTCCCCTATTATGGATTTATTGCTCGTCTCCCTTTGAAACTCAACAACAACCACCACAACCACCTGGGCTTGTGGTTAGAGAGCTACGAACTGGGGGCTATTTCAACATCATCTTCCCCTTACTCACGTTATGAGTTAGGGCCCATGTCTCAGTGGGTTGCTTCTAGACAACGTGACATGTTTCTGAAACAGCCTGTGTTTCAGTGTAGCAATATGGAAGTGTTTAGATGTTCCACTGGCAAAATGAGGGATGGAAACCAGAGGTGTGGCGCTTCGCTTGTGACACAGCCTGAGCGGTACTAGCCCAGTTAGCAGAAGTGTGCTGTGGAAACAGAATTAAGGTTTATCACGTTGTGGCCATCCTTTTCCAGGAGATGAGCTTCCTTTATCAGTTGTGTTCATTAAGATGCAAAGTTTCCCAGAAGAATTTAGTGCTCTTCTTTTAAATCACACCATTTAACAGTAGAGCTGTGAGACAAATGTAATTTCCATTCTATGTAGAGACCACTGACTAGACATTGAAAAGCATACTTGAACCTTCTTGTGAGCTGAGTTTCACAATTACTAAGGAATTCAAGTGGTGCGAGAAGTGAAAGTTAACAGGGGTATCAACAGTAACTCAGGGGTGTGGGGCTTTTGTGAATGATCAATTGGACACCTACAGTACAACTAAAGTCAACATGATAGTGTTCAGGCTCACCTCAACCTGTGCGCCTCCTTCCCAGAGTAAAGAGAACACAGCAGAGTAGGAGCCATTGAGATGATCCACCACTTGTCCAGCCACACCTGCACCAAGCTTCAGGTTGTGCAGCCTGGAGAATAACAGATCTCCCCCAGACGTTTTTGGGCGACCCTTAAAGTCATACATTTGGATCATAACGTCCAGCTGGTCCCCTACGTGCCACTCTCCTCCTCCCCTCCCTGGTGGGAGAATGGTGAAGCTGCTGTGGGCAGGATCACTGGTCTGCTCCAGGGAAAGAGGATCTGGTAGAACTGAAGTTTCAGGCCAAGCAATGGAGTCTAGTAGGAGGCGTTCCTCCAGAGCGTACTTAGGGGACGGTGGCTGGAAGGTGCAGAAGCCGTCATGCATGTTACGGTGAGTGGAAACCTTTGGGTAGATGATGGTGAAGTTCCCTTTATGCTGAAACTGAAACTGGCATGGGGAGGGGGGGTGTAACAAAGATGCATCAACCAAGTGTACTAAAAGTAAATTAACTACATAAAATAAAAAGGGCCAATATGGAAGTTTTTCATGCCCCAAAGTCCAAAATGATGAATATTGATAAGGGGTTGAAGAGCAGTTCAGTTTTTAGCTGTGGGAAATTCTGCCACTCCCAATTTCCCCTGTGGCCTTCTCTGTGATCTTAAAACTGACCCATGGGGAAGATACTGAATCTGCTTTGCACAAGGCAAGAACCTTAAAAGATTTTGTTGGTGTGAACCACACTTAATGGACAAATAATAAGGGACTTCACTTAAGTTACAGCTATTATACCTACTGATTTCACCTAATGAACCTTTATAGATCATAGTGGAAATGACAGAGGTAAAGTGAAGTGTTGTGGAAACTGTATATTGCTGGTGAGGGATTAAGCAAATAATTGAGTGACAACCAACCGTTGTCTTTGAAGAATTTATTAATAAAAGAGAATAAACAGAGAAGTACTATAAGACATATACAGCTGGTCCAGAGATCTGTTGCCTAGGGCATCTTTGGGCGTCTGGCCCCAAGCAAAGGGATGCATAATCATACACACACACACACACGTCTAGGTTTCTATGTTTTGGGGAACAGAGATCCTCTCCCAGCCTTGAATGAACATTCAAGGAGAGGAGAGGAACAACAAGAGGGGGAAAACACTAAACAATCTCACAGCTCTGACCTAAACCCTAGTAAATGTGGACAGACTAACAAAAGGGTATAGAAGAAGGAAAGGTTAATGATAAAAACCATACTACCACAATGCGCATCTCTCTCTCTCTCTCATAATAGTAATACTAATAATAAAATATCATACATAAGATTAAATGTAAGAGGACACAATGTTCTGCCATAACATGAAGCAGGTGGTTAAGGAGGAATTTTAATGTGGGCATATGCTAATTTTCAGGTTCATAATTGTGTTTAGGGGTTGGACAAGAACAGATTTACATGGTTTAATTTTCTAAAGACGCTCTTTTTGTCATACAGCACATTGCTGCAGCACCTCTTTTCACCCTGTGTGTTGACTGCTCCGTTTAGCTACAGAGTGAAGCATCTCACTTCATGCGTAGTATCTAGTTAAGGACTAGTAACCCATCAGAAGCAGAATGAGCTGGACGGTAACCACGGCTTTGATTCAGCTGTACATGTTCCCAAAGCGGCTGTGCAACCTAGATTGGTTGTAAGTTATTAATCTGTAACAAATTTATCTTTCATCAACTGCACACTGTCTCTACATCACAGTAACTACTTTGTCCATTGACTGCCTAACGTTCCATAGGGAGAGCCGTCTTGTCACTGTGTGCTGTAGCTCAATGTGTTTCTCCGCTAGTGTTTTTGAGGGCCACATTAGATGCTAGGCGAGCGTGACCCAAATCCGATTCTGCGCTAGACAGAGCGACAGTGAAACGAAAAAGTTCCACAAAAGCCATTATTAAACACGTGGCTCTCTTCTTTACCTTGCTATCATCTGCTCACAAATTCCCTTTTTTTCCTACCCAACTGAGTTACGTGCGTGCTAGATGTCTGAGCGGAAACAGTAGAGAGCGCCAGAGAGTTGTGGGGCATGTGTGTTGTGCAGCACCAAAAACGGTAATAAATGTCATGGAAAGGACAGAAAGTTACTGTAGTGGATGAGTCTTCCTTTGTGTTGCTCTCCTTCTGTTTTGTTAAAGTATTGTATATTATTTGGGTCACCTAAGTTACAGTGACTGAGACGGTGGAGAAGAAGAAGACAATAAATCTAAATTGATCGTTACAAAGCAAACAGCGTCAGGTCCGAGCTAATGTAATTTTATCTGGCTGCCCTCCCTTACATCAGCTAGTATCAGAGGTGGAAAGAAACAAATTACAATAACTCACATTACTATAATTGAGTAGTTTGTGTAGTTGTACTTTTTAAAGTATTTTTACTCTGTAATTTTACTTTAGTATGTTTTGTTAAAAGTATTGTAGGCTACTTCGCTACATTTTCAATCCCATCTGTTACTGAGTAAAAAAAAAAAAAGTGTACTTTGGCTTCAAGTGCAAGAGAACAATAGCTTTATCTTGCAGTGTAAGTTGTGAAAAAAATGCTGGATTAAATTACTGCTAATGCCCATGCATTTCCTGCTGCTTATTTTGAAGTAGTAACACGAAATGCAATCTGTAAGTGAGATCAGCGATGACCGCTTTCAATTATCAAAAATTCGTCTACACAACAAGACAATCGTCATTTAACAGTTTTCTGACAGCAGACCAGTTTGAAATATTGCAGTGAGTAATGCAACAGTCAGGAGCAGACACAGTGAGCTGTTAGATAAAGAGCTGCAAGCGACAAGCTGCACAGCTCCACCTTCTCAGCTAGGTTACCAACTCTTAACTTTCGCTGTTTGCAGACTCATGACATAGGCTGTATTAAAGAAGTTGACATAGTTTAGCCAGACAGGGCCCCGCCATGTTGATTTTTTGCAACCAGGAAGTCCCCGGAAGTGACAATATTTGGACAAGACGGTGGAGCTAACGGCCGTGTGTGGAGCTAGTTAGCTCGCTTTGCTAGGCTATCTGTAATTCACCTTAACTGTCATTTTAACAGGGCAGACAACAGTCTTAAAACTAAATGTACTCATATATCATGCTAATCAGAGTTACATTTACAATTACAGATTTTAATCATCACTCCTCAGTAAACTCATCAGCAGGGGTCTGAGAGCATTTTATATTTAAGCAGGCCTCTGTAGTAGCCTATGTAGATTTATCATTATGGATTTAGGCCTATGATGTTTTTTTATTTTTAAGGAGTCTGTTCACATTGACGTAAGCTAATAAAAAGGTTCATTTTGCTGAAGTTGAAAATATTAAAACAGTAATATGGCATTTATTTTTTAGTCTGGCCCACACAGTGTCTGCTTAGAACAAATGTAGTTGAGGAGCCCTGATAGATGTAATTTAAGCCAGTAGCCTACTTCCATTTGTGGTTGAAAAAAAAAAAAAGGTTTTCATAGTTTGGCAAGATGCTTTGCTCCAAATAGCCAGAAAGACATCAGTGCTTGACAATGTTGTTTGGCATCAGCAACTTGCAGGTAACTAGTTATTTATTATATGCTTAGGATATCACCATTAAAATGACCACCTTTATTGTTGTTATTATCCTTACATGGAGTGTATGTCAAAGTCTGTGTTGTGCCGGGAGCCGCTTGTTTTGTTGTGTTAGTGGACTGCATTTCATTAGCTGCGGTGTTGTTGCTATAGTCGTAGAGAGGCTCAGGAGCGCACACAGGGCTACATCCGGACACAGTATCTTCACGTAAATAGCAAAATAGTGGCTGATGCAGGCAACAGAGAAAACAGGCATGTGAGGTTACAGCCTATTGACAAAAAGGATATACAATTAATAATAAAAACTACATATAGCCCCTTTAAGGCCTGCGTGCAAACATTGCCTATGACGCGTGGGCTGGACTACAAATTAGCTGTTTCAGGCAGTTCAGGAACAGTGTTTTCTGTGGGAGATGGAAACTCTTTGGGGTGGACTTTAGGCTTTTTCACTTGCAAACCTATTACCTGCACAAAAAAGGAAAGGGAAGAAGTCAAGTTGGAACACATCGATGGTTTTGGTCTCATCATGAGATGGAAAGTATAGAATAATGCCAGCTGTTTCCTCTAATTAGAAGAGTGGCTGCTGGAAATCAGCAAAAAAAATACCATTTAACTCAAATTGCATTTATTTGCAATGAAGAATTGTATTGGTATAATGAGACAACATTTTCCTGTTTTCTGACTAATATTACAAACATTTTGAACAAGGTCTATCCTTCAAGTGGTCCCAGTAAAACATAAGTTCTCACCTTCAGGAAGACCATGTTACGTAGCACAAAAATTAACCCAAACACAGCCGGAAAGAGGAAGATGATGCTGTACTTCGGAAGGCATATGCTGACCCCCCCTCTTGTAGAAGGTCTGACCTTCATGATCAGTGATGAGTCTTCATCTCTGCATAGCACTGTGACTGGATTAAAAAAAATAAAACAAAAAGGGAACACTTGTTATGCTAAAGAATATTTCTAGCTAAAATCCTCTCAATCATTAGTACTACACTTAATCTAGTCACCCAGGAAATTCCTTTGATTAACCAACCACAGAGAAACCTGTATCATTCTTGTGATTCCAGAGGTTCACTATTGTTCAAATGTATATTCTTTCAAGACTGCAAAAGAAGTGGATATAAGACAAATCAGACAATATGATCTATTGTACTCCAGAATAAAGTTGTGTTACATTTTCTGGAGACTCACAGCAAATACAAACATAAATTTGAAATTCATTTGATGAACTCTTGAGGGTTTACATTGAAATATCCAAATTAACTGTTACTACAGAAATGTGCCAGTAATAATCAAGGAACAAACTAACAGACTAAGCTCAGTTTTATTCATCTTTAGTTTGCAAGTAATGACGCTGCAGTGTTCACTTAGGGAATAAAGCTAAAGCTGAGAAACACAGGAATTTCTAAATGACTTATTGTTCAGTAACAAACTAAATATGAGGCAACATATACAGTATAGAGGTATGGTGTTTCAGGTGCAGAAGATTTACTGTGGACCACCATTCCCAAAAACTGAGCTTAAATGACCTGCTGGCAAACAGTTTGAAGGAAATATCAACTTGTATCAAGTAAAAGTATTAGCTACAAAACTAGTAAGAAGTAAGTATTGGCAGCAAAGTGTGCTTAACCTCACCTTCCACATTTTAAAACAGCCAGTGTTGAAAATAGTGTCCAGGTTTAAAAATACCGAAATCCTTTAACACTGTTACTTTAAACATTATTTCTCAACCCTGGAACTCAAACTATTTACTGATGCCCTAAAAATATATCTTTAAGTCATTTAATAATAAAATTTAATCATAAAAGTGCAACAACTAGTTGACTAATGACTTGAACCAACGACTAGTCAACTAGTGTGGTGTATAACATATGTGCATTTGACCATTACAGTTTAAAATAACACTCTAGCAGCTGGACAGAGGCTCAGTGAACTCTTAAGGGGGAGTAATGATTGATGGGTGTGTAAAGAGTGAACCCTCCTATGGAATTTGACCTCTGACCCAGTGATAGGGGGAGTAGTGATTAGTGTTTATGAAGGGACTGGACCCTTATATGGTATCTAACATACTTAAACATGTCCTATATAAGCTGTGTTTGACGTACAGAGAGACAGAGTGGCCATCGGGCTGGGTCACTCTCCAAGCTGCTGCAGAGCTTGTAATTGATGCTGAACTCCTTGATGTAATAAACTTTTATGATCAAAAACAGTGTCAAGCGGATTTCTTCTCAACACATCATCGCAGCATTATTGTTCGGACACCACACTAGCAAAATCTTTAGTTGGGGGTAGCCCTAAAGAGGTCATATTATGCTGATTTTATTTAGGGGTTGTACCAGAACAGGTTTACATTTTCAAAAGACACCATATTTTTGTCGTACTGCTCATTGCTGCAGCTCCTCTTTTCACCCTGTGTGTTAAATGCTTTGTTTTAGCTATGGATTGATACATCTTAACTCTACAAGATCTTTGTTGGGAGTTGGACATGCGCAGTTCCTAGTTAAGGACTAAGCCAATCAGAAGTAGAGAAGGGCGGGTCCTGAAGAGCCGGTAAACACAGCTTGGTTCAGCTGTGGAGCAAGAGTTTCAGTGTGGTGAGTTATTAATCTGTAACAAATGTATCTTTCATCCATGAAGTTTTAACAGAGCTCTGTCTCTACATCACAGTAACAACTTTATGTCCATTGACTGTCTGGAGGGTGGCTAATGTTTGGAAGGGAGAGGAGAGGCAGCAGGCGAACGTCTTGTCACTGTGTGCTGCAGCTCAGTGTGTTTTTCCACTGCAGTTTTTGAGGGCGTGTCGGACTAGCTGCTTGGCGAGCATTATGACGCGCATTTTGCTTTCATCCATGTGTTGTCAAAGGGATGAAAGGGAAACGGCTGGACTAAAAACGAGCTGTTTTCATGCAGTTCAGAGCAGAGTTTTCTGTGGGAAATGGGATCTCCCTTGGGCTTTTTCACTTTGCAAACCTATTACATGCACAAAAGGTATATAACTCAATAAAGAAGAGGGAAAAGGCCAAAACAGGACAGGGTGAGTGCCGATGTGGTGGCTAGTAGCTCCTTGTAACCTCGTTACATTTGACCTTTTGGATTACCTATGACAGAAATACACTTATCAGCATTGGAAAAGAACAGACAGGGATGGCAGACCTTGGAATGATCCCTGCCCACAGCAGCTTGACAACCCAGCCAGATTCCAGCTGAACCAAGTACTGACAGAACACGGGCCATTCAAGTGAGTTTTCATGCCCCGTTTCAGAAAGCAGGCTTAACAAACTCCCTTATCCCTGAGCTCTGGGTTGATTGAGCCTGAGGTGGGAAACCGTTTTTGGTTCCAGAACAGCTGATCAGAATTAGTTCAATCAACTCTGAGTATGTTGAGCCTGATAGAAGCCCATGCTTGGGGATGAATAAAAGCCATCATCAATGGAGCTCCAATACTACGATTCACCATGGCAACAGGTAAATAAAGGCAGATCCACAGGTGGAGCTATAAATATGAATGCTGCCAACACGGACCCTGATAGGCTCTAAAACGCAGGAGTGGAGGGAGGAGTCAGTACGCTAACATTAGCACTTTTTATACAGCGTTGCACAATCATTTACCAGACTGGACTTTCCTTAATAAATGATAAAGTGCTTGAATTCTCCCACATTACATTCATTTTAAATAGGAAGGCTATATTTAATAGGCTGCAACCTGCCAGGACTAGATGCCAGTGGCAATTTGCTACCTGATTATGAAAATAGGTATAGATCAGATATAAAACAGTTAACTCATGAAACTGTCAAAACACATTCAGAATATATGCAGCTAATAATAAAAACCTCACTTAAAACTACTGTGGGGTCTGAACAATAATGCTGCGATGATGTGTTGAGAGGAAACCCGCTTGATACTGTTCTTGATCATAAAATGTTTATTAAATCAAAGAGTTCAGCATCAATTACAAGCTCTGAAGCAGCTTGGAGAGTGACCCAGCCCGATGGCCACTCTGTCTCTCTGTACGTCAAACAAAGCTTATATAGGACATGTTTAGGTATCTGTTAGGTACCATAGCAGGGTTTGAGTCTGCAAAATAAAAGGTCAAACCCATAGAGGGGTACAGTACTATTGAGGTAACAAAACAAGGGGTTAGAGGTCAAGTTTTATAGAAGGGTTCAGTCCCTACATAACCACCAATCACTGCTCTTCCCGTAGAAGGTCACTGACCCTCTGTCTTGCTGCTACAGTGCCATTTGGAACTGTTATCAGTCAAATGCATAAGTATTGGATACTACACTACATTTAAGCCTATTTGTTTCAGCTGCACCACAGTCATCCTCACGCCAAAATATTCACGTTATCTCCAGTATGATAAGATAGGAATGTTCCAATCAGTGAGACTACAATGAAAGATTTGTTCATTGATCAGTTTTCTAGGTTACAGATTAGTTTAAACAGTGATTACTGCAGTAATGTTTTTAGCGCAACTGTCACAATGTTATACCTAAAGACGGACATAGATTTTATTCTGTGCTGAGGATAAATCCACGATGTGCAGAGATCTGTCCTTACATCGAGGAGAGATTGATCATAAAAGCTGTCATGTTTAAGTTTGGATGAAAAAACCAATAGGCTAGCCTTTCCAACCGGGATTTCAAAGTTTTTAAAGAGGTGCTTTGATATCGACAGCATGAATGAGGAAAGGAAATAGTGTGTCAGACAACAGCATCAGTTGCCAGAGTTACTGATCTAGAGTTTATCTGATCTCGCTCTCTGAAACAGAAAACCCAGAGTTTCCCTCTCATCTCAAGCTTAACATACTCAGAATTTGCACTAATGCCGCTTTCTGAAACGGGGCCCTGGTCCGTTTGTCTGCCCTGCAGCTCCTGTCAGTCCCAGGACTTCAGTGATAAGTGCATTTTTACAACTTCCCATGAAGTATCTCTATGTTGGACAATTCAAAATTAGGTTCAGGTGTATAGAGATGGGGCCCTTTGTCAAATATGTTGTGTTATGCTTTGGGTTGAAGGTGGCTCAGAGAGGTGAGCCTTACAGTTGTTAATCTGAAAGCATTAGGCTAGTGTATATGAGAAATACAGCATGGTAAGTCCACACTTACTTTCAACACTGTCTTTTTTATTACAGAAAGCTACTTTATTATTACTCAGCAAACAAGAAAAAAAAAAAAGGGGGGGGGGGGGGGGGGGGGGACATTTGTTCACCCTTAATATCAAAAGCTGCATCAGTTACTGCTTTGGAAACCCGTGTCATATAGTAAGCCTCTAACAATCAACATCAAATAAATACATCATTTCTTTTACATTTAGCTTCAAAGCTGACAGACAAAAAACATTGTATTTGCACCCACCCAGGCACAAACACCAGGCAGAGCAGATTTACAAAGTTTACCGACACATGGTTGAACTTACAACTGAGGTGAGGCAGGCAGTCTAAGATGAAGCAACATAAATCCAGAAACACAGGTGATAAATCAACAGAAACAGTCGAAATCCAAAAGACACTGGGGAACACAAGGAACAGTGCTGACCTCTAAACATAAACTGAGAAGCAGTATGAAACGGCACGGTGGGAGGGGAACAGACCACATAAACAGCTTAGAGAGGAGGAGACAATGAGGCGCAGGTGAACTTAATCAGACAATCAGGAAGCACACAGACAAGAAGCAAAACAAGACAGTGACACCAGGCGCAGAGCAACTAAAACAGGAAACACAGTAAACAAGAAACACAAACACCAATATCCCAGAACTGGGAAAATTTTGCTGTACTGCCGGTTCAAATTACAAAATGGAGCAGAAGTTATTTTGTAAAATTCAGTTTAATTCCTGTTAATCCATTTCATTATTTTTGTTTTGTCTCTTTCAGAACTGGATTAGAAACTACAAAAGGTCCTTTTAAGCCTCTGCTGAGCCCTCGGCCCTCTAAACTGAAACTTCACACATGAGAGCTGTCATCATACAATTTTCTATCCCGGTACTGTTAGGCAGAATTCCGGTATAAAATTTATATCGGTATTTTCTGCTAAGCGGGCTCGGGAGGAGGGGGGGGGGGGGGGCGTTTTAGCGGGCATGTTTTTACTATTTTTTCTAACTTAGTTTGTTTCTTATTTCACTGTTTTAATTATAGAGTCGAGGCGAGGTGAGCTGGTACCGTGCAGTGGAAAAGGGGCTTTACTGTCTCTCTCTCCCTGTATGTCCTATCAGTAGTAGGACTTTTTCTCCCGTGATTCCCTTCACAGCAGCAACTGAGCTGCTTGTTGAGGAGGCGTATTGATGACATAGCCTATCAAAACAAAACCAACGTGGTAGCTAACGAATAACATCTAACTGGTGTGTTCACTGTCGCTTTACCTTTTTCGCTCTTGTAAAATATCCAATTTGTTGCGACTTGTAACATAATCACCTTGTTTCTCTGATAAATGCTACAATGTGTCCCCTAATGTGGGCGGACTGCCGAAGTAAAGTGTATGTGTGGGAAATACTGAATGAACCGTTGCTTTTCTTTTTACAAGCCAGGTATCTTGTCCATCTTGTCAGAGACTTTGTGAGTAGACGGCTGCGTGCAGACGCAGAGGGAGGGGCTGGGCTGCACGGTGAGGGAGAGAGAGGAGCAAATGCCGGCAGGACTTTACGGAAACATTAATTAACTCAATATAATTCAATCAAACTATATCGGTATAAACGGTATTGTCTAATTTCATATGTCTTTTGAAATTATATTGGTATACTTCATATACCGATATACTGCCCAGCCCTAATTTGTATGTATGTATTAAGGGCAGGTGGTCCACATTAGGAGAAATACTTTTAAACAGGCAGGCAGAAGACCTCCTGAAATAAAGTGAAGTATCTGAAGCAGCTGAAGTTAGAGGTTTGGAAAGAAGCTTAATTTGCTAGGCTTTAATGGTACAGTCTAACTTTTTATTTAGAGGTTGAAAACAATTTACAGGTCTGGTGTCCAGAGATTAAAAGGATTTTACAGCTATTGCTGAGGTACTTGGTGCATCTCCTCTTCCCTCCACCTATGTTGAACTTATGATGCAGTATATAAAAATGACAGAGATGTAAAGATTATAATCAAATGGAATTGTAGACAACGCTGGATATTATTGCTCTCAGCCATGATGTTTCAATAGTCACAGCGTTCCTGTGTTTCAGAGTTCAGTTCTTTTATGGCACACAGAGAAAAAACTGTTAAGGACCTATAGCGTCTCCTAGAGGGCAGCAGAGTAAAAAGGTTACCTGGGTGGGATGAGTCCTTGATTATGTTTGTTTCCCAGCGGAGACATCAGGTTCTATATATGTCAGTGAGAGAGGGCAGTTGTGTGTTGGTGATGTTCTGAGCTGAGTTAATAACTCTCTGTAGTGCCTTTTTGTCTGCCTCAGTGCAGCTTGTCAACCACACTAGGATGTCATGAAAAAGGACACTTTTTACAATTACTTTCAAAATAACTCCTTAACGTTGCGATTCAACATCGCCATTTTGAAACACCACGTTGTTAAAGTTGTGAAACATTGCAATTTGGTTAGGTTTAGGCAACAAAAGTACTTGGTTAGGGTAAGATCATGGAAAAGATCATGTTTTGGGTTATAATAAGTTCGTACGTCAGTAAACACCACCTTACTCAGGCTTTTCTGTTAAATATCATATACCTACCTTTACCGTCCAGAAGTGATGCTACAGGGATTTACCCACTGTGTTGAATTATGATGCTACAGGGATCCCCAGTGAACTACAAACTGTTGCATCCTTGTGATGACTTGGGAGTGAGAACAGGTTGATCCTCCAGTCAATCAAACTAAAGTTGTCACTGTGAGTTAAAACGTTACGTATGAAAGATACATTTGTTAAAAATGAATAACTTACCATTCTGAAACTCTTGCTGCAGACTAGGTTGTAAAGCTGGTTTGGGAACATTTACAGCTGAACTGAAGCTGTGGTTACGGGCTTGTTAGGACCCGCCCTACTCGGTTTCTGATTGGCTAGTAGTTACGAGTAGTTACTCTGTATGCGCATCTCCCAACAAAGATCTTGTAGAAGTGAGATGCTTCACTCCGTAACTAAAATGGAGCATTCAACGCACAAGTTGAAAAGAGGAGCTGCAACAATGTGCAGTATAACTTCATTCATTTACTTTTTTCTATGTAACTTTTCGATTACACATTTTTGCAATAATTAAACTTTTCTAACTTTAAACTTGTTGCTGCATTTTGAACTTTAAATCTTACATTTATGTTCTTTTTTTAAAAATCTATCCCATTATATTAATTTTTTTGGTTTTTATTTATTTCAGTGGTTGTTGAAATGTAATGATGTTGTCAATAATATGTGGAGCTGTACAGATTTCACTCTAAACACGTAACAAAATGTCTTATTTTACTCATAATATGAATCCTACGCCTACAGAAGAATTTTGTCTCTCTGGATGGTTCAAAACTTTTTTTTTTATGACATGTTGTACTGTGTATTCAAGCTCAAATATTTAAAACTGACAATAAAACACATATTTTAGGAACAAATAGTGGAAAAACACTCAAAGTGGTATGTATAGCTGTAGTTACATGTATGCGAAAACCCAGTAATATTTTATCTTGAGCTAACTTCATATTGAATCGTCTCAGTTTTAACATTTCAACTTTCCAAATTAACGGATCACATATTTCTAGTTAAAACTGATATCTTTCCAGTACGTGAGTATAATACTTATTTATTTCATGTGAAAACCTGCAAGGCAGTCAAAAGTTGCCATTTCATGCAATATGCTCTTTTGCATTCTTATTCATGTATAGATATTTATTAAATGTCTGTTGTATTATAATATAATTCAATTCATCACATCTTTGAAAAAGTAGAATAGATAAACTAGCAGGTTACAGAAAAGTTGGTTATTGGTGTCTAAAAACTACATTTTACTCTAAATTTTAATTTATAAAGCATAAACACGTTAATCATACTTTACTGTACGTACTATTATATATATATATATATATATATATATATATTTTTTTTTTTTTTTTTTTTTTACCTCGATTGACCTAGAATAAAAGTTTAGACAGATATGCCTAATGCGTTTAGCACATGGCCATCACAATCGGCCATCATGGATTGCTGGAGTCATCAAGCAATGAATATTTGGAAAACAAGAGAGTAACCACTGTTACAATGCTGCTATCAATTAACTGACACCATAATCAAATGGCTTGGAGAACATAACCATGATACATTAACCCAAAATGGAGTTAAAATAACTGTCCACAAATGTGGACACCATGCATGAAAGGTTTTAATAAAGATAATATTTTACTGAGACAGAAATCAATCAAATGGTATTTAGTAACATTCAGAAACATATTATTCACACATGGTGACAGGGTTCATCTTAGCTGCAAGACGAAGTGAGTCCCCAATAATTGATGCCAGTCTTACACAGAAAGCAAAATGCATCAAAACTGAAGAAATCACTGTGTCTCATCTCATGATCATCCGACCCATTACTCATCTGCTGACCTTGGGTTTGCTCTGCACCTTCCACAGATGTTTACACATGTTGTTTACTTAAGTGGACTGTTAAACAAACCCCCTTCACATGAACTCTATGAAAACACTCAAACCGGCTGAATTGTAACACACTTGTTTTCACTTAACTCCCAAGCACATACTCTATATATGAAATGGAATATCATGGATATATTTATGCCACACATGTAAATATGGATTAATTCTATACATGTTGCCACCATAGTCATAATATTTCTCAGTCTGAGCTTGATGACACTCACCATACTCACCTCAGTTCCTGGATAAGGACGCCTTGACATCTTCTGACAATAACTTTGTTCTAAGCTGTTTTGTCTCCTGCCATTCACTGGTAAAATTTGTCAGTTCTTTGTTTCCATGAACTGTAATGCGCGCTCTCCAATTTTCTCATGGCCTGTTCATATTGATTAATCATTCTTTTTCTCTGGCTTCCACCATTTTCCTCCATACTTTTGGCAATAACCGCATCTCTGGCCTCACCAGAGATGCCAAGTCTGAAGTCTCTGAAACCTCTCTGTGATCTATATTAACCTTATATAATTTTATATACATAATCTGTATATCTGATTTATGTACTATATTATAACTGTTTTAACTACATTTTCTAAGCTGTCCTGTCCTATTTTTAGCACCTGGAGGTTGGTCTGGAGGCCGGAAACAAAGTTGGAACCCTTCAGAGGTCAGGCTGATTGTTGCAGCTCAGGAGGAACAGGCAGCATGGGAACAGCAGATTGCTGCAGTACAGGTACTTAGGTAATTAGATTAACAACCTTCTTGTGTTAACTGCGATAGCAATCAGAGGACACAGGACAATAAACCTCAAAGACAGCCAAAAATGGAACCCACTAAATGGAGAAACCATGGAACCAAGATTGTTTTACCATTTTAATCAAATTGTAAACTTGATAAGCCTTTGAATAGTCGCATGAAGGATGTATTCTTGATATTGCTAGTCCACTTACTCTTTAAAATGACTGATTTAGGAATTACAGTATCTCACAAAAGTGAGTACACCCCTCACATTTTTTAATATAATTTACTTTACTTTCCATGTGACGACACTGAAGAAATGACACTTTGCTACAATGTAAAGTAGTGAGTGGACAGCTTGTATAACAGTGTAAATTTGCTGCAAAAAGTTTGCTGAAGAGAAGTTGACTAAGGATGATGAGACCAAGATAAACTTATTTGGTTCAGATGGTGGTGGTCATGGTCTGGAGCTGCAGCTCTAGCTTGATGAGCTCATATGACCGCTTTTCTGGAATTTGGGCTGGTATATGTCAATTTTAGGTGTGTAAATATTAATTATCCCACATGTTACGTCACATGAGAGTTTGTTTCGTATTTGCCTGTTTTTTCCCAGGGGCCTTTTGCATGCACGTGATTTACACATGAAGAAGGTTAGGTCTGCAGGATAAGTTGAAGTTAAAACCGTCAGTTTCTCTCTGACTCCTCCCTTCCTGCAGAGCCTGAGCTCTCTGACACCACCGTTTCATTTCCTCATTCATGCTGTCGATATCAAAGCACATATCGGAACGCATTTACATCTTTAAAAACTGTCATCGATGTAAGGACAGATTTATCCTCAGACACTTGCCCATTCTGAGTCAACGAGCTAACGTTAGCTTGTTAGTACCACATCAGAGATGTTTTGTCAGAGCTTGTGCACAGCAAACAGTAAACAGTAACGTTACCTGTACTGCCGTATGACATCCAAGTCACACCAAGCAGATTAAATTGTACACACACAAAAAGTTTTTTTATTTAACCCTATGAAACGATTAAATAAATTCTGAAAGTTAATTAAATTAAAAGGCCTTTGTAAACGAAATGTAACACTTTTAAGGCCTTATTTTTAGGATATTAAATTTAAGACTTTAAGACTTTTTTTTTGTTTGTTTTTTTTAAAAACCTGTCCTGCAGCCTGGTATGGAGTATAATGATAACAAGAGAGTATTAAAATACTCCTTTGTCTGTTTTATTATTTATTTAATTATGTATTGATTTGTCACCGGGCCGGACAGGGGGGCAGACACGGAGATGGGGGGGCACAAACAGACAGCACAGAGAAAGGACAACACCTGTAAGAGAAGGGGGAAAGGGGGATGGAAGGTGGGGACAACAGGGAAAAGCTGTGGGAAACACCAATTGCAGAAAGCAACGAAACCTGCAATAGAACAGAGAGGGGGGAGGAGGAGAAAAACACAACAAACAAACACAAACAAAAACAAACAATAAAAATAATAATAATAGTAAAAGACAACCAGACAAACAGCAGCAATGAACAGCTGACATAGTAAGACAACTAAGAGAAAAATGAAAACAAGAAACAGTCACACACACTAAATAAGCAACACAGCACAGCCACGAGAGCTGGAATAATAATTAATTGAAATAAGTGACTGAAAGAAAAGCATCAGGAATAATTCTACCAGGGACAACCTAAATTTGTTTGTGTCTATGTGTGAGACTGATTGTGTCTGTGTGCGATGTGTGTGTGTGTACATGTGTGTGCGCATATGCCTGTTAAAGAATGTAGTTGTTAGTGAGAGTGGGGCGCCACGACTGTGCCACACCTACCCCAGCAACAGGCAGGCAAGAACCCTGGTCGCCAATAGGGTGGGAGAAAGAAAAAGAATAAATCAATCAAAAAAAAAAAACAAAGACTCCCAGATGCACCGCGATGAAAACGCAGAAGACCCCGACCCAAATGCCAGTTGACAACGTAATGCCGACGGAACGAAAAAAGCGTAACCCGCGGAAGAGCAGCGCCTGGACCGACACGACAGCGAAAGCCAGCGGAGAGAAACACCAGCAGCAAGTCCCAGCCCGGCAGCAAACGCGCCGCACAGGTCACCGTGCACCCGCCAATAAAAGTCCGCCGTCCCCCCAACCGCCGGAAAAAACTAAGGCCGCCGGCGCCAGCCAACATCCCCCATGCCCGGCCGCCGTGCAACACCAGCCAAACCAGCAATGAGGCAAAATCAACGAGCTCAGCTGCATGCCTCCAACAACCCACCCACCCGTCAAGGGCCGAGAACTCCAGGCACAAACCCAGAACAAACCGGAGCACAGCCCTGACCCACACTGCACATCCCGAAAACTAACTATATACCTCAGTATCCAGAGGGGTCCAACAACTGGCCGCAAAACAGGGACGCAAACAGGTCCCTTCAAGCCAATGAGGAAATGCCTCCCCCGGACTCCAATGCACAAACTAAACGCCCAGCAGCCATTCAGAGACCCTGCCCACCGCCCCACAATCCCACCGCAGCCCACCAAACCGCAATCGGATCAACCCGCGCAGAGACCCCCACCCCCAGAAGCCAGGGCACCCTGCGACCCCCCAAAAGCGCAAAGGACCCCAGACCGCATGTCCCGGGGGAAGCTGTACCCCGCCCCAAGGAAGAACAGCAGAAAGCCGTGCCGGGAAGCTCCCTGCCGCCAGGGAGCGATAACGCGGGAGAACCAGGCCAACACTCTCCCAGCCCAGCCAGAGGCATCCCTCCCTACAGTGAAGGCAGTGACAGCAGCCCCCGAGGCTGATCTCATCCCCGGACAGGGGCCCAACACCCCAGTCAAGCACCCCCAAGGAGGAGCACCAAAACCTTCCCCGACAACACCGGCCATGCGCCCCAGAGACTCCCGAATGCCCCAACTGTGAGAGAGCTGGCAGGGGGAAGCAGCGGGAGCCTCACCTCTGCCGAAGAGGGCCCAGGCGAGGAGACAACGGGCCCCCAGGCCCAGGGACACACCACCCGCCCAGAAATGAGCAAAGGCCACAAGCCCGAGTCCCCAGAACCCTAGGTCAAGGGCGGGCCCCCACGCCAGGGGAGCCCCGACCCTCCCCAGCCCACCGCAGATAAGGCAAGGCCGTCACCAACCCCACAGCACCCCTGACGCCCAGGGCTCCAGGGGTAGGACACGAGGCCAATGAGAATCTCCCCCCACTCCTTCAACCCCTCTGCCTGCCTCTGTAAATGTATTGTTTTGTGTTGGATGCATGTCATGGATTGTGAAGTGTTGTATGGTGGAGTAAAGATAAGGTGTGTGGTAACTAAGGTGCAACTAAAATTGGAGGGTAGTTGTCAGGTAGTGGAGCCTCCCATCGTGCCCCTCCCACCCCCCCAAGCCCTCTGTGTCTAATGTGTAATTTAAATTGAGGGGCGGGCAGTGGGGGAAGAAGAAGTGCGAGGCCGCAATAAAGCAGCCCCACCCCCCAAACGCCCTGCAGGCTGCCCGCCCCCCAGGGTCCTAAGGGTGTATGTTGTGAGACATGACCAAAGGGGGAAAGGTGAGGGAGGTCATAGGGAGGCTAGAAGACCAGATTCCTGATTGGCCCCATCATTCATTCAGTCCCATCCCCCACCCCCCTAAGCAGGAGGACGCCAGGTCCTTCCAGCCCAGGGCTTATAGCAAGAGCCCCTCTAGCACCGGCAGCACCCCAGAGTCCGGACAACCCCGCCCATCCCCAGGACAGGTCCAGGGGGGCCCAGCCCCCCCAGCGCGCAGACCCGCTCCAGACCCAGAGGCTCCAAAGCCCCGAACCTCAGACCCCCACACACCCCCGAGGCAGGTCAGTGCAGTCAGTGTAGGAGTCTATAATGAGAAGTGTCATTTCATTGTTTAAAAAAACATTTTCTCACCCTGTTTTGGTGACTGCTGAACTAGTAGCGTGTTTACTACCAAAATGTTGACTAGCAGGGGACAAACCTGGGCTCACAATGAAGTGAGACGCCTCCTGAAAATTTGGGTTGAAGAAAACTTTTCTTACTTACTAGCAAAGGTCATATTTAGTGATAAAGGCAATGGATTTCAGTGAACTCTAGAGCAATGTCGTGGGAAAGTGAAAAAACGGTGTCAACAGTACATCAGAGTACTGTAGTATGTAAATGTGGATGGATTTGCTGTTATTACCAATAATTGAACGCCATTTCAACCACAGGGCATTTGTTTTCAATTTATGGACCGTTTGAGTTTTTCCTTTGTGATCATGGACCAGCTGGAAATTTGACAATGTATCAACCCCTCAATGGTTTGATTCAGGAACCAAAAATTTAGGTGTTAACCCGCCCTTGGCCTGCAGTCAGAGCTGATGTATTGGATTGTACAGAATCTATAGGTAGTCTACAGTAATTTCTTCAATTATAGCCAGTACTGCTGTTGATGTAAAGACGGAAGACCTTGGCAAACCCTGTAAAAAAGAAGATGTAGCCATGGGAAAATTCACAGGTATCACATTAACTGAGTGTAACTCGTCTACCTCATGTAATGTCCGTATATCATGTAATGGGTTGGATACAATGTTCAGAAGATTTTAAATACATCTCTTCAAACAGGCATCATCCTAGATGCACAACAGCTGTTGTAAAACCCTTACTAGAGAAACATAAAACCTTCTCTCTCTCTCTCTCTCACACACACACACACACACACACACACACACACACACACACACACACACACACACACACACACACACACAATACCCCTACTGAAACACCCACATCCCGGCTGTTAGAGATGGCAAGGTTAGATGTACCTTCTCTGGGAACTCTGGGATTACTCAAAGCTTAATAAACTAAGGATGCCACACTGTTTGAATAACAGGTGGCTAATTAGATTTAGCTCAGTCTGGTCTACACCCTGCTTGTAAATATGGAACAGTAAAAAGGATCTCTGCAGTAGCTGAGTTATTACTCGACAGATCTGGGCTATTTCCCCCGAGCCAAAGGGCCTTCCTCAAATGAAATGGCTCGTGGAGTACTCAGTAGTGTACAGCCAAGACTGGAAGCCAGAGATTACACACCGTTTCTTCTAATCAGTATTTTAGCTTTTACGAGCTTTAATTTGGCTCAGATTTTGCACTTTGCAATGTTTCGTGCCTTTGACATTGCGGTAAGGAATCAGTAAATGTACTTGATACAGCAACTTCATCGGTTTGCAACTGGTAAAGAACTGTTGTATGTCTGATTTTACAAACTTGTAATAAAGTTTGATTTCATACTTCTCCTATACAGCTCCATTGCACTGTGCCATCTTTGTTTTGGTGGCTCCCTTGGCCCAGGCAGTGTGAGAAGGGTCTGTACAACCTAATCCATGCACGCCATTATTATTCCAGCAGAAAAACAGGAAACCTCAAATGCAGTTTTACCTCCCCAAACAGTTCAGCTAGCTATAATATATGTAGCTAGCTGAAAACTGGATTTGAACATTTGGGCTCTACTATGTAGCTATAACATTGATATTTCTTAATGAACTTACTTGCTAAAACATGTTTGTTTTCTAGCCAATTTATTATTTAGTAGTTATTTATTGTAGTAATTGGTTTATGTTGGCTGGGTTTTTGTCGAGCTAGTTCACGGTAACCTGGATAAAACATACGTACTTGTTTACTTGATTTTTATATTTTAGGTGTATTCTGAAAGTTTATGGCTGCCAATAATGAAATGTTGCATCTTTAGTCTATTTAATATATATGAAATGTTCCATTTGTGTGTGCATTAACTTTGATAATTGTTAAATATGTTGTTGGGAAATTCCTATATATGATAGTTTCCATGTTTAAAAATGGCACTTTTGCACATGATAGGTAGTCTAGATTGATAACTGGAGAAATCTTACCATATTAGTCCAAAGATAAGACAAGTTTTTTGCCCCTAGAAATATGTCTGAAAAAGTGGGGTCTAAACCAAATACACCCACAACAACAGACGGGATAACAGTGTATACCCTCCTGACTGAAGCAAGTCACTTTCCCTCTGACTGGCTCACACTGCAGGGGCCAAGTGTGTGGTCCCATGGACCCAATCTGCCTGACTGAACATGTATTTATTCTAGTTTAGGTGAATATGATGAGTATGGTTTATTTTTGTGTCGAATCCGAACCTGGGCCGCTTGCTGCATGTCATTCCCTCTCTCTCCTGCATTTCCTGTCTGTCTTCGGCTGTACTATCTAAAATAAAGACCAAAAAATTATTTAAAAGTTTCTGACAGCAACCCCACAGTAATAAGCCTAGAATCATTAGAGTATGTCCTGTGTCTACATCATTACTCTAAACAAGCATGACTAGAGGTCCTCACCCCCTCTGCATTGTGCCAACAGCTCCCGGCCTGCTTTGGGCACATGCTGCCTGTGTTTGTGTGTATTCATCACTGCCAGATAGATAGAAGTGCTAGTGCTTCCTCCCATATTATTTATATCATTAGAATTTGTCATGGCTTTGTTTGTTAAATTCCTCTACACTGTAGTTTTAGGGGCTTAAGCCTAAGGAGGTCAAACAAACCAGATGACACATAATATAAAACAGACCTTTAGCGCCTGCATGCCAGCAAAATGATATTGGATGTTTTTTATGGTCCATCTACCTTATTTCACTTGCAAGGGTGAATTCTTCTCTGCCTGACTTTTGTTTTTACAGTCTACTGGATGCGACTTGAAATACTGCTAAGTACAATAATTGAGATACAAAATCACACAGTTTAAAAATAAAAATACCCAAGTGCTAGTAATACTACATTAAGTACACAAAATCCGACTTTGTTACAGTTGCAAGAGTAAATGTGGTCCAGCGAAATTTTAGCGACTCAAAACTACCTTGAGGTATTTCATTAAATTTGTTTTACAGGCTCATAATCCTTTAGGGACAGCCATAGTCTCTGTGGAACCTAACAGAGACGTTACTTTATGACTTCCTTATCTTGGTGCCACTATATTTCTACAGGAATTTGACACTGCGACCTCACCAACCACGTGAAGCTGCCACGCCTGCAGCCGCTGTGCGTAAAGACCGCAACATCAGCCGTTACACGAGAGCAGAGAGAGGATGCAGGAACCGAGGTGAGCCTGTGCGGGGGAGCCGCTTTGACTAAACAGCCTAGAATCTAAGTAGAGTGGGTGGAGTTAATGATGCTGTAAGTACAGGAGAAGGTGTTGCCTTCACACACCAAAGCCATGCGTAAGAAGTGTGACCGGTGAGGAGGATGCTGGAGCATGAGGCAGGAGCAGACATGCGACTGGTCCGTCAGATCAATACAGGTATGAAGATCCAGGCCGGCAGCGAGCACATGGGCTGCAGCAAGGTCGGAGAAAATCAGGAGAACCAGGTCATCTGTTTGCAATGTCAAGACGAGGTGGTGCGGGTTTCTCCGGGAAGTCCGCGTCGCTCCATCGCGACGCGCCTCTCATCCGGATCCGCAGGTAAAGGCATCCTATGCAGCATGGAGAGCTGGTAAAAGTGGTCGGTGAATTACGTAACAGTTACATGCATTTTTATATATGTAATCACTTGTGTGGTTGATATCGTATCATCGGTTTATTTCAGCAGTCACCTTCCTTTCGCTGTTTGGTGCGGGCTGAAATGAGGATGTATTGCTCCAGTCTACAAATGCTTAGGACAACCAAAAAATTCTAATAAATAGAATTACACCAGATAAATAAACTCCTATATGGGTTTATGATCACCAAGGTTCTGGTTTAATGGGTGGAACCTCAATGTGTGTGGAATATTTCTTGTGAGTTGATGTGGGCAGATGTTACTTGATTGAAAATTATCCTTAATTATACATGCCAATCTCTAACTTCTTCAGTGTGTGGTCCCACCCCACACACACACACCCACACACCCATCACAACTGCCTATAGGCAAAAGATAATCTAGAGACACAGTTGCTGCATCAGAGTAGTCTTATCTGCTGCTCACCATAAAAGAGTGGTGTATTGTCATTTAAAGTTTTTCCCTCCTGGATGCTACAGAAAATGTTGCAGGTATAATCCATATATAATCCATAAAGCAGATTCTGTCCTAATTGTTAATAAAATGAGCAATTAAAGTAGCATCTGATAATACTTTAGCGATGTCAGTGGAAGCTGCTCAGAGACTGATGGGGTGTGCTAAGGCCACATGCTGACTTCCCATAACTTTGGTAACAAATAATAGCTGAAGCTTTATCTCCAAACTTGGAAGCGAATGCAAGTGCTTCTGATGAAAAGGCTCCCAGTCAGTGATGAATGTCTAAGCTGTGCTGCGGTTGCTCTTCTTTGATGCGGCTGTAGGTGTTAGATTAGAGAATAAGGAAATGAGAGATTTCTACAAGCATTCTCTAAATTGCTAAATGAGCAGAAGCGTTTGGATTCAGTTCTCAGTCTGATGCAACAATGTTAGGTGGTCGCTTCAAGTAGTGACTGCAGTGCCATCAAAAGTTACTTCCTCTGCTGGGACAGGGTAATGATTTAACCTCTATTTCCCTTGATAACTTGGAGTTCAGAATAAGCCACGGTTGTTTTATTAAATGACCATCGCACCTCTGTGATAGAAAGCAGTGTTTCTCATTAGTCATCCAAAAAATTCAGTACAGTTTTTTTGAGATGAGATTTTCCATGATGGCAATGAGCATGATACACAAGCCTGTTTATATGTAGCTTGGTTGACAGTACCACACTGACATAACAGCCATCAGAGTGTACTTGCTCTGAGATACAATTGTTTCATTATAGCCCATTAATTACAGGGTTCTGGGCCTTTACCTGCACTTCAAATTTGCAGACTAGGACAGTTCCAGATCAGTAAGCGACAAACAATCTCTTGCAGGGTTTGAGACATCATTCCCTAATCACTTTCAGGTTAGTGAAGGGTTTTCTTCCTGTATGTCTTCCAGGGTTATGGGTTCATTGTTATAACACTGCTAGTGATGATGATTTCATTCGCTTTCTGTATAAATTGATAGGCAAAGGCACTGAAGTTGCCAGACTCATGGATTTTATTCCCTAAACTCTGCCAAGGTCAAGGCTTTTTCCCCTTGTGTAGCTCGATGTGTAGAGCAGGGCACTAACATTGCAGGATTAGGGGTTTCATTCCTGTAACGCTGCAGGGTCATGGCTTTTCTCATGCCCCTAGGAACAGCACTAGGCTTAGAGTTTCTTTTGGTATGTGGTAATATTTCACCACTCTTACTACAAAAAAACACAACATATCATCAAAAAATACCCCCCCCCCCACTCCCCCCAATCAATGGTTGGGTGCTGAGAGATGTTTGCAATCCAAATGAATATGCTATGGCTAGTTTAGAATGAAAGACTGGCTTTTTCTCAAGTGTGATGAGTTGTGAAATTTTACCACAGACTTTGATGATAGATCCAAAGCGAACAACAAAAACTGTAGTGGACACATTTTGAACTGCAGGATACATGATACTCTGGCAATAGCTGCAAAAGTAACTAAAACTATAACGATCACCTGCTACAAATCAATGCCTTTGTTGCACTATAAATTGCTTTGGATAAAAGAGTCTACCTGATGCCATACTGTACCTCACCAGTTATCTCTCCACCTGTCATAGACCGTGAGCCCAGCAGTAGCAGCTATAATGTCTCTTCAGGAACCTTCTACAGCTGTGTCAGTCAGATCACCATCGGTAAGTGCACTTTGTTCAAGACTGACTGAGATGTTTTTCTAATGGAAGAAAAATGCTTTGCACGTTTAACTATTGTCTTATATGTGGACTGTATACTTTTGTACTTAATATAAAACTAAAGCCCTGTATGATGACATTATTTACATTCCTTATATCATATGGTGACAGTTTCATAATTATTGTAGCAAATAATTTATTATTATTACCATTGGAGTTCAACACAGGTGACACATAATATTTTCCACACTCTCCACACTGTTGGTGTGAAAACAGAATGTCTCAGAAGGTTATGCATGATTATGTCATTCAGCAGAGACAGCTATTTAATTTTCTAAACCAAAGTGGCCTTGCAGAAGTGGGCATGGCCTCTCATCGAAGGACATATCACTTTCAAACAGATTTACATAACATCATTGAACTTTGTGTGCCTGTCAGCACACAGAAAAAGAGAAAAGCACGCCATTATCAGGTCAAACAAGAGTGTTTGTTTCCAGTTCAGGCAGATGCAGAGATATAAGGCTGAATAATAAATACCTATACTGTTTTGATTTATGTATATATTTTTGTTGATTTGCAGCAACTTGCGACACCATTGCATTTGTCCAAATCAACAATGGTGTTAGAACAGTCAAATCTTATATTGCATGTCAGGTTCAGTCATAAAAATATGTTGGCACCACTGCTAGCGCTACAGAGCAATGTATTAATGAAAGGAACCCCATTTTGTTTTGCCTCAAGTGATGTCACTTCATGTTGGATTTGCTAAGCAGTAAGAAAATGAAAGATTTCCCCTGACATGTAATGTTCTATGTCAGAGGTTGCTGACAGGAGTTTTGTTGGCAAAGCTGTCTGACATAACTTTCCCGTCTGTCACAAAACTGCAATCTCCTGCCATTTGCGATATATTCAGATGTTGGCTTTTGACATTTTTTCGATGAATATTACAGCCTGGTTAGTGGAAGAAGTTGTAGATGAAGCTGGATGCTGTGACAGTTAAGACTTTGGGTTCAGCTCAGGCCGTGCTGCTGCTGCATGCAGCTGTTCCTCTCCTCTCAATGTGCTAAATAAAATTAAAAAAAAACTAATGAAGTGCTGAGGGAGTGCTTTGGACCGTTGAGGTTTTACAAAGGGAAAGATCTATAGTCTTGCCCCACACTCTGCCATCAAAAAGAGTTAGTGTCGCCTGTGATTTAAAAGCCCTGGCATTTGGTTGAGAGGAAAATACTAGTCAGCATCACTGTAGGTTCTTTAAACTTCTAATCGATTATAATCTTCCATTAATTCCACCCTCCTTCATTGTTGTAGGAATTTACTGCAGTTGTGCAGCTGATAGACAGCTAATCTTCACCCCGAGGCAGAGAGTCTATAAATACATACATACATAGAAAAAAATCAAATGCACTAAGATTGGGTAAAATTACCAACATAGCATAAGCCACTATATTCTGAACACACATTAACACACTACTCGGCCCAGCACAAGGCATGATAGGAAATGTCACTACAATACTCTGTACTGTCTGCAGCACATGTAGCTTAATCGTATATTTTCCTCTAAATGGAACCATAATTTACAAAATGACCATCATGCTTCATTAAAGAAGACTTGAAACTAACAATTGAGACCATAAACTCATTAGGAAAGTGTTTACTGAAGTAATAAATCAAGTGAGAGGTAGGGTCATTTTGCCATAGACTCCAATGCAATCAGATTTCTTTTTGTAACCAGTGGAGTTGCCCCATGCTGGTCGTTAGAAAGAATGCAGGTTTAAGGCACTTCTTCATTGGCTTCACTTTTCAGACCCGGAGGATGCCTCACGTATTGTGGAAAACTCATTCATGGACTCTCATTATGTAACACTCAGGAGCGGTTGAGTCACATGCAAGACCTAGTGGCAACATTTGCTATACCAGTCCAGTATTTGGCTTAATATCAAACTGGTTTGAAAAAATTATACATTGGCCCAACCCTAAATGTAACATGCTGAAAATTCTACAGCATTGACTGATCACTGCTATACACATTCACAGAACTGAGAACTCTATTTAGATCATTTTTTGTCTGTAATATAACTGAACTGAATATCGAAGGGATACGACACATGCCTTTGATGTGAGAGACCCGGGTTCAATCCCCCACTGTGACCCATCCACCATTCTGTCCCTGAGCAAGACACTTAACCCCTAATTGCTCCAGAGAAGTGCGACCTCTGACATGTACAGCAATTGTAAGTCGCTTTGGATAAAAGCTTTGGATATCAGTTCAGATTGCGTATAAAACAGAAGTTGATTGTCAGTTTTACTACCAGCTTAAGCATCTTGGTTTCCAAAGCATCTTGGCTAAACCATCTTTTTTCATTCTTCACACAACTGCTTCTGTCATTTTTCATGTGAACAAACAGTACAATGCCTTTAAGAAGAGACTGTCCAAATGTGTGATAAATGTCCTTTATCCCCATTTGTAAGATTGATCGTGTCTTATCCCTCTCTGTGACTAGACTGCTGGACTAATTTATATGACAAAGTTGGAGTGCATCAATATAATGAAGTATATCAGTGCAACTCAAATATTTAAATATGGCATTGTTTAAAGAACATTTATATATACTCATTGATAAGATTCACATTTTACTGCATGTATAAACACCGTGGAAATATTCAACACTCTAAAGTTCTTTCCCCACCACACCAGCACTTCATCAACCTAAAGGACTTCCACCACAAGTCTTTCTATGTTCACTGTAGACACTCATCTCAAACTGGTCTTTGCGTAGTGCAGCTTGTGGCCCAGATACCTGCACCTGCATTTGTTTTCTTACCTCTGAGGGTGTCAGGAAGTGGAAGTACATATCTGGGTCTCACTCTCCTCAGAGAGCCACGCGGGCACTTTTTTTCTGATGACTGCGACATAGATATTGCTTAGAACACACTATGTCCAAAAAGGCTTCGTGCACCGTGAGTTTTGGAGGTCGTTCGGATACATGCCAGGTGTGGATTACCACCTCCGCCCCTCCCTCCGTTTCAGGTGACTTTCATAGGATGTTGAGGATTGTTGGCTCAATGCAGTTCTTTCTGTTTAAAAAGCAAAAGCCACCGTTTTACTGGTTGTTTTGAAGTATGTTCCTAGACCATGTTCCTATACAAAACATCAGTAATTGAGTTCAAAAATCATTCTGGTATTGTTTAGTGTTGTATCTTAGTTCTGTTTGCCATTTCTGAAAGTTCTCAAAGTCTTTCTGGTGTTCACCACGACGCAAATCATTTGATTACTTTCATTCACAGGGGGGTGGTGATGGAACAGTGGATAAGACACATACCTTTGGTGTGAGAGACCCAGGTTCAACTCCCCACTATCACATGTCCACCAATGTGTCCCTGATCAAGACGCTTATCCCCTCATTGCTCCAGAGGGTGTGCGACCTCTGACAGATATAGCAATTGTTAGTCGCTTTGGATAAACTGTGTTTGGGCATTTATCCACCACTGAAGAAGAAATCTCTCCTCGTGGGCATTGTACAATAAATGAATTAGCTGTTATGGGATGTGTTTTTAATTTAATCAAATTTAATTAATTTGGAAAATGAATGAGCAAAGTCGCTGTGTCTGATACTTTAGTTCCCCTGGATCTTGTTCAAGAGAGTAAATTGAACAAAAAAAACATTCAGTTAGTTAAATTCAAACTGTGCTGTTTTTACTTATTTTAATGCACAGATGTTTAGGTAAATTAGTGGGACGCACAAAGTAGTACCTGCAATGAAAATGATACCTTAAAGTATGTTTTACTACTATAATGTACTGTACTTCTTGACTAGTTTTGATTGCAAACTTTCACACACTAAAGAATATCCCCATTTCCAAGCAGCAGTCAGATTTTTATAGGCAAAAGGTGTTGTACTAGAAACATTTCCCACTGGGAAAATAAATACATTCTCTGTACTGTATTTGTTGCAGGTGCTGACTTGAGCAAAAACATTATTTTCAGGGACGCCCAGCCTAACGCAGTCGCACTCCATCGTGTGAAAACCCCTTTATTCTTTTTAGAGAATCTGAGGCTGTAAAATAGCTGAGATGAGATGTATAGCTTAGATTTACCTTGTTCCTCCTCCTCACATTTTATCCTCCAGCTGAATGTGCTGTGTGAGGACCGAGCTGGGAGGCTCAGAGACTGCCAGGCATTCTACTACTCTGCTATTGATTGGGCTGTGTTTGTTCATTGCTGATGTACCTTGGAAATATGCTGGGCTTCGTGTTTCACAAGAAACCAAGAGGTGGGGGGTGAGTGTGTTCCCTTGTCCTACCTGCCACCAGTGTGTCACAAAACGGCAGTGTAGGGAAATCAGTTGAAGAATAATATCACAGTACACTGGGCTGTATTTCGGATAATGAATATCTCAAACAGGGGTAATGTAAGCAAATAAGACCTGTCCGTGTAAATCTCATTATTTGTACATACCGTATGATGTAAAACCACCTACAAAACTTAATTTTAACTTTACCACAAGATCCTGAAATGTTGACAGTTACCAAATAATGTATGTTAAGCTGAATTTCATTGAAAGGTGTATAAGAGATGTAGATTTCATATTCCATTTGAGGTTATGTGCAGTTAGAAAAAGTGTGGGACGTAATGCTTTAGTCTGAATAAGTATAATAATGCTTAAATTAATTAAAGAAACAGTTCAACAGTTTGGGAAATATGCTTTCTTGCCGAGAGTTACCGAGAAGGTTAATACCACTCTCATGTCTGTGTGTTAAGTATGGAGCTAGAACGAGAGGTGATTAGCTTAGCTTGGCATAAAGACTGGAAGCAGGGAAAAACTGCCTCAGTTTGTCCAAAGTTCTAAAATACACTGCTCAAAAAATTAATGGAACACTTAAATCACACATCAGATCTCAATGAAGGAAATAGTTAAAAATCTTTACTGTACATTGTAAAATTCATTGAGAACAAACCAACCAACCGATTGGGGGCTGGATTCAAAATCAAGTAAAAACGGTCTGACAGTGGCTCTGAAGATTTTATCACGTGTGTACCTAACGTTCACCACGGCGTCGCCAGACTCCTGTCACATGCGCTCTGTGTGAACCTGCTTTTTTCTGTGAAGAAAATGGGAAACCAGTGGCAGACCAATCAAGCTGCACGGTGCTGGGCTGTGAGCACAGATCCCACTAGAGGATGCCGAGCCCTCATGCACACCAGTAGCCCACTGGAGGTCATTTTGAAGGGCCTTTGCTGTGCTCCTCCTGTTTCTCCTTGCACAAAGGAGCAGATACCTGTCCTGCTGCTGGGTTGATGCTACGTCGACTAATCGTTGCAGCCCTAATTTATAATCACTTATGATTCCTAACTGGGCAGATTGATATCCCTGAAGTTTAATTGACTTGATTTTATACTGTGATGATTATATAATTTATTAAAATATAACAGAAATGTACAGTTTGTTGTCATTCATCCACATAAAGAGTGTACCAATGAACAAAATGCTGTTTCTTGCGGTCCAAGGCAAAGACAAAGTCACACTACTGTGTAAACATTGACAGAGTGGAAAAAGTATGTGAACCCCTTGGCTAATGACTTCTCCAAAAGCTAATTGGAGTCAGGAGTCAGCCAACCTGGAATCCAGTCAATGAGATGAGATTGCCCTGCCCTATAAAAAACACATCAATTTTAATTTTGCTATTCTCGTGAATAATTTCTATAATAAAATAAAATCTAGAATTGGAGTAAGTTCAGCACTGTTGCTTCTCTCCCTAGGAGAGGCCATCCTGCAAAGATGAATGCACGAGCACAGCGCAGAATGCTAAATGAATAATATAATATAAATAAAGAGGCATCAAAATGTCATCCCAACTGTGAAGTATAGTGGAGGGGGAATAATGGTTTGGGGCTGCTTAGCTGCCTCAGAGCCTTGAAGGACTGCTATCATCGAGAGACCAAAAGAAAATAGTTTGAGGTGAAAAATCCACAGTGCTACTTTAACCTGTGTTTGGAAGAAGAAACAGAAAATTTACAGTTGTGTTTGGCCCGTCAACCTGCCAGAGACACTGAGCTCAGACACCTGCCAGCCCATTGCTGAGCTGAGCTGGGTCACCAGTCTCAGAGGCCTTGTGAAACTGAGAGAGAAGCTTGAGAAGACAAAATCGAAGGCCGGAGGTGAGCCTAGCTGGTTCAGCAGTCTGCGGGTCCTCATGAAGCAGAGAGAGCTGCAGAGAGAAAGCTGCTCTTCTTCTTCAAGGCCTATCATCTTATAACTGCTCCCCATAATATCTGAGCACAACCACACCGTCCACCAAACCTCCACCTGAAACTGACTATTCATGAATCATTTTATTATAAATTCAATTTTATTTATTGGTTTATTTAACAGGGACAGTGCACATTAATACATATTGCTGTAAGTGTGCCAAATTTTGCCAAGAGGCTGTTTTTCAGCCGTAGTCGCTGTTACAAAGTCACTTTAAAAACAGAATATAAGCAGAACAATAATAAGAAAAGAGAATATTAATGTTAATGTAAAAACATAATTCAGGGCACCATTATGATACACCACCAGGTACCATTTAAAACAAGAGAAAATACAATACAGGCTTACAATACAAGACAGACAACACAATGAAACAAGTGACATTATAATAGAAAGATGGACTAAATAAGGCAGCAGTATGCTGCATTACCAGACACCAATTGAAACATTTTAGCCAGGTGTGGTTTTCACCTCTCATATAATCAAAAAAGACTTTTTCCATATAATATAATTCCATATGTTTTCTATAAGTACATCTGACATTGACTGAGTACAAGAAAAACATTTAGATAGATGTGTTTCACACGGAAATGCATGGTCTTCATATAAAGTACATGCATAATTTTAGATAAGATTTTCTTCTCTATTGTTAAAATACTGTTTACTATCACTATGCTCATTGATCCTAATTGATCATCACTGGAACATTTGCCAACTATACATGTATGTATTGTTGTTTCATTTGCCTGATATGTTCAGATACAAAACTTTAAAATCACTACCCTAAGGCGTGAGATTTTTTACTGCATATGACCTCAGTGGGATTCGTGAGCTTTGTTTGAGAGGTGTGGGGAAACGTGATGGAGGATAAGCCACAGACCAAGACAGCGGCAGCAACATCAAAGAGTGTCCAATTGTATCCGAGCGATAGTTGTAGACCATGTCAAAAATCATGGAATGACAATGACTGAGGCAGCTACTAGTGTTGTAGTACTAGACTGGTCTGGGTCTCGAGACCGGTCTTAAGACCATTTTTTGATGGTCTTTGTCTCGTCTCGGACTCGACCGCATTTGTACTCTCTTGATTCGGTATCAGACATGGAGGACTCGGGATTTTATTTCAAGACCAGTCAAGACCATAACTTTGGGAATATCAATAAATTGTTTTGCATTGTCTGATTTATTTGTTAACATTCTAACTTTGATTGGATGTAAAACATATTTCTTCAAATGCAGCCAATAACCCTAATTAAAAATGGGTTGTTATAGTTAACAACTCCCCCCTCCCCGTGATGGTAAGCATGGAAAAGGAGCTCTTAGTGTTTGTATGTGGGTGTTTTAATGGGAATGTGGATCTTTTAGATCAATTTGAGAAGTACCTATGATCTCGTTCCACATTTTATTGGGTGTCATATAATGTGGGAAACCGGTCTTGGTCTTGACTCGGTCTCGCCCTCCCTCGGCCTTGGTCTCGACTTGGTCACAGCCCCTAAAAGTCTTGGTCTTGTCTCTGTCTCGATAAACTCTGGTCTTGGTCTTGACTACAACACTAGCAACTACAATGATTCAGCCAAACCTCAGAAGATCGGCCGTGTCCTCAATCATCAGAGCCTTCCCCAGCAAGAACCGGTAGGTCTTCAGCATACACTAAACATTTGGCTACTCTCAATTGTCAAATCACAATTGCTTGCCGTTGTGTACCACAGAGTAGATGACAAAATGTATTCTTACCGTGATTTTCCTCTGCCATATGGGGGATGTAGAGGCAAAATTCTGACTGACCAACAAGAGTCAATTTAGTTCGGGCCAGAAATTATATATCGCCTTACAGACATTCAGCAGCACAACTTGGACAATGATGACATGTTCAACAATGTGGAAGCCAAAGGTTTGCAGACTATTGCACACATGCTGAAAAGGCACCAGGTGCCTCTAAAACAGCTATACCATGTGCTTTTTGAAAGCAATGCAAACAGAGTGGAGTAGAATTTCATTAGGAGGCAGGCAACCATCCAAGTACTGGACAACTTGGGGCCATCATCACAATGTGTGCTATATCAAAAGATGGTGTGGGGAGACGCAGACCATATGGATCATGTAATGCTGGTGTCTTTGTAACCATCCTTGATGAGGTAAATCAGGACTGTAGTGCTGATGGCGTGACCTGTGTCATTGTGTGGGATAATGTCAGGTTGCACCATGCTCAAATGGTGCAAGCAGTGTTTCAGGCCAGACCACACTTTACCAACCTGTACTCACCCCCAGTATCTTTTAATTGTGACCCGATTGAGGAATTTTTCTGCAAATGGAGGTGGAAGTCACCCTTCTTCAGGACATGGATGGTGGACGCAGTGACATCACGGCAGACCAGTGTCAGGCCTGGATTCCCCATGCCCGAAGATTCTTCCCAAGATGTTTGGCTAATGAAAACATTCATTGTGAAGTGAATGACAATGTGTTGCCAAATCTACAAGATAGGGTTAATGGAAATTGTATTTCTTTAATAAGTGTCACATTTTGTTCACTGTTCCACTGTGCCTGTACTATGTTCTCTACTAGTTCTTTTACAGTGACATATTTATATGTAGTAACAAAATTAAACATGTATGGTATATTTTGTTGTACAATATTTGCAGTTTTTTTCTGATTGCTTCAGCACATTTTTGAAACTATTGGCTACAACTCTACCACAAAACCTTACACCAAAAAAACAAAACATCATACATCTCTTGCAAAAGCAAACAATTCTTGCAAACCTCTTCAAACTCTTAAAAATTGTGTTTTTGCATCAATACAGTACACATAAACGTCTTTGGGTAAGCACATGAAGCAGCAACTACGCACTGATAGTAAAACTGAAAACCACTTGTGGCTTTTCCATTTTCTATGTGCAGGGCAGAGCAGTTTGCACTAAAGTTTTGTCATGCATGTAGTAAAGTAAAACTCACATACAAACAGGTGCCCAGATGTGTAAAGAATGGATGTGTGTTCCTCACTTGTTTTACATTAATTGAGTTTATTTTGAAAGGGACACTGTACAGCGGCTTCCCCCAATGCAGAGAGACTCTCTTGATGTTTTGGAATATTGTGCTATCTGCCAGTATGTAGTCTGAGTGTGATGTAGTTATTTGTAATGAGCATATTTACAATGTGGATCTCCGTCTCTGGCGTGAACAATCAAGCTGTTCCACCAGATACTAGTTTTCTTGCAATTCTATTTAACATTTGATTGGTTTTACAGCCATGACACATCCCTGTCATTGTGCATATTACTGAACCACTAACATTGCTGTACAGCACTTACTTACTGCTTCTCATTTCAATATAACCAGATGATACCTGCAACAGTATAGCGGCTAGGATTTGGTGGAATCTATTGCCCAGCCTCCGTCAAGTTCATCCCATGATGGACAACCACAGTCGCTCTGATTTCATCAGTTATGTTCTTGACTCCTGTTCCTCTTCCTCTTTCTGGTCCTCTCCTTCTCCCCCATTCTAGTTGATCCTGCCCTCTTCCTCCTCTAATTCTAAGCCTCCATTTCAATCCAAAGCAAATGTTTACCTGTGGCCTATTTACGTAAGTTTACGAAAGTGTTTTCGTGTCATGTGAAATGGCAAAATAGTGTAGCAAAATATAGTAATGTTTACATATTTGATACAAGTGTGTTAATGAATGGCAAAATAAGTGTAAGGAAGTGAGTTGTGTTGTGTAAAATTACAATCTGAGTGTGAAGCAGAGAATGAATGTTCCTATGGTTTTTCATGATAAATTACTTATTTGAACCAATGAGTCTGCAAGTGCAAGGTTTCTTTGAAGATATAAATGCACAATGCAGTGTTTTGAACACTGGACAGCCTGTGTTACAAGTAATGACTGTTTTTAGTTTTGTGTCTAGACGTTTGAAAAATGAAATCAAGGTTCTGAAATTAGTGCCAAAGTGATTTAAAAATAACCTGTAATCAGGGTTTCCCAACTGCATTACTTAGATACAGTAGTTGATACCCTACTATCCATGTTCAATCAATCATCAGATCATCCCCTGTAACTTAATGTTACTTGTTCATTCCATATTGGTTGAGGATCAAAGAAGTCTCAAACTACGGTGGAGGCCTTTTGGATCTGGAACTGCTGCTTCTAGAACTGCGGGGGCTCTAAGTAAACCACTGCATAGGGTTATCAAAATATTAACATTAAAACTCAAATTAACTGACTGTTAGGTAGAACTGAGGGGGGATAACCCTGTTGACATATATGAAAAATGTGCCCTTTTGTATTGTCATTTATGAAATCTTGATGGTATAATGCAGTTACTGCATGATGAGCAATGATAACCACCAATGAGATCCGCTGAGATAGGTTTATTCTTCCGCAATTATTTTTGGTTGAGCACAATGTATATCAGAATCACTGCATTGATTACCTCCACCAACAAACCCTAACCCTCTCTTTTCATGGCTGTGGGTATACATCAACAACAGTCACCAACTATCATTTAAACTAAATTTGCACGTCTAAAACTGTGGTTCTAGAACTCCTGCGTCTAGAACTGCGGGGGTTCTCCGGCTAGGCAGGGCGATTCTAAGCTTCCTTGAGAACCCTTAACGTTAACACATTCAATTGAAATCTAAGAAGGTGGCACACGGTGAACGAAGCTGCCTATTTTTACCTGCAGGGTTGCATAATTCTTTAATGTGGAATGTACATTGAGGACATGTGTAATGTTCACATGCACCTAAGCTTTTTTTTATGTGAAAAGTTATTGGGTTTTTTTCTCCTCCTGCACATGGTGCTCACTGCAAAATCACAGTTAGGGTGTAAGGACATGTCATTCAGTGGTTGTCTTACAAAAATTAAAAAAAAACACACCCGTCTGCTTTTTTTTTTTTATTGTAGGCTTCAACAAAAGAGGCAGTGTCTTATCGGGATCTTATACAATAGAGATTTAATAAAAACACAAATAATAATTTGTTGTCCTTTAAGCTACTGCCATGTGTTTATTATTGACTGGTTGTATGAAACATTATAAAGTATATTTAATTTTATAAATTGTACAGTTTCTTTCACTTATCAATGATATCAGACCTACTATTTCTGCACTTAGACTGTGGCAGTGAAGGTCCAGTTAGGAGTGCTTTTCCCCCTATCATTCTCTATATTTTGTCATGCAAAACATCGTTATTGTTAGTTAGTAGAAGTTGTAACATGAGTGACAGTTGCTGACTTGTTTCTCCTGTCTGCAAACACATTTGCTTGCAACTGCAAGTCTCAATAAGAGGCTGGGTAATGCCTGATGACGGTTTATGTTTGATGGTTTAATGATGTTGACAGCTTCTACCACTAGAGGGCAACATTGCTGAGGAGATTACTGTGACACTTTGGACTGTCAGCATTACAAAGAGCCAGTTAAGAGATCAGAGGTCACAGAGTCCTGACAACAACAAAATCCTCCATGATCATATATGATAGAAAAGAAAGAAAAAATTTCAATGACTTCTTTCATTGTGACACTTACAAGTCGTTGTATGGTGGGAGGTTGGAGTAAGTTTGTTGTGGCATAAAACAGTATAAACAAATCCATGTAAAAGTTTAATATACATTTCTGCTCATATCTCTTTGCTCTGATTGCGGTCTGACTCCTTTGGCAGGATTTGACCTCGGGGGTCAAGTGGCCATCGGGTTCTCCCACTGGAAGAGTCCTTTCCCAGCGAGCGGCCAGAATCTCCCCAGTCCAGACTGCGTTCACTCTGAGGCCTCCGCCGTCCCACCCATCAGCGAGCATCTCGAACCGGTGTCCTGCCCAGCGTCGCTGTCAATCACCCCACTGCCCACCTTCAGTGCCAGTCAGGAGACGCTCTGCGACAGTAGCACGAGTATGTAGAGTGTGGGACATGTCAGTGAAGCTGAAGTTAATATGAGGTCTGTGTTAGACAAATGAACTGTATTTCAAAGTTTGTGTTTTGCCACTGAATTTGTGTGTGACAGACTGCTGAAGCCTCATATCAGCTTTTGCTGAACTACAGAATGCATTTTTGGTAGATTTTGTACCTCATCACTAATATTGAAATTGATTTCTGGAGGAATCTCTTCTGGGCCAGTATGGACAGTATGGACAGAATAATTATAGTGACCAATAAATATTTTAAATTACATATTGGCATTTTAGAATTGGCTGGAAAAAAGGCAAACCTATGCTTTAATATGTGATTGTCAGTTGCAGTGGTGTGTGTCTGTGTGTGTGCCCTTGAGTGTCCATCAGCAGTAGACACTGACAGTGTCATCAGTGCCAACTATCATTGTTGTGGGCTACAGCAACACTGACACAACCAGCCCTTTTTTCTGATTGGCTGCTTCCCGAACAGCTTGACCTCTGATTGGCTGCCAGGGACAACTGATTAAGAATGCCGATGAGCGGCATGCACCTCCTCTCTCCCACTCTCTCTCTCTTTCTCTCACTGTAAACATCCTGCTCACGCTGGTGGGTTTTTTTTTTCTCCAGAGAAGATCTTTGACAGCTCCTGTGAGCTTTCCTGCTGCCTGGTCTTAGCATCTACATCATGACAGATCCGTCTGTGTGAGTGTGTGCGTGTGTGTGTGTTTACATGTAGAGTGATGTTGGATGACCCGTGATGAGGAGTAAGGAGTAAAAAGTGGGGATGCTGGTTTCCCTCGTGGGACGTCGTGTTGGTTCGTTTCCCTCAGCGAGGTCATTTGAACGCTGGGGCTGGGGAGGGAGGAGGGGTGATCGCTGTGTGTGTGCATGTGAGTGTGTGCATGGGGAAGAGTCTTCTGGCTGTGTTGGCGTCTGCTGCGGCTCGGCTGGGAAGCCCCCAGCCCCCCTCCTCTTCCCCTCTGAGGGGTGAAGCTGCCTCTCTACCTCTCTCCACCTTCACCCGGTGAGTGTTGTCAAGTTGTCTTGAAGCAAAGGCAGCTTGTGCTCCAGAGTGGATTTTTTTTTTTTTTTGCTGCAGTGCTCTCTCTCATGTGTTTCCTCTTTAGCTGCTTTATCTCTTTCATGCAGTTCCCTTTGACCATGCAAGCATTTGACCTTCACACACACTCACTCTCATTGTCTCTCCGAGCTGTCGACCCTTCTCTTGATTGTCATACATCTCTTCAACCTCCATATTGCATCAGTTGTAAGACACAGAAAGTGTGTGTGTGTGTGTGTGTGTGTGTGTGTGTCAGAAGCAGGTTGGCAGGTGCAAAATCCCTGTTGCTTGCTGTGAGGGAGAACATGCAAACCCCTGTCCACCCTAGGGCATGATGGGTGCATCCCATTCTTCTTCCCTTTGCCCCCAGCAATCTTATATTCTCTTCTCAGTGTGAGCTTTCATCTCCAGGCTGGCTTGTGTAATGCAAGTAACCACATTATAACTAAGAAGGTTGTTTTTTGGTCTCAATAACTACAAGGGTATAGATAACAATTCAGATAAGCAAATGATAAAATACAGACGCCTTGTGATGGACTGGCGACCTGTCCAGGGTGTACCCCGCCTTTCGCCCGATGTAAGATGGGATTGGCTCCAGACCCCCGCGACCCTGTACGCAGGATAAGCGGTTGACGATGGATGGATGGATGGATAAAATACAGACTTGAGTAGAGACCCACAAATATGTAGTTCTTCATAAAACCCACTTTGATGTGGCAGTGGTCTTACTTCAACTATAAATTTAACATGTCCTGCAGCTTATATTGTGGTATTGCGGGCTACTGCGGGTAAGAAGTTGATAGCCAAAGCAAATACATTCTAAAGGGATGCTCTTGTGATTGAGTTTTGCACAGGTCCTTGTTAGATTTTACAAAAATGGTCAAACAACAGAGGCTAAATCCCAACTTTAAGTCACTAGTATACTGTAGGTCAAGCTTTAATAACCCTGGATCCTACACTTCCCATGTTGCAACTCTGTCACGTCTTTTGTCAGATCAAGCAAGCAGCAATTCAGCCAAGGCAGTTTGAGCTTTATTGGAGGATTTGTCAACTGTGCATTTAGAAGGGAACAAGATCTCAGAAACTACATTTCTTTTTTTGGCATAACGGTGAGTGGTTTTTATACATGTAGGGTCTGATAGTACTGTATCACATTTAAACCCCCCCCCCCCACACACACACACACACACACACACACACATATTTGCAAGGAACAAAAGTTACCTAACACTACCTAACCCCACACTCAACAATGTAACTGAAATCTGTAATCACCTTTTGTTGAGTTTGAAGGCAGAAACACTCGCTAAAACCTGAATATGAGATGAGCAGCATAAGATATGAAATGCTGGTTAATTATGTATCTGACACACTGAAATAACAGGCATAGCCTACTTACGTCTGTGCACATGAATTTTCATTAGCTACTTGCTCCAAATACTGGAGGCCCTGATTCAAAACTATTGAGTTGATGAGTTAAAATTTCTGATACCATATACTGTACATTAAAAGAGAGGGTTAACCCCCCCAAAAAAGAGAAGAAATAAAAATCAAGTCATGCTGCTTTAATATGCATTTGTGCGTGTTTTCCCTTTTTGTTGTCAGTCCAGCCGTCTCCCCATATACTACAGTCCTTGTGCTGCTAAATCCCACTGTTGGTCTTGGGAAAGCATACTTATACATTTCTGATGTCAGGATTTCTAGTGAGTAGAGCTAGTCACAAAATTAAAAGGACAACGTCATATCAAATAACTAATGAAATGCTGCCAGAGCTTCAGTACCATGTGACCTCAGTTGTGGCTTGGGTTACAGACGTACCATAGGGCCATTAAAGATTGATAGATACAATGTTTGAGTGGCCACTGTCTCGGCACAGCAGCATGATTTAGGCTAAGATGTAGTGTTTCAGTCCTCTGAGAGCCAATATTTATAGTAAGCAATTCTCTTTCCCTTTAATGAGACCGGCATTGAAGTGCTGGGGTGCTGAGGAGGGGGTGTTAACAAGCTATTGCTGTTGATCCACATAGTCACTACATACATGTACGGGTAGGAAGTGCAAAATGAACACTCCGAATATAAGATTCAGAACATTTCTTGTCTCAAGTCTTTTAATTACCACTCTCTGTTACAGTAGTATACAGTACACTAATTGAACCATGAGGCTCTATTCAACTTTTGGAAAAAATATGTAATTCCACTGCAGTGTCATCAACTTCATTTCTCGATAAATTCCGATTCATGGGGATATTTTCTCAGCCCACCCTCTCTGGCCACTCTAGCTCCTGTTCTGGTAGATAAACTCCAGCGTAGCGAAAGTACCACTGAGCACTGATTTCTCGCTAGTATGAAATTTATGGCGTTTCTATTAGCTGCATCTATAGGCTCCAATGTTCCAAAGCATCAACCGCTGATTAAGAGCCGAGACGCTTCCCCAATCTCTATCTCCGTCCCCGGTACTGCAGCTCAGCAGAATTTTTTTTAGCTGAGTCACCTTTCATCTCACAAACAAAAATTCAGCAGCAGACCTCTAAGACAGGCACCCACCTCTCCTGAAGTCTGAAACTGAAAAGAGAGATACAAATTTATTTAAATAGAGTTTGTTTAAGCTGTTTTGAATAATTTCTCACTGCCTAAAGACACAGTCTGGATGACAAATAGACCCACTTAGATGTGTGTTCCCATGGAGAGTTTCCTAGTTTTCAAGGTTTTTTAAGGTTAAGCCTTATTAAGGAGATAAAAGTTCCTGAGCTGTCATTTTCTAATTCTTTCTTTATGTGTGGGTCTTCCCTCTTTGACTTTCTTTCACACATGATCTGTTATACTCTCTCTATGCCTGCTGGTACTTCTTCATTCCGCCTTTTCTAATTTTGCTTTTACAAGGCAAAAAGTTTGTGATAGGGTGATTGATTTGATTAGTTCTCTGAGCCTGTTTTGGCTTTTAATGCTAAAATAGACTTTGACCCTAGCTATCAAAGCGTCAGACTTCCACTGTCTAAGTTCATTGGTTGCACAAAGCTTTCTAGTTCTGTCCTGTCTTCAGTAGAATTAATTCAATATAGTAAAAGCTATGAAAAGCATTCATTTGTGGTGATGAATATTTACTCATTGTGAATATATTTAAGTGCTTTAATCAATATTTTTATATGAACAATTTTTCAAATAACAGTGGTATCAGGTCATATACAGGTATCACTCATAGTGTCGATCCAGTGGAGCATTTTAAAGTCTTTCAGCTCATTGTTTTGGTCTTTCGGATCTCAACTTTACTGTTTTGTATTTCCAGACACAGCAGGCAGCTATGACAATGCTATGTTAAACCCTCTGTCTACCTGTCCAGCAAGACAGCCACAGTTAGCGACTATCTAATTAACATATTAAAGCTTTAAGAGTGTCTACAACCTCCCATAAAACCTGCTCATGCTGACCCATGCGGGTACCCTGGTTGGCTAGAGCCTGGCAGAGATCTTCTGTGGTTTGTTGGAAGTTGTTGAATCTACTTGGTCCATATTAGCCAGATTGTTTTATTACGATTATCAGATTTTGGATCCAGAAGCAGACTACAGCAGGTTGTAAAGTGTAAAAAAAAAAGTTTATTAGGGAGCAGGGAATGGAGAGGGGATGAGCTGGTGATAGTGCTGGAGTGGTGTGGAGAGTGGCGGGCAATAGCTGGAGCGAACAGAGATAGCTGGTTCTGTGTTGTGGTTAACTGGTGTCAAAACTGCACCGCAGGGTTTCATTGAGGCAGGTGAGTGTGGTCTTGGTGTACAAGAGAGCAGGTGTTAGTCACAGGAAGCATCCAACAGGACAATGATGAGAGGTAGCGGTAGCTGACTGAACAATCTGACAATGAGTGACTGAAGAGACGGGGTATATATACTGCAGCTGGATGATCTTGATGAGGAGCAGGTTTGTGTGATCAGCAGGTGGCTAGGAGCCAGGAGAGAGAGGAACATTGCCATGTCCACATACACATATGAAATCCGACAGGCTGTATTCAGTACCAGTTACTATAATAGCAGTACATAGTGATTTTGAAAAAATCTCCAGTATGCATCAAACCAGTCTACCTCAAGGACTGTGTCCCATAATGCAACATAATGCATTGTTGAAATGGCGAAACATGGCGAAACAGAAACATGGCGAACAGGAGTGTAACGTCTCTGTCTCTGATAACATAAAATTATAACTTAGTGTTAGATTTAAGTTATGCATGTTGTGTTGTTTTTCTTATTGACAACTCACTAAGGTCAATGTGACATCAAATGTTAGCTTAGAAGGCTTCATTAGCTTTATGGCTTTGTTATGGGCAGCAGGACAAATGCAGCTAGCTATAACGTTACGTTCGTTAAGATAAGGCTAAGCTAAGTTGACCAGATTTCTGAAATGAAAACTGGGGACATTTTTGGTTTGGTGGTCAGTATGTCATTAAAAAATATAATGTTATTAAATCTGAAATAAAAAAGGGGAACAATTTCGGTGTTATAATCTGTCAAATATAACTCTTTGGAATAAAATCAAGTCATTTTGAGGCAGAAACTACCTTTCAGTCAGTCAGGCTGCAATCACTTTCTGGCAAGTACAAAATTGCATTTTATGTCTTTTATTGGCCATTTAAAAGTATTTTAACAGGTAAAAAGTACTGGATTGGTTGATACACAGCAAGTTAAATAATGCAGATTCATAATGATAATTGCAAAAGAGATCATGTCTTTATTTTATATATATAACTCAGCAGTAAGTCATGTTAATTATAAGCTTCATTCCGTGTTTCAGATATAAACAAGGATATTAGACATAGGCCTACCAAACACATAATCTACGGCAACAACAGGCTTCTATTATTGCCTATCACGTAAATGTCATGCCTGGTTATGCTATAAACTGTAAACACTTATTTGACCACAATTGTGATTATTCTGTTAAAAGAAACGTTAAAGTATCACAAAGACATACCTTTGCTATTACCACGGACATAAAGTGATGTTAATTTGCACGTTATGTCTGTATGACCCAGATAAAAGCAGCTGTAGACGTAAAGAGACTGGGCGATACAGCTTTGACATGCTGCGCGTGCTCCCATGGACGTCAATCAGTTTTCTGCTGATAATCAGTTTTTGGCACGACACCTTTCTGCTCTGCTGTCCAGTCTTTCTGGCATGTATGATTTCAGGTCTAACACCTTGAACAGTCTATGATTAACACACAGTTAAAAACGGGGACATTTCTGGGGACAGCTCCAGACAGGGACAGGCCACCAAAACCGGGGACTGTCCCCGGATAACAGGGACGTTTGGTCACCCTAGGCTAAGCCTGACCTAGCATACTACAAATTAAATTGATTTAATGATTTCACACTGTATACTACTATAAAACACAGTATGCAGCATGTACTACATAGTGCATACTGCATACTGCGTAGGAGGGTTCCAAATACAGCCACAGACCGGACAGACTAAAAGGAAACTGGGGAGTGGAAATACACAAAGAACACCCGAATGACAGCTGTGATCGTGATACCCAGGATATAATGCAGGTCTAACACAGACTTTGGTATTATATTTGTGGGTGAAATTTGGTCCTCTAAGTCAAAGATTCTGCTGTAGTCAAGTAGAATTTCTTATCTACTTTTAGATCGGACGTTATTGCTTTAAAGGTCCAGTGTGTAACAATTGTGGGGGATCTATTGACAGAATATGGCAGAAATGGAATATAATACCATATGTATGTTTTCATTAGTGTATAGTCACCTGAAAATAAGAATCAATGTGTTTTTGTTACCTTAGAATGTGCCATTCATATCTACAGAAAGAGCGGGTCCCCCTCCTAGGAGTCCGCCATGTTTCTACAGTAGCCCAGAATGGACAAACCAAACACTGGCTCTCGATAGGCCTTTCCGTGTTTTTCTCAGCTAGTTCAGGATGACACGAACGTTATTCAGTTGGTTGCAGTCGGCTGCCTCTCCTCTAGATGCCGCTAAATACTACACAATGGACCTTTAAAGAAGAAATCTTACGAGACAGTAGGTTGCCTAAAATATGGAACTACAGGTTTAGGAAAAAGTCTTGTGTGAATGGTGATAAAGTTGAACATACCCATGACCAATGATCTGCTTTGAGTAGCTGAGTAGTGTGTGTGTGTGTGTGTGTGTGTGTGTGTGTGTGAAAGGGGCTTGAAAATACATTTTTACTGCTCCACTTATACAACTATATGACCATAATATTTTAGCGGTAGTTGATAGGTTAGTTGATCAAGACTGACTCAGCCAATACATTGCTAGTTGCTGACGTTAGCTTTCAGATCTTACTCTGAGCTCCTTGTCACTCTGTCACCCTCAATAAGTCCTTATTTTTATAGTGTACTTTGCGTGTTTACAGTGAGCTCAAGAAACAGATCACAAAAGGTACCTGTGGGTTACTTAAGTTAGAATGGCTTCAAAACATGAAGTTACAAAGCGTACTAAAAAAAAGTGCTCTGTGTCCTGTAGGTGTGAGTTTATCTCTACATGGGTCTGAGCCCCAGCGGCAGAGCCCCCACCGACGCAGAGTCCCGCTGCGGCCCTCGGCCTCAGGCTACCAGGCAGCGGACAGGCCTCTCGCCTTCTCCTCCCGTGGGAAGGCAGACATCATGGAGGAATCCTCGGTTGAAGCCCTGGACTCCAGCACTCAAGACGATGTGCCCCCCCTGGGTGAGACCCAGCACCACTAGAGCTTTGACATTTCATATTCCTACATTTGTTCAAATTTAACAATGGCCTATAAGTGAGAGAAGTCAGTCATCTTCTTCTGGTGCTGAGGAGCTTACACTTGTGTGTGTAACAGGGCAGTGTGTAATGTGAATGCAGCACTAGTACACTCAAGCTCTAGAGCTGTGGATGCAGTAAGTCTGGCTGCAACACGTAGGTGGTTGGGTCAAATTACTTTGTGTAACGTGCAAGTCTGCTATTCCCCTCAGCTCATAATGAGAAAGAAAGCAAGTTAGCGACCTGTAATTTTTGTTTTATGGCTTCTTTGTTTTGGTCTGTAGACAGCGGATTAGCTGATGGAAAAAGTGGAGGTTAAGCAGTTAAAGAGACAGATATTTTTCTAAGAGGTTAGTTGAGGCCAAAAGAGCTAAAGCGAGAGTGAACATTGATGTTATATTCATCAGGTGGCCAAAATGATGCGAATGTTGCTTTTATACACTCTGCTCATCTTCCCTCCAGCTGTGAAGGGTGTTAATGTGCTGCTTGAGAGAGAACGGTCCGAAGGCATCAGCAGCCCGTCCAGAGATGACGACTCCACCATGCTGAACGCGGGAACCCACAGCAGCATCCTGGACGACAACACTAAGTCCGATTCTGGCCTCCCAGAGGTCAGTGGTGAAACTACATCTCTTGGCTCCCAGGACTCCTTTCATCCTGACATCCCGACTGAAGATATAAGCCAGTTTTGGACAGGAGTAGTTTATAGAGTGATGTGTGTAAAGGTTAACAGCGGCTTATTCGTGATGAGAAGTAATTTAAAACAACGTAACAGACTCTTCCCCCCAATGGCCAGATACTATACTTCTGATTCTCTGTGACTTCTCAGGGGAGGAGTAAGTCCAGCGGCCTTTGCTTCAGCGATGGAAAGTGCCGCATTGACTACATCCTGGTTTACAGGAAATCCAGCTCACAATCAGAGAAGAGGGAGATATTTGAGCGGAATATCCGTGCAGAGGGCTTACAGATGGAAAAGGAGGTAAAGAACATTTCAACTCTTGCTGCTTATTTCATTATGTTGACCAGGGTTCAGGTAAATGATCATGTCAGTTCTAGCCTGACATTAAAATACAGATAACATAGATACATAGCAGTTACGTGTCATCAAGAATTATACACATTACACAGACAAGTGTCAAGTAAGACCAGAAAATAAAGATAAACTGCAGAAACTGTTTAATTTCACTGCCATTCTTCATTCATCAGCTTTCAGAGCCCTTGTGTGGTTTTAGGAAATACCAGAGTTACAGGCTATCAACTTACTTTTGCAAATAATTTGATGTACCTTAACTCCACTTACACTTGCACTGATAAGTAACTAATGATTTAGTGTTATTTAATCTTCCAGTTAGTTTTGGATTGAACCATTATATTATTTAGTATTTAATATGTCAAAATTTAAGTCTCAAGAGCATAAAATTAAATCTTAAACCTGCAGTCATTGATTTTATGGCAGCACAACAACAAATTTTGTTTCGACCTGACTTCTTCTCTCCGTGAGATGGAAGAATTTAGAAAGTTGTGTGGCGCTGCAGAGAGCCCCCAGCTGCAGTAGTGCACGGATCACACGTAAAATTCATCCAGCCAGAGGAAACGATCAGAAACTGTTCACAGCACGCCGGTTTAATAGCGACACAATCCATTGTAGATATCGGAGAGGGAAGCATACAGGGCCAAGGACAGGAGATCGCGGAGCGACCGGGCACACTGTGGACAGCGATTGTTCCCTCTGGCTGGATGAAGCACGATCTGCTGGCATTTCCTTGCGTCTGCAGGAGGGGAAGGTACATACGATTTCCACATACTGGGGACGCATTGAATGAAACAAACCAAGGTGTTTACGCACATTTGTACTCTTTATTCAGGGTGTTAGTAAATCCAGCCCTAAGTGTCTTACTGAGCACCTCAGCAGGTCAGAGGCTCTAATCAGGGGGCTCCACCTGAAGAATGACCTTTCTAATCACCTCAGGTCTCCATCTCTGTGTTGACTAAAAACATTTTTGTTATCTCTGCTAAGTAAATTGATTTTTCACTTCCTGGCCAAGCAAAAATAGTCACTTTTTTCAAATAAACAAGAAGCGTGGTAGGTTCCTGTACTGATGGAGAATTAGCTTTGCTGTGATTACTTCAGCAAACCTGCAGCTGCACTCACAGCATGCAACATGAACAACATCAATACCAATTTCTGTGAAGAAGTAATTTAATGCTCAGTCCTATAATGCATGTAATCTCAATGGCCAGTTTGCTGAATTTTAAAATGTTCAGTGCCTTTGCGCCCAGTCTTACAAGGTCTGACAGCTGAGTGCTGGCGTTCATTGGTGAGCCTCCACTCATAGAGCAAAAACAAATGTGCTGATGGCAATTTTCTCCCCTGCTGCTCCTTATTTAGCAAAAGGATCACTTGAAAGAGTGGGAACTGTGGATGTTGTTATCTGTGTGTGTGTGTGTGTGTGTGTGTGTATTACTCATGTTGTGGGGACATAAATCTGTTTACACAATTGTGGGGACTCGCCTTCCTAATGGATACAAAACACAAGTTGTCATAACGTAAACTGTTACGTTTTTGTAGGTTGAAGACTTAGTTTATAGTTTATGGATCCTCTGAAGCGATGGAAACACAACTGTGTGTGTGTGTGTAGGTGCGTGTGTGTATCTTGTGTAACTTTTGCACTGCATCTGCAGTAGCATCAAGGTCATCATTATCTAGAACATGCAGGGGAAGAAAATGGTTCTAGTCTCCTTCAGCAGCCCACTTGTGTGTGTTTCTTGTGTGGAGTCATTTTGTTATTTTTAGGTCTCTTTCCAGTTAGCTCCTGATTCATGTACCTTTAGACTGACCTCTACTCTGTCAGGTGGTAAAAACAGATGAGGAAAAGAGCAGAACCTAGCAAACATATGGATGTGGATGCAGATGTTGCTGCCTGCACCGAGATGACACGTTGTAATCATCCCTATTTTAACTATCTTATCATCTTTGCTGAAATTACATTTATTTGTGTTTGGTTTCTTTACAGGCCTCTTTAACAAACAGTGACGTGATTTTTCTGAAGCTTCATGCACCATGGGATGTTCTCTGTCGCTATGCAGAGCTCATGAACATTCGCATGCCTTTTAGGTGAGACAACAGACACTCCTAAAATAGCCTTATAAAAAAGAAAAAAAAGACTTAAAGGTATCATTTGGAATTTTCTAGTAAGTTAAAGAAAAGTTATGTCAACACTCAATTTGTCTAACCAACGGTCTAAAAAACTTGTAGCAGCAACTGAAGCAGTAATAGTAATGGTAGTGTCAGTAGTAAAAGAACCATAAATGTGTTATTATCTTCATTCCTGAACTACTACTGTACTGAAATACTGAGTTAATTATCTAACGTCCCACATATTCCAGGAGGAAAATCTTTTACATGCACCGACGGCACAAGTTCATGAGCAGGTGAGTGTTCACTGAAAAAAGCAGCATTAGATCAGCTGCAGCAGCAAAAGACTGCTCTGGTGGCTTTAACAGGATCTTCCCTTGCAGGATGGAGAAGCGTATCAACAAATTTCGTGGCTGGCTTCCCCGCAAGCCCATGAAGTTTGACAACAACACTCTGCCCGATCTGGAGGAGAACGAGAGCTTTACTGCCCCCTTCAGTCGATCAAGGATACATCAGTGAGTTTTTATGGAACTGCCCTCTAAAAGCTCCTCCCTGATGTTTGTACTTTTCCCACTTAATATTCTCTCTGTTGCCTTCACACACACACATACACACAAAAAACATCATTCACAGCAGATAGATTTGTCATAACTGGTGTGTTTCACTGCAGTTTCATCATCCACAACAAAGACACTTTTTTCAACAACGCCACCAGAAGTCGCATTGTCCACCACATCCTGCAGAGGGTCAAATATGAGGAGGGTAAAAATAAAATGGGTGAGTTTCCCCCTGGGCATTATTACAAATTCTGGAAATATTTGAAATGAAAGTGAATGAAAATGGAAGCTAACTTGGGAAGGAGTGCAGACGGGAAAAAAGTAAAACAAATATAGAACCTTACATTCAGGCTTCACTGGATTTTCTATTCCATCTTTGTCCTACAGCATCTCTAATTTTTGCAGTTAGTACAAATGTTACCTTTCTCCTAATATTCTATTTCATTTTATTTATCATTTTTTTTATCCTTTTATTTATCCGGAGGCATTTGTCCATGCCCCCCAAACAGCAATTTCAAACTCAGTTTCCCGACTGGAACTACTACGGAAATCACGTGACCTACGTCACATGACGTAAACATGTGGAGACCGTAGCAACACAGGAGGTGAACTCCATCTGCTTGATGTGCTGCAGCTGTTGGGTTCACTGGTCAACGTGAATACAATCACTGACTTAGGTTAGGGCACACACCTCTGTGAAGGTTAGGGTAAGGGTTAGGGTCGAAGGGGGGATGTCAATGCCTTTAAGACTAACATCACGTCACATCACATCAGTCAGCTAGCTAACATAGCTAGCTAAAGCTACGAAGCTAACTTAGCTAATGTGGCTGATGCTACTACGCAACTTACGAAAGTTACACAACCTACTTAACTTCATTAAAAACACAAATTACGCAAATTCATTTAAAAAACAAAACAATCTTGTTTCACACAGGAACCAAGCGCCTGTCTCCTGGGTGAAAAGCGGCTAACTTTCCCTAATTTTGCCTTTTTTTGTTATCAGTTCTCTAACCCTTTGTTTTTCTTGAGGGCAACACGTGTTTCAAGATTGAGTGTATGTTGATTGAAGAAATGGTTTAATTATTATGGTTATGAATACATGATTTGCTCAGAAGCAAATGTTATGTAAACAAGGGGTTAAATTGCATATAGTTAAATTGATTTACAGAGTGATATTTATATTACTATTACATTATTGTCATTAGTGTCACTAGCGGGACTTGCTGGCATCCAAAAACAAGGAGGCGTCAAAGTAATGAGTTAGCCAATCACAGCAATGACTTGCCACAAAAAAGGTGGGGGAGAAATGACACTGCCTCCACTGCCTCACTTTAGTGATAAGTTTGAACAGTCTTATAGTACATTTATACATGATTTTAACTATTTTGAATTAAAATTGGTTCCTCATGGTAAGTCTCATATTGTTTGGTGTCATGATGATCCATTCAGCACCGCTCACTAGTTTTCTCCAATTTCTGTTAGCAAAAAGAATAATACAATACAATACATACAGTGCCTCGGATTGTGCTTTTTACAAACGCCCTCCGCTGGAGCACAAGGATTTCTGTTGGGCTTATACGATGAGAATTTAGAATTTGTACAAATCATGTTCGAACTGAGGTTTGCATTTTGAATGAATGCATCGGTTGCTCTTCTTTCATGACTCTCTGTTTTTGATTCCAGGGATTAATCGTCTTCTGAGCAATAATTCATATGAGGCTGCTTTCCCTCTTCATGAGGTAATTTGGCTGATCTCTGTAAAGCCATTAAATAAATTCTGTCACTTGTTAAGTCATAACTGCTTTGGGTGTCATATATGTGGTCGTGGATTCCATGTTACACCAATACATACATAGATTATGTTTCTCCATGTCTGTGTGTGTGTGTATCTGGACTAACAGGGGAGGTACCACAGCAAAAACTCCATCAGAACACACGGAGCAGAGAACCACCGGCACCTGCTGTACGAGTGTTGGGCCTGGTGGGGAGTTTGGTACAAGTACCAACCACTTGACCTCATCAGGTAACTACATTCAGATATTTAAAGGGCTTTAAATGTCACATTTACTTTACTAGTAGCAGTTACACACTCTTACCTTCCTTAGAATATTTTTTGTATCACAACCCAGTCACAACAAGCTGACTTTGAATAGATGTGACAGGCTGCAGTTGTCCACAGGTTCTCTCTGAACTGTTTTAAGACGTCAGGATATAAGTCTGCTGTTTTACCAGATACAGTATATTTAAGTATTTTGAAGGATACTTAAACTAAAGAATACCTCAGACTCACTCTTTCTCTGCTGTTGTTTCAGGAGGTATTTTGGGGAGAAGATCGGTCTGTACTTTGCCTGGCTCGGCTGGTACACGGGGATGCTTTTTCCTGCAGCTCTGGTTGGCCTTTTGGTATTCCTGTATGGCATCTTTACTCTGGAGCACTGCCAGGTCAGGTAAACACATCTCCTCTCTTTTCTGCTAAATATATGTGTCCCTAGAGCTGGTAGTTGTATTCAAAGTTATTTTTTTTAAACGTTGAGTTTCTAAAGATAAAGAAGCTTTACTGCTTCAAATTGTTGTTTGTTTTTGCTGCTCAAATCTTCTACAGAGTACAAGTACAGATTAGTGACTTATAGTGAATATTTATTTAGGGGAAAAGTCACTTTTCTTAATGCAAAACTAATTTAGTATTACAGATAAGGCAACAGAGTGTGAAATTGACTCTTGTAAGTAACTTAATGCTTTGGATGCATGTTAAATGAAATATAAGAAAGCAAACATATGCAGGAATGTCTGGTAAAAATTAATGCTTTATGTGTAAATACAAAAGAGCTTTAGAAGACCGAAACATTGTGCAGGGCTGTAGAACAGGAAATAATATTTTTTTCAGAAGAACATAACTTTATTAACAACTTACATAAAAAAAACAGTGCAGTGGTGTTCTTACTAGCATTTTTTCAGAAACTTCAAAGTTGCATCACTTTGGGCTTTTACTATGTTACCCAAATGCACCTTTACTTTAGCGGAACATTGTAGTACCAACTCTATCGGATTTTGATGAGCTAAATGTTGTTCTCCAGTAAGGAAATCTGCCAGGCCACTGACATCATCATGTGCCCCATCTGTGACCAGTACTGCCCCTACCTAAGACTGTCAGACAGCTGCATCTATGCCAAGGTACTGTCACCACAGCAAGGGGACAAAATGTTCCCTACAGCTGTTGTGCACTTTGTTACTGTACTCATGGAAAGTGTGTTATGAGACAACGAAGCGTATTGATCTTTTAGCTCAATTAAGGCCAGCTCTGCTGTCAGAATGTGTTTGACTCAGGAATTCAGTGGTCACTGATTGAAGCTAAACTGCATTTGTTGGTAATGACAAACATTAATATTAGCTGTGAACTTTAGATACATTAGATTAATTTCAGATCATTTTTTTAGCATCATGTTCATGTGCTTCTTCTCAGGTCACCCATCTTTTCGACAATGGGGCAACTGTTTTCTTTGCTGTATTCATGGCTGTTTGGGGTAAGTACAGTTAACATTTTACGTGTTTCAGTGTTTCACCTCCTACAAAAATACTTGCAATGTAGCCTGCATTAAAGAGGTCATATTATGCTAATTTCCAGGTTCATAATTAGATTTAGTAGTTGTACCAGAATGTGGTTTAATTAAAAAAAACTTGTCATACTGCACATAGCTTAAATGTTCAGTGTAAAATAATTCTGATGTATTGGCAGAAATGCAATATAAGATCCATTACTATGTTTTCACTGGTGTGTAAAGCCCTTATATAATAAACCGTTATGTTTTTATTACCTTAGAAATGAGCCATTCCTATCTACATAACCACAGGTCCCCCCTTTCATGGACGTCGCCACATTGCATCGTCATGCTTGTACAGTAGCTGAAAACGGACAAACAGTGCTACAGAACGTGCTTTGTCACTACGTTCTTGTTCTACTTCTGGTAGAATTCAGGCAGGGCAGACGCTCATCACAATGTTGAGCACGTACATTTGAAAAAGAAGAAGAAGAAGTAATAATATACAGCAGACCCCTGCTGTATATTATTATTCTATACTGCTGTAAGTTTTGCATCAGAGCAGTATTTTCAACCATTAAATGGTGGTTGAGAATATGAAACATAATATATAATAGAATATGAGACAGAATGAGACATTCTGCAGCGACTATTTCTCACATAAGGGGATGTGCTGCAGTGTTTGTGTTTCGGTGTTTGATCCACATCCATCAACTTATGGACACTTTTTCATTTCCGCATCTCTAGGCAGAGGACATTAAGGGGAATTACATTTTCTGATGACTCTTTCAGAGGTGTGTCAAGAAGGCAGCAGACTCTTAATGTTGTTCAAGTAAAAGCTCAGTTCAACTCCAAGTACTGCATTACAGTAAGCAAGCTTCTCGCGCTTTTATTTTGTAGGCAAAACCACCAAAGAGGAAGTGATTATGTGAGTAACTGTTGCTGCTTTAGAAAGGCTATGGCTAACATGTTCACAAAAGGTTGCCTATTTACACACATAGCAAATACATAGCAACAAAAACATTATTATTGTTCCCTCTTCTTTTAGCTCTGTTTTGGTCTTGCTAATTTTGTCTGCTGTTTGGTGCTAGACAGGTATCTTACTGTAAGTTTATTGGAGCTTTATAACTGAAAGCTGCTGCGTTCTGCTGCTGGAGGAGACACTGATGAGAGTGGTGAAATAAAAACAATGAGCTGAAACACAATCTAGAGCTGAGAGGATTTGCTAAGTTGGATGATAATTCTCTGTGGGTTCCTCACTATGATCAACACCTTTCACATTACACATTTGACCCGTTGTTCATAAAAGATTAGTGCGGCTTTAAATTACTTTTTATGGTATTGAAATTATTTTAAAGAAAATTAAAAAATACTACTGTATTACCATTAAAGTAAAAAGAGACACATTTTATTGCGTTGCATATAGATTGCACAATGTTAAAATAGATGCATTCACTATATTAATCATGAAGTTAACCTTGAATGTCCACATTTTCATTTACTTTTGGTAAATGCCAGGAGGATCAGGAGCCTGTCAGCGCTGAACAAGGTCCCAGGGTATGGAAGGTGCAAACAGAGAGTTTGTGACGGGTTCATATTCTTCAACTGCTACAGACACGGCAGGTGATGAAGCAGCAGCATCATGATCACATAGCTGATAGCTCGTCTGTTTATAAATGTCTAGGAGGAAGGGGTTGAGGAATACAAAAGAAAGGACAATAAACCAAAAGTCAGTCTGCTGAAGGAAAATATATTCAGCACAGAATTTGTCCTGTACAAACCACTTGACTAATATGCTGTTTGGCACAGTTAACAAGGGGACTGACAAGGCAATTTTCAAACCGTGGCAGGTGAGAAAGCTCTCACAACATTCTCAGTTCACACGGTTTCTCTGACTTTATTCTATGTCATTTTAACATATTTAAGGGTAGGCAATTTATTTTAGAAGTATTTTTTGTCATATTTTTTTGAAATCCTACATTTTACATCCCAACAGCAATTGAATGCTCGGTCTAAATAAATTTGGAGAGAGGCCTGAAGGGTTGGGTACTTTCAAAATCTAGCTGTCTCTTGCTAGTTTTCCAACATTACCTACCCCAGCTTTAATCTGAACAAATGGGTACAAAATATGCTACAAAATCAGTTCCGGAGATATGTTTTAGGTCATTTGTTGCAGTTACCTTTTACAGGAAAGTTTTAAGTATAGAAACAGATGTACTATCTTTCATTCCTACTCCAGCATAAGGATCTTTTCGTATCAGTCAGTTCACATTGATATTAAATATTGGCTGCGCCCTGCTTCTTAATTTGTGAATAGTTTCTCAAAGACAACTTACACCACTTTACATTACATTGTTTCCACTGTTTTGATAAAATGATGGACGTTCAGTCATCTGTGACCAACATTGTTGATTCCACAAAATTCAAGTATGAGCCTAAAACTAGAACAAAAGCTACTGCAGCAAACTAAATGCTCACCAATGAGTTTAACAGGCCCCGGGTGTTTGAGAGCCTTTCGTACTCTGTTGTCAAATCTCCAACATCTCAGCATGAAGAACAGAGATAAACACAGCTGGAGGGCAAAGGTCAATGCACCCAGCAGGATTATGGTGTTGTTAACTGTTGAGGGTAAAGAGGGGAGAAGAGATAAAAGATTTAATGTTGTTTTATAGCTTAGTGGAGAGGTATGACGTTTGTTTATTCCATATTTATGTATTTCTACATTTATTTATGTCAACTGTATTATATCACCAAAGCAAATTCCTCGTATGTGTAAAACACTACTTGGCAATAAAGCTCCTTGTGATTCTGATTCTGACTCTGAAACTGCTGGGACATTTGTACTTTAACTAAAGGTGTATGCAGTCATTGATCTATAAAGTACTTTGTGCTTTTTAAGTACAAGGAATTGAATCCCAGTGCCATCAGCCACCTTTAAACCTGTGTGGGAGCTTAACTGTAATTTGCTTGATTCATAGACAGAAAGGGCTCAGGCTGTCACACTACAGTATACATACTAATGAAAGCAGTGCAGGCCCTGTTGCATTAGTGGGTGTAAGTAATTCAGAGACTCAGACATATTCCGACAATGTCCTCATCACAGTGGAAACTCGATCAGTTTCACAGTTAGTGGGACTAATATTAAAATTAAGGCAAAGTAAAGAAAAAACCCACAAACAAATTGGATTATTTAAATGTGTTACTTGTAAAGGTTTCTAAAATCTTTATTAGATAAAAATAATACCAGTCTGACAGACTAGATCCCCTATAAGCTACAGAATCGTGAACCTTTACCAGTTTGACTTTTTCATTGGGAATGGTACAGTACCAGCTGATGATAGGTGTTGTGTTGACTCCCAGTGGATGACCTCTGGCTGAGAGATGCTCAGAGTCATGTTTTGGTTCTGGAGAAATCCCATCAGTCAGATCCCTCACTGCTCCAGGGGCGTTCCTGTGCTGAGAGACAGATGGCATTTGCTTGTGTTTACTTACTTCCTTGCAAAGATGAATGTTTTCTTCTGCAAACTAAAAGGATCATTCTGTTTTACATTTTGTTTCAATTTAGCTAATTTAGTTAATGTTCCAGGGCGTACAAACACCAAAAACCTTCAAAGTATAATTTGCTGATGTTTTTGTGCTGCCATATAAAGGCCAAAAGATGACTTTAAAGGGTATTTTAAACTGTTTAAATAAAAAAGAATCACATAAATTACTAGTACCTGACAAAACCCAAGAAATATAGATTAAAAACAAGCTGGAGCTGATTAACTGAAACACTGAAGTAAATGAACGATGAAAACAACAAACTATTCATGTTAAGAAACAAGACCACGTGAGAAGGGGGAAAAACAGCAGTGAGCAAATGAAAATTAATGTTTCATATTGTGTATACTGAATGATTATATAAAAGCAACCTGTCATGCTAGATCGGATAATATTTTCTTTCATTGCAGTTCTTATATAATGGATTATTATTTCTAGCTCTGCTTCACTTGTTTTGGTCTTCTTCTGTTGTCCGTCTGCTTGTCTGTGTGTAAAGGTTCTAAACAGACTACATTTGAAATACCAAGGATATTGTGTAAGGGCTGGGAAATTTATTTAACTCTAAATTTATAAATTAAGCATTTGATGTGTATAGCAAATAAAGACAAATATTCAGGTCACAATTACATTACAAGATTGTAACTTTAGTTATGTATGTCTCCCTCTTATCTTGTCTACAAACTTTAATAAGTAACAGACCTCAAGTCATCAAGTACAAGGGCATAATAAAGGAAATATTAAATGTTGTTCAAATAAAGTGCATTCTGCTGATTAAAATGTAAAACAAGATAAATGCATACATTACACATGTAGGGATAATCACACAAATTAATTATTTGACTAAAAACATGCCAAACTGATATTCAACTTACAAGGAACCAGTAAACCTGTGAAGAAAATTAAACTCTGTGAAGAGCAATGTGGAGCATTGAGCTGTTTTCACAGCTGCACAGATATGTCTGATGTCTGGAAAAAAAACTCCAGTTCAACGTTTTTATCCAAGTCTAATAGAAATCACAGTAACGTACTGACCTTGCAGACACTGCTTCTCTGTGTTGGAATTTGCTGTTTCTGCTGCTGTCCAAATGAATATACTTTTTGGTTCAACTGCAGCAGAGAATCAGCTTAAATCCCTTCATTAATGTTCCTCAGAAGTTTGCTCCCCTGCTGACTCCACATGGGAAGTGGTGCCTGTCTCACAGCTGAGCCTTCACATTCAAAACACTGTTCATTCAATAGGGCTGTGGACACAACAGAGAAAATAAGCTACAAGCACTTGTTTGAAATTCTGAAGGTTAAAAGCTTCTGATTCGAGTGAAGACTCTGCAGAAATATTGCTTCAGTTGTCAGTAGAAAGGCAGGTAAACATTTGCAATAAGTAAGCTATGCATAGGACTTTGTTCCACCCTCCGTGCCTGAACGTTGTCTCTGGTAGCGACCTCTCTGTAATAGCAAGTGAGTATTATACTGTACACCCAGGAGTCAAAAACGTTTCAGTGAGACTTTGCCCGGTGACGATTTCAACACAGTCCGATTATCTTGGCATGAAACCTTGTGTCACTAGTTATCATTAAGATATTCAGGATAGAGCAAATCACATGAGAACAGATCCAGAGGGATTCACTTAACTTTTGGTTCTGGTAAAGGTCGTATGGGAAAATTGGGGTGTAAAATGACTGATGTCAAACATGAATAATAATAATAATAACATATATATATACACACACATATATACAATTGCAGAGACAGAGCAATAAAAACTCGTTCAGGGTTGAATGCCTTTGTGAAGAGGTGGGTTTTTAGGAGTTTTTTGAAGGTGTCATGTGAGGGAGCATTTCGGATCTCTGTGGGGATGGAGTTCCAGAATGTGGGGGCTGCTACGCTGAAGGCTCTGTCCCCAAAAGTCCACAGTCTGGTGTGGGGGACAGAGAGCAGGCCCTTGTCGGTGGACCGCAGGCTCCGTGAGTGGGAGTATGGGTGGAGAAGGTCCATGAGCATTGATTCTGACTGGTTTTTGCTCTTTGGGGTTTGCCTACATTTAACATAAGGCACTTCAGTGATGCACTTCAGTGATGCCCACTGTTATCTATAGTGTACAGGATAGTAGTATAAGGCACAGTGTATTTAATATATATTGACCTTTTGTCCAGATGGCTACTTTTGTACCAGGATTATGCTGGTTTACCTTTACTGTTGTGCTTCATTATCACTGCTCCTATTAACCGCAATCCCAGCAACAGCAGGCAGATGTTGTTTTTAATGATTTTTTGCAACAGAAGCTGGTGACTGTGTGGTCCTTGTGCTTCTGGATTTAACAGCTGCCTTTGACACTGTGGACCATGAAATTCTGGTCTCTCGTTTAGATCGATGGTTGTGCATTACAGGCATAGCCCTAAAATGGTTTCGATCCTACTTGAAAGGTCGGATATTCAGTGTCAACTGTGGTGACTGTGTGTCTACCACGGCCCATCTCTCCTGTGGCATCCCGCAAGGCTCAATTCTAGGCCCTCTTCTCTTTTCCCTTTATCTCCTCCTGCTTGGCTCAATACTCAGGAAACAGGGCATCTCTTTCCATTGTTATGCAGATGACAGCCAGAGCTATGTACCTTTGAGCAAGAATGACACTCTCAGACCATTGTTTGCATGTCTAGAGGACATAAAGGCTTGAATGGCTCTCAACTTCTGAAGTTTTAATGAAAACAAGACAGAGGTGATGGTTTTCAATGGCACCCGGGGGACACACTCCCCTCCTCACCTCGATCCAGGCCTCCTAGCTCAGTATGTCACGCCAACCATCACTGACATAGGAGTCCAAATGGATGCTGATATGAAACTGGATAAACACGTTGGGTTAGTGGTTAAATGTAGTTTCTTTCAATTAAGACAGCTGGCTAAGTTGAAACCAATTCTTTCTAAGCAGAATTTTGAGACGGTTATACACGCCGTTGTGACTACTAGATTACTGCAATGCACTTTTTGTTGGGATGAATGGATCATCACTCGCCCGTCTCCAGATGGTGCAAAACGCTGCAGTTTGTCTTCTAACGGGAACACGTAAATATGAACACATATCCCCAGTTCTATGTTCACTCCATTGGCTACCCATTCAATTTAATATCGAATTTAAACTTCTTTTACTGACTTTTAAATCCCTGAATGGCCTTGCCCCCATGCTCTTTCGTCCTTATACACCTACCCGTTCGCTCAGGTCAGTTCTCCTGAGAGTGCCACAAACTTGTTGCAAACTTAAAGGGGACCATGCTTTTGTGGTGGCAGTTCCGAAACTGTGGAATGCCCTTCCTCTTACCATCAGACGCGCTTCCTTACCATCTTATTTTAAAACTTGTCTTAAAACCCATCTCTTCTGGCTTTTGACCCGGAGGATGACATTTGGAGGAACTCATTTGTTAGTGTTTTTAACTCTAAACATTAGATGTTTAGATGTATGTGATAACCTGTAAATTGGTGTTTGCTTTTAATCTTTGTACAGCACTGCACTACAGTGCAACTTCATGATTGCTGTTAAAGTGCTCTATAAAAAAATTTTGATTGATTGAGCTGTTTTCAACAAACAAGCTCTAATAAACCCACTGCACACTGCCTCTCCTTCCTAAAATGACAGACAAAGTTACACCAAAGGGAATAGTTTGGCTGCTTAAAAACCAGATAATTCCCTCAGTGGTTGGTGGAGATATAGTTATAAACCCCAAAATTAACATATGCAAGGATAAATATAATGTGGCTCCCTTTAATACTCTGAAAGTCTTACTAGACATTTAAAAGGACAGTGTCAGATCTTACGAGGAGCCTGTGATCAATACTGTTGTTGGGTGTGTGTTATAACCTGGCTCAAACGGCCACAACAAAAGGGAAACACACCATGGTAAACGGTTAACATGTTTATTGAACAAAAATAAGCCAAATTAATAGTTATATTTTATTAACATAATTAAAGTATGAGGTATGTAGTCTGTCATTTCAGTAGTGTCTGTGCAGGATGATGGTTGCATGAATGTATGTGTGAAGGTGTTGTAATATGCAAAAACAAGATAAATAAAGAGTGCGAGTGAGAGAGAGCGCGCGAGAGACCACACCCACTCATGACCACCCTGGGCATCACATCCCCCCAACAAGGGGTAACCCAAACCCACTATAACCTACTGGACAACAAACAAAACAATACATCCCTCTGGCTGCACACTTGGTGGCCAGTGGCAACAACAAACTACAACATCATACTGTCAACATCTAATCTTGCTTCAAAGGAACAAAGTCTGAAATTACAGAATCATTCCATGAGTAGCACCCACCTTCAGAGAGACAGAATTGAACACTTCACCCAAGTCACAACCTTTGTGTGTTTTAAGCAAATTAACATGACACAACTGAGTAGGTGTCCTCTGATTAGGAATAGAAACTAAATAGTTTTGATCTGAAACTTCTCAATAGTGTATGGGCCAGCACACCTTCCCTGAAATAGTGAAACCTGAAGTGGTACTAAAGCAAACACCTGGCCCCCTGGGCTAAACCCACAGCACACTGCTCTAGGACCATATAGTCCGTTCACCTTAGTTTGAGCACCAGCCAAATTTTTCCTTGACATTCACACAGCTACATAAAGGCGGCGGCGAAAACCATTCACGTAGTCCACTAAGTTTTTAGGTGGCTCCTTCTCAACAAACCCATCCCAAAGGGCAGATAAGGGACCCCACACTGAATGCCCAAACTCCAAATCGTCAGGGTTGAAACCCGTATACTCCTGGACCTCCTCTCTAGCTGCCAGCAAGAACCAGGGCAGTCCCTCCTCCCAGTCCTTCCCATCTCCATGCCATAGGCACGCAGCATAGACTTCAATGTTTGATGGAATCGTTCAACCGTCCCCTGGTTTTGTGCATGGTACGCTGCTTTACGGTTATACTTAACACCCAACTCCTGCTGGATCTGTTTGAACATATGGGAAGTCAGGTTAGAACAGTGGCCAGTCAGAATTACATGTGGGGTCCCAAAAGTAGAGAAACTATTAACTGAGTTAAAGCCTTGACTACTTGCTTCACTGAAATAGAACATAGTGGAATTGTAACAGGATAACCTTTAGCATGACACATTATAGTTAACATGAAGGCACAACCGGACTTGGACGGAGCCAAAGGCCCCACACAATCTTTGATTACCTGATGAAACGGTTGGCTAATGGCTGGGACTGGACTCAGTAGGCATGATCACCTGATTGAGTTTGCCATTAAGTTGACATATGTGGCACGATTCAACATACCTCGCAACATCACATTTCAGGCGAGGCCAAAAGAAATCACGTAAGACTCAATGGTACGTTTTCCTTATTCCCAGATATCCACAACTAGAGTTGAGCCGGATACTCGGCTGAAACGAGTATCTGGTATGGATAAAGCACTTTTGCCGAGTACGAGTTATATGAGTAATACGAGTCAATATCTGTGCTCAGATTGAATAAAAATCCTCATTGGGTAGCTGACTGTGTCTGCGTTCTGTGATAGTAGTCACAGCGCCCCTCCCCTACACACATACAGATTTATTGTGTTGCTGTGTCCCGCTCTGCTCACGAATGAGGATTAAACTTTAACACTTCAGAAATACGACATTAGCATGACATATGCAGGGAGACAGAAAGTCGCTGACAGTGTGAATGTCTAAATGAACAGGCGTAGCCTATAATAATGCGTTGATAGAAAGTGTTCTCATGAGCTGTATGAAAATATCGGCCTTATTCTTTCAGCTCGGCTGTGTGTCGGCGTTTCCAGATTAAAAGACTCGGGCCGGGGGTTGTAGCCAATTCTGTGGTCTGGTCGCTGCCACACAGACCACTGGTCTCTGCCACACAGACCACTGGTCTCTGCCACACAGACCACTGGTCGCTACCACTAGGGGCGCTAAAGATACTGGTCTCTGCCACACAGACCACTGGTCGCTACCACTAGGGGCGCTAAAGATACTGGTGCGCTACGCTGCGCACTGCATGACTGGCAGGATGGCTGCACTTCTCCACCGTCAGCCACTATCGTGCTCACAGTTTTTAACAAACAGGTTAAGGCCGCAACCAGCAAACATGAAACTAGAATTAGACTCTGTATTGACTGCTGCTTATTTGTTTAGTATTATTGGCTTTTTGATGCATCCTCCAATTAGTAGCACTACATATGATAATATGCTTGCTACTGTGTGCCGGCGGCCATCAGTGTGTAAAATAATAACACTTAAATATTATACCTACCATAAAGGGCGAAATTGCGTCTCTCCTTGAGCAATAGTCTTTGGTGGCATTTTTCACGCTATTGAAATCAAACTTTGATGCAATATCACAGACATCTGGGGCAAGTAGTGGACTGCTGCGAGTATGTTTGTGCATGTGGGTATGAGATGAGGCTCCACACTGCTGCCACACTGGTCGGTGCGGTCGCTGCCACACTGACCACTGGTCGCAGTTGGTTAT